ATTACTTTTGAGGGCGTCCGATCAATCCGAAAGCTTGCGATCTTTAAACCGTGTCTTCCCTTTAAAGGGGGGAATAATTACTTTTGAGGGCGTCCGATCAATCCGAAAGCTTGCGATCTTTAAACCGTGTCTTCCCTTTAAAGAGGGATTATTTACTTTTGAGGGCGTCCGATCAATCCGAAAGCTTGCGATCGTTAAACCGTGTCTTCCCTTTAAAGGGGGGAATAATTACTTTTGAGGGCGTCCGATCAATCCGTAAGCTTGCGATCTTTAAACCGTGTCTTCCCTTTAAAGGGGGGAATAATTACTTTTGAGGGCGTCCGATCAATCCGAAAGCTTGCGATCTTTAAACCGTGTCTTCCCTTTAAAGGGGGGATTAATTACTTTTGAGGGCGTCCGATCAATCCGAAAGCTTGCGATCTTTAAACCGTGTCTTCCCTTTAAAGGGGGAAATAATTACTTTTGAGGGCGTCCGATCAATCCGAAAGCTTGCGATCTTTAAACCGTGTCTTCCCTTCAAAGGGGGGATTAATTACTTTTGAGGGCGTCCGATCAATCCGAAAGCTTGCGATCTTTAAACCGTGTCTTCCCTTTAAAGGGGGAAATAATTACTTTTGAGGGCTTCCGATCAATGCGAAAGCTTGCGATCTTTAAACCGTGTCTTCCCTTTAAAGGGGGGATTAATTACTATTGAGGGCGTCCGATCAATCCGAAAGCTTGCGATCTTTAAACCGTGTCTTCCCTTTAAAGGGGGGATTAATTACTTTTGAGGGCGTCCGATCAATGCGAAAGCTTGCGATCTTTAAACCGTGTCTTCCCTTTAAAGGGGGGAATAATTACTTTTGAGGGCGTCCGATCAATCCGAAAGCTTGCGATCTTTAAAACGTGTCTTCCCTTTAAAGGGGGGATTAATTACTTTTGAGGGCGTCCGATCAATCCGAAAGCTATTTTTGCATCTGACTCAGAGAGCAGTATCAGCTTCCCCCTAGTTGGTGCTTTGGATTGGTGGCTGGGTGCTCCGGGATGGTTTCCTATTTACCCTCCACAAGAACCAGGGGTTCAAATCCCAAACCACCAATCCAAACCACGTTTTATCTGACGGTATGCTTTACAACTCTTTGCACGGCAACAAACAATTGACTGTTTTTGCAGCCTGCTAAAACTGAACAGAACTAAAAACTTGCCAACAGTAAAGAATGGTACCAGGGCTTAAAGACCGAAAAGTAAACTCAGGCGCATTTGCTTCCCTGAGTTCGCTACACGCCCATCTCTGGCGGGTGGTTGCTGACAGGTATCATAAGCATTCATATTCAAGCATGCATTAACACTAAGTGCCTTGGGAATGCGAACAAAAGCTATAGCTACCATCGCCTCCATGCTTCCCTCTGCGCAGAAAAGCTGTTCATAGCCATCATCGCCTTCTTTCATCCCTCTGTTTAGGTCTGATGATTGAAATTCCACGGTGAAACACATTGGCTGCGGGTCAAAACCGCTTTGGGATCCCTTTTGGGGCAGGTGAATTCACCACCCGTCTTAGAACCTATTTTAGTGGTTGGATTGGGATGTAACCACTGGGGGCGAACCGATTTGGCTGTTGCCCCATGGCCACATTGGCTGCAATTCCATGGCGCCAGGGCTGCGGGCTGGAAGCGATCCACGGGTCTCTCTTGAGCATCCGACCTCGGGGGTCGTTTGACAGAGGCGTCCTTCTTGTTGAAGCCCCCTGGAAAGAATGAAAAACCACGACCAGTGAGTAGCGATCAATTCCCAACATACAATCGTTTGGACCTCCGGGCATCTCTGGACTTATTCTCCACTGATGACCTCTTTCTGCTATTTCAAGCCAAAGAAGTTGCCCCTTGCCCACACGCCAAAGATGTCCAAGCCGAACTAGACATACGGCTAGCTCCAGAGAACGGCCCCTTGGCCAGCCAATTTGGGTCATGGTCCTCCTGTGCCAGCCACCATTCTGCCATTTCGGGGGCCAGATAGCGCCCACTCCCTTCTGTGCTACTTGGTCCGCGGTTTCTCAAAGGCAAAACGGAGGTCTGTTCAATTTTGAGGGCTGTTACGTGACCCGCCACTCTTGAGCAGACTTGATCAAACATGAGCAGTTTGGAGAAAAGAAGAAGAAACAAAAAAAACGAAAACGGCCCCATGCCGGAGCTCCCGCCCCTGCGGCCCTGCCTCCTGGACGAAGTCAATCGCATGGATTCCTGCCAAAGGCCTTCCGCACACAGGCCTCCTGCCGGCAGGCAAAGGCCAAGGGAAGTCAGGCTCATAAAAACCGCTCCTGTGTACATGTACATGCCTTCCAGTGCTTCAACTTATCTCAATATTCATCTCATTCAAACTGATATCCTCATTTAGTATCCCGGTACCCCAACCTTCCCCTTCCAACACAATTCTTCAATTTAGCCATTTCCTGAGGGATGACAGGGGACTGCAGGGAATGCCGGCCACTGCACCCTCAACTGGACCCAAAGTATCCGATCTGAAACAGAAGACCAAAGAGCCGTTCCGGCACATGGCAGCGAAGGAGCACTCGCCGTGGTATTTAAGCGCTGATGCCATTCCTTTGCATCCGAGAAAAAGGAGCTGTGCTTGAGGTGTCTGTCACGCGTGATCCATTGGACAATTTGGTTTGGCCGTTCTAGGTTTGGGATGCCATTGTCGAATCAAAGAAGGAAGCAACGGGTAAGGTCAAAACTCAGGCGGACATTCCACAAATTGGACACAAAGTACAAATCAAACAAGCCACCCTCCAAAAGAAACTAGATTCAAGGCAAGAGTGCGAAGATTAAGCCCGAATCTGGCAAGCATGTAGGCGTTGAGAGAAATTGAGCAGATCATTTTTAAGGCAGCGCGTTTTGACTCTCAGACTCGGACTGGAACCACATCCACGAAGAAAGGCAAGCCAAGCAGGAGAAAAGGAGGAAAGTGTGCCAAAGCCCTGGCAAGTCGTATGTTTGAGGAACGTGTAAAACTCTCAGGACGCTCAAAACGCTCATGCAAACTGGGGCTTCATACTTTGAGATATTTTAGCACCCTCCAAAAGTATAGTTGCTCAGGGTGCTTTCCCACATTCTCCTGGAGCATCCACTTCTTTTGGAAGAGTCAACTGGAAGGCCCAAAAAACAACTGGGTACCTGGCAAAATGGCCGTCAAGTGGATGGTTGATAGCTTCGTCACCCATATGCAGAGGGGGGCAAGCCAAGCGTGGGAATGCTTCCGTGCTGTGAGAATCTTGGCGGTGCCAATGACAAGGGCCGCATCACTTCCACCGACTCAATGAACTCACTGGACGACTTGACAAAGCGGGGAAGCAGCCGCTGTCAACTAGCACTGCCATTCAACTCCCTTCGATTGTAACCCCCACACAAAGGAGAATGCAACCCAACAAAGCCAAGCGACAGTGAATTGTGGTCGACATTCGATCTGTCCCGCCTTCGCCTGTTCCACTGGAGGGCGTCCAGGTCCGCTGCTCCTGCTGCTGCTCCTCCTCCTGGTCCTCCCCCTCCACCTGCTGTGTCTGTTCTCCATCCTGGCTTCCCGACGCGCCACGTTTCATTACTTGGCCAACAATTCGCCCCCAAGCCAACAACAAGCCACGGAAAACCAGGCCCGACATGTCAAGACCCCCAAGGCCCCTGGTGAACAACTCGACGGCAGCTAGGTGCGTGCGCGTGTTTGAGGCTCGGTAGCCTTTTCACCTAAAGGGGAAACCAACAGGACAACCGAAATCCATTTCTGGGCAACCCTTTGACACATTCCTTTTTGTCTCTGAACACCACGGGCCCGTCCTCATATTGACAGAGGGGGAAGTGCCACCATGCGCGGGGAGAGTCCATGCCAAGCTTCGGTGAGAGGCCAAGCTCAGGTGAGAGTCTGTTGCGAGTGGCCACACTGAGGTCCGTGACCCGGATTGGCTACGGGTTACAAGCAGGTGTTGCCGCTTTTCGAAGGACGCGTTGCATCAATGCAGGGCATTGACCGGAATTTGCATTTGACCTTCTGCATGCAAGTTCAGCTCACCCCGTGCACTCGACAAAAAACCGATTTCTTCGTTGTCAGGAGTTGGATGGGTGTGGCTTCACCGTACAGCAACGTATGGCTCAACATATTGCAGTGATATGAGCTACAGTCGCTAAGGCAAGATATTTGCCGAGTCAGCACGATGAGGAACCAGTCAAGCAACTCTCCTGCTGGCTGAGCCAATCATGTGCAGAACACCGCTAGACCCAAAGGCTTGCAAGGCTTGGAAGGCTCGCCCTAGCTATAGCCATCGACAGACGGTATACAACCAAGGCAGATCGTGGTAAAGGAAGCCGCTGTCCACACACCATGTTCCTTAACCATCTCTTCTACACACCATGTTCTCCTTGCTTCCTTAACCATCTCTTCTCTTCGCCAATGGCATTTTCACATCAGCTTGCGAGACGTTTCTGCACGGCTTTTCTTCCGCGGGGTCCGGCGTGCAGCCGGCTTGGCTCATTACCACATCCGCTGCTCCCGGAAAAAAGCGATTTCTCCGCCGCTGGCATCTGCACGCGCCTGCCATGAGTCCCGACGCCGTCTGAATATGACCAACGCAGTGGAAGCCATGTTTGTTTTGCCGGCACAAGATGCGCACAATAGAAATGGCCCAAACGTCAAAGGATCCGACATGTGAATGTATGCCACTGCACAACATGTTGGCACAACAGGCAGTGACATGTTTGACAAATGAATGACAGGAATATCCTGCGGCCTTTGTACAGAGGACGCATTTGAGACGTGGCGGCAGTCTGAGCCGCCATGGGCAAGGTGCTGCACTGTCTTTGTCCTCTCTTGCTACTTGAGTTACTTCCTTCACGCCTGGACCCGTGTGTGTGTGTGTGCGTTTTGAGGTGCCCTTGTTGGAGTGGTGTTGAAGGGAAAGAGAAACCCGCAATTTTGGGGTGCCGCATATTGACGCACACCCTCTTTGTTGTCCACTTTCACCTGGTTTTATCCACTAGAGTCACTAGACCTGAAATGGAAGTTCTTTGACGCCTTGGGCACCTGCCCTCGGGCCATTTTCGCCGCGTCAGTGAAACGCATCCACCAACTCGTTGTCTGAGTCGGAGTCTTCCGTCTTCAGAGCCTCGGCTCTAAGTGAGTGTGGCTGGAGCCGCGCAAGGAACTGGAGAAACATTTGGGTGTGGCTCAAAATTAAACAGGAGGGGCAAACCGCAGGTTTTGGTCCATGCTTCCACTTACCAGGGTTCCATTTTGGTACCGGTTTTATGAGCCACAGCCATTTTGCCTCGCGCAAAAACCAGTGTTCTGAAGGGTCACCAGCAGCAACGGGCGTATCAAGCAGAAGGCCGGCAGAATGCGTGTGAGAGAGAGAGAGAGAGCAATGGCATTCTTCATCAAAGCAGGGCTCTCTGGCAAGTGACAAATCACAATGCTACCCATGGCCCAAGACTAATTTCCCAACCAAAAATGCACGCCCCCCCCCGTTCCGAACGGATTGTCTTCCAACAAATGGCTGCGACTTCCATGCTTGGAGGGTACAACCACGGCATCGGCACCCTCGAAACGAAGGCACACATTATGAGTGGCTCAACTTTTCGTGGTTTAGCCAACACTGCCACTAAGCCAACTAAGAATCGAAAAACCTACGGGGTGTTCATAGTGATACCGCTGCTTGGGTGCTTGGGGGCATCTTGCATGGAAAAAAGGCGTGCCGCTTTACCACGAACAGCGGAGACCTAAGGAAGCGGATGGGGACAAGAACTGGGCTGTGCCCAGATCCCCTGCTAAAAACTCAACTAGGGGTTCAGTGAAAACTGAACCACTAAACCCGAAAAACAAAATGGGAAAAAAGAAGAAAATAAGGAAAAGAAGAAGGGGATGGCTAGGGACAACCAAGAGAAGTTCAAGCTCCTGATACCTTTGCCAGATTTCTCAGGTCAACACCTGCGGATTCACGCGGCGGGACTCGCCGATTCCGCCGATGGCAAAGGGATCTGAATAGCCTCCGCGTGGCTCGTCAAGCGGGCTTCCTTTGGTTTCCCTCAGTAGTGATAAATTCCCTTTAAAACCAACAAGGGAAAATAAAAATATTCATTTCAGCAAATTGAAGCGTTAAAGCCAACAGAAAGGGGATACCAACTCCAACAAAGACATTCTGGATGAAAAGACTAGAACCTGCGTAACTCCTGCGAGTAAATTTTGAACCACAGCCATGTAGTAGTCAGCCAACTGTTGACTTGCGAGTTTTGATTGGTGAATCGGTGGGTGATTGGTGACGCTTTGGCATGGTGTGTTGGTGCTGTGGTAACAGCATGCGCAAAAGAGATGCTCTGCCCCGCGTGCGTTTTTGCAATGCTTCCATGTTCAATGCATGCTTTCGAATCCATTACCAGTCTGCAGGCTTCAGGAGTCATGCAGCGAACTGTAGGTGCGCTTCTATCTTAGCTTGCATTGGTTGGCCTAATGATTGTGCACCTCCAGCGCCCCAACAATGATTCATCAAATTGCTTGAATCGCCCCTTTCATTACAAGCTCTGCATCAACCTTCGCCTGCCCCTTTGCAAGAACTGGACACAACGCAACGTGGCCATTGGAGCAGCCCAGTTGGAAGCAGTGCGTGTACGTCTGGAAATTACTATGGGCTGTTGCAACAACCAGCGAGAATCCGGGCAACATACTTTGCTTGCCTATCCAATGGTAGCTGCAAATATCATGGAATGTTAAACCACCCCCTAGCTGACTACCCCCCCCTCCTGGAATTAGGGATAGCCTCTTATTAAGGCCTTATTAGGGTCTTAATAAGCCATTATTTTTTTATGTTAGCAGAATAAGGGCAAAATAGGGGCTACTGCTTCAACCTTTTTCGTCACCACTAGTTTGGTCGTATTTTGGGCTGAGGTCCGCTGAGGTGTGAATGTCACGGGATGATGGGTTCCGGACTCGACTGGGTGCAAAACAAGACATAGTTTCAGAAACACACAAACTTAGTCACGACATGTGCAGCACCTGTTCTAGCTGACTTCAATCGAATCAAGTTCTCGCAAACAAAAACAACAGGACAACATAAGGAAATTGTCTAGCGGAGCCTTTCGTGTTGCAACAATATTTTTGTCCTTCTGTTGGCCTGCCTGAGAAATCTTCAAATGCTGTCGGGGGTTGCCCTTATTTCGGCCTTATTTTGCCCTTATTTTGGCCTTATTTCAGAAATCGTCAGATGCCGTTGGGGGTTGCCCTTATTTGGGCCTTATTTGGACCTTATTTGGGGCTTATTTTGGCCTTATTTCAAAAATCTTCAAATGCTGTTGGGAGTTGCCCTTATTTCGGCCTTATTTGGGCCTTATTTGGACCTTATTTTGGCCTTATTTTGGCCTTGCTTTGGACTTATTTCAATTCTCTTATTTGAGCCTTATGTTGGCTCGATTGCAAATGTTGAAATCAGCTGGCCTTATGGTTTGCTTTCTGTTTGGCTTTAGGCAGGGTTTGGCCCTTCCTTTGACATAGTTTGTATTTTTTGTGGGGGAAAGTGAGCGTCAATCAGTGGTGAGTAGTGAGCTGTGCAGAAAATGCTCTCACCACACGCCAGCGCAATCCCAAGTATATGCATTCTCCTACCATGTGGGGTCCCAGGGAGTGGCGTTGGGCCGCTTCAACGATGGAAAGCGTCTGCTTGGCAAGGGCCGAGTTTGGCTTGTTTTAGCTCAGTCAATTAACTTCCGGGGGGGGGGGTGGTTGGCTAGGGGGTAGCTAAACATTCCATGAAAATAGCCACAGGCTCCCTCTTCAAAGCCAAAATGTTGGATACCAAATCCATCCTGGCTCCCACAACCTCCAGCTGGATCCGTTGGATACCCCCCACCGGCCGGATCCGCGCGGATCCGAGGCGCCGATCCGCGCCTCCCACGGCCAGCTGCGGCGTGGCCTCGAAGTTGGGCTCGAAGGCGCTGAGGGCGTCATCACTGCCCTGTCGCGATCGAGTGGGACAGAAGAAAGGAGGGGTATTTCTTTTAGGATCTTTTTTCCCGTTTTTCCCCCCCCCCCCCCAAATAAATCCGCACCCCATAAGAAATGCTCCTGACCTCTTTACCTGTCCCCATGGTCTCTGACTATTGCGGGGGGGTGGGAGGAGTCGGGAGCCCCCGCTCCAAAAACGCTCCAAGCCAATTTGTGGGTCCACTGAAACGGTGACAAGTCCGGCTTGGGGAGTGAGAGAATGCCCATGGCGGAAAATGGGACCTGGAGGGAAACCAAAGGACAAGGAAACCTATCTACCCTTCGGGTTGGCATCGTGCCTAGGACCCAAGGCCACGCAGCATTCGAAGGGAAGGCCCACCCCATCCAAGCAAGATCTGGGTGTCTTTTAAATAGGGGACCCTTTGGTTTCCCTGTCGGTTTCCCTTTAGAACCACCACCAAAAAAGGATACTATCCAAAACACACACATCTATCTGTCGTGGCAAAAGCCGACACCATGCTGCATTCAGCCACAGCTGTCCAGCTCCCTCGAATGCTTAGTTGGTGTCTGTGTGCAAACGACGCGCATTTCATCTGTTTGGCCCCCACTGCTTCGATCGCTGGATGTGTCAAATCGATTTCTCTTTCAAGCCTGCGCCGTCGCTGCCAGTGGCGCTGGGCGGTCCAGCATGTTTAGGCCACCTGGCACCCACAGGAAAGTCCACAGCATCCGGCCTGGTTGGGGAAGGTAGCCCTATCTTTCGTCAAGGCAAGGCCTCAAAATGAATGATTCCCCCATTAGGTTTTGTTTTTAGGGGCATGAGGTAAAAACCCATGCCAATCTGTTGGCTCCTACCTGGCATTTCACTCAATCATTCGACATGGACATTAGTGTGATTCCCTTGGCACACCGGCGCCTCGATTTGTTGAGGCCTGGGAAAACATCATGTCCAGTAAACACGCCAGGCTCGGCTCATGGGTTCCCACAGAGCAAAGTCCTCGCCAGGCATGCGAGACATGGCAAACAGCTGCTGCTAGTGCCAGTGTTGCTTGAAAGACATTCAGGCTAGCCACTGGCAATTTTACTCTCTCCGAGATTTGAAGTGGCTCTTTGACTCCATCAGCGTTTCCTTAGAGTCACTCCACTCAGTTTCTAAAGGTACCCCACCCATTCGCAAGCCATCCGTCCTCCGCGTTGCCGTTCAGGTTCCAGCTCGTCACCTACCGGAGACCGGCCGAGGATCGGATCGAAGAAGAAAACCAATGGTTTGGGTGGAGTTCAGCATTCCGCGCTCGCTTTTTCTTTTTTCTTCGCATTTTCCCCCCTTTTCCCCGGATGAAGACGCCTTGCCATTTGGGAGTTTGGAAGGGCCAAAGAAACGTGCGATTCGCTACATTCGGGCTGCCAAAGATCTGCGAAATGAGTGTCCCTGTCACCTGGAGTAAATTGAGCCGAAGATGCCGCGTCAACACAAATACTCTGCCCCAAAGGGGTCAGGACCTCCATTTGGAAGGTTCTTAGCGTGTAAAATGGTTCGTTCGGACATGCAACATGTGGCTGGCAATCTCAAATTTAGGACCGAATTGTACAATATACCTTCTATACTTGTTGATTCATATATTATTTGACATGATTTACTCATATGATGTGGATATGTAATATCATTTGGATGTGGCTTCCTTCTGCTTCCTCACACTCAAACAGGCGCCGATGCCCCAAAGGCTCGTCCGGCTGGCTGAAGCATGGCATGGAGCTAAGTTGCAAAAGCCACCCAGATGGTCCGTGCAGTACCGGTTCGTATTGTGAGACACCCGAATTTGGACTTGGTTTTCATCCCCCCCCAAACGCATGCGGAACAATTACAAGAAACGTACGTGTCTGCTTGGTGCTGCGAGTGTCATGCGCGCAAGGCAAGCAGGCGCTTACATCTTCGCTAAACAACATGATTCGGAAACAGCGCAGAGGCATGCAAGAACAACTTATACAACTACCACCTAGAGAACATTGTTGATACGTCTAATCAATGAATAAAAGATAGGACAGGAATAAAACGAAGGCGAAACGCACGCGTGTGCTTTCTGTTACTGCAAGGGGCCAGGCACTTGGGCCTGGTGAGCTTCACGGAAGCCGCAGGAGCCGGCGGAACACGCGAACGGCGGTTGAAGTTGGAGTTGGTTTTTCCACCCCCCCCCCCCAGCCCCCTCCAATGCGCCAAAAGCCCTCGTGCACTTGGCAAGCCGCACAACAACAAAAGCCCCCCCCCCCCCCCAACCAAAAAAAAAAGAACAACCAACGAAGGGCCGTTTACGACGTGAGAAACGCCCCCGCCTTGCCGTCGCCACCGCCCGAGTAGAGCACAGGGCCCCAAGGCAGCTCTTCGACCCAGACCTTCGGAGGGGTTCTGGAAATGGATGTCTCAAAACAAGTGAAGCCCCAAGTATGGGGTAATGAAATGTGGCTGCGGCGAAAGATGTACAACCATGGCACCTTGGTAAAACCAAGGCTGACACCTGTGTAACCCCAGCTCTTCAATTTTGAGCCACACCCATATGGGTGTCTGTCTTCTTTGAGGTCGGTGTCCCCTTCGGAGTTGTTTCAAAGGAAAGCCAAAATAGAGCTCGCGATTTGTTGGTCCCCTATTTTAAGACACCCCCATATTTCGTCACAGGAAAGTCGCTTGAAACTGGCCCAAGTGATGTTTAAACCACCCAGGAACAATATAGCGAGCCCTGCAGCTGGCGAACCCGTGCTCCACTTTGGATTGCACTTGTTCGGCCCAAAAAAGAGTAATTTCAGGCGGCATCCTGAAAGTGAGCATGTCAGGAAAGTCCAGGAATAGCACCTAATCATCGAATTGGGGAGACATCTGAACATGGCAAGCACAGGTTAACGCAAGCAGAACACGCGGCATTTGAGTTCTCGCGCCAGCTTCGTGACGTCGCATTGGTGGCCCTGCAGCACCAGAACAGCCTGGTCGCGTGGCCCCGGCCGAAAATGAAGGCGCACATGCAATCTGCACGCACCTTGGTGCATGCTTTCTCAGAAACTCAACCCACCCCCCACCCCCTACCAATTCAGGCCGCACCGTGCGTTGGATTTTCTTTTTTGTAGCAGAGATCAACAGAATGAGCTGTGCAGTGGCTGATGGCTTGAAGCAAACACGGATCCCTACACTTCCCATTCAGCACCAAAATAATTGCAAGCCACAAACGGCGCCGTAAAACAAAAAAAAAAAAGACTTTCGGAGAGGGCCGCGAGCCTGTGGCAAAAGGCAACATGTTTGATGTCTAATTTAAACCACGCCTGTTCCTCATTCCTAACGCGCCCAAGGAAACTGTGCACCTCCACTTCTCAGTAGTCTGGGCGGCTTTTCTGAACTCGGTTGCTTTCTGCTCCCCCGCTAAAAGTTTAACTTTTAGCGGTTTAATGGAAAACCCATTATCAAAAAGTTAAGGTCCTAACATCCAAGCAAAATGCAACAAAGTGAAGGTGGTTTGAAGGGAAACCAACTCCCGCGCCTCGGTTTCTCGCATGCACCAAATGGCAATGGAGCCGTCGGAGTAACCTCAGTCGCAGTCAATCTCCTGGGAACAGCCGCGATATGCAGTTGAGTCACAATCCAAGCCCGGTATTAAAATGGTCTACCCAGAGCCATGTAAAGAACTAAGAAGGCGGCCGCAACTATTTCTGGCTGGGACTACCCCTTACTGACCTTCATCAATCCCCGGGTTTTGAGCAAGTGGCTCAGTTGAACCCTATGAGGTCTTAGAGGACTCGCAGAAATGAATGCGCACAGGCATCCGCCCATCTAAAAATGTCTGTAAAAATAATTATTCCCTTGCCGAGCGCCTTATTGCCAGCCGGCAACTTTCACGGACCTCTCAAAATGTGCGTGTCAGCCAGGATCCAACGCTTCATTTCCAAATCCCTTTGAGGTCATTCGTTCCCCTGCTGAGAACCAGCCAGCGAATCCCCATGGGTTCCGCTCATTGCCCGCCTCCAAAGATGAGGTCTCTCTCAACTGCTGCCGCGACCGAGAGGATGTTCACCTGGCCAGAGGCCAGAGGCCAAGGCAGCGGCACCAGGCTACAGGATCGGATACGGGTATGTCCTTCTTTTTGAGGGGAACCCCCAAAAGGTGGCTCTTTCCGTTTGGCGTCTTCTTAAAACCAGGAGAAAGAAAAGAAAGAATTCAAGCGGTTCCCTCAAAAAGCCACAGACCCGTATGAATGGCAATGCAGTGATCTCTTCCTTTCAGTGCCACAAGCGCCGATCCATCTACCGCTTGGAAGCAATACTGGTGACGTGAAACCCTGGAGGGCGGATTGATTGCGACACTGGCCACGAGCCGAGGTACTCCAACCATCTGCCATCTTCCTCGTGGCGCCATCTCGCACTTGCAACGAGCAACTGTTTCTGCACTGCTGCCTTACATCTGCCTTATGCTTTGAAGAAGTTGGCAACAGCCGAGACAAGCAGAAACAAACAACGCAACCTCTGTCCAGTGATGCCTCGGAAGCCAGCTCCTCCCCGAAAGTTAATTGAAACATGCCATCTTCGGCACCCCCGCCAGCAGCCAAAACCCTTACCCCCCACCCTCACCCCCACCCTACACGCCACACACCCACCCCACCCTACACCCTTCAGCCCCAACGCTACACCCCCACCCTTCAGCCCCAACCCTACACCTCCCACCCCCACCCCGACCCTACACGCCACACACCCACCCCCCCCTACACCCTTCAGCCCCAACCCTACACCCCCCACCCCCAAGGTCGAGGTCGCACCTCTGACTGGTGCAGGTGCTTGGCACGGTAGCTGCCCAGCCGGGTCATCTCACTCTCCTGCATTGCGGGCTGGGTCTCGCCTTACACAACAAGCAGCGCAGGCGGTCTCGAGCTCGCGTGGCCGGTTTCTTTGGCTAGGTCCTCCAGATTTGAGAGGTTAGAATAATAAGGGTACCCTTTTTTTCTGTAGTCTATTTTCGAAGGGGAACCCTCCCAACCAAAAAAAATGAGACAGGGCACTACTGGGGGACCCCAACAAAATTGCAAGGTGAACCAAGGGAAACTGCATGCATGCCTGATGAGGCCGCCTTCACCACGCATGCAACAAGGGGACGCGGAGAAGGCTTGAGGTTTGCCCTCTTCTTTTCAAAAAGCACTGCCAATGGCTCATTGCAAACACGAAGTAGCCTGCCTGTAATGCGTTGCACTGCTTTTGGAGCATTTGCTCAATGCTGTGCTTTCGCACGCCCAGTCCCTGTCTTGTATCTCAAGACGAAAGGCCCCAGCTTGTTGGTTGATGCTTAATCACTTGGTTCACTTAGTCACTTTCATGCCTGAAGGGGCTTGTTGATGCTAAAGCAGCTTCTTGCCATCGATCCCTCGAATGGCAGCTGCCTTGAACGTGAAATCAAATTATTTCGCACGTATCGGCCTTCCAACCCAGAGCACAGCGTCTTACCGGCCCTAAGGATCATGCCAATGGCGATCCCTGCAATCGAAATCTGGTAAAGTGGTCTACCTGAAACCATGTAAGGAATGGTTGTGATCATCAGATAACCCCTAATTGGTGGTTTGGATTTGGATTTGAACCCATTCTTGTATAAATGGGGAAACTACCCTTAACCACCAAACCACCAGGCACAATCAAAACCCGCTACTAAAGTTGTCTACCCAGAGAACCATGTAAGGAATTAAGAAGGCGGCCGCAGCTATTCATGGTTGGGATCGTCCTTTACTAAGCTGCATCTACCCAGGTTTTGATTGTGGCTCAGGTGAGATCATGCCCCATGTTGTCCTGCGATCGTGCCATGGCCCCATGAAAACACATCTCTCGATCGGATCGGTCCGCCCCTGCCGCGCCTCGCCCCGGCTGTGCAGCGTGAGTGCGGAGACGCAGTCGCAGTGCGCCACTAGCAGGTGCTCCTCACGTTTCTGGCGGCAGGAGCCACAAAAGCCTTGCCCCCCCCCCCCCAAAAAAAAAAAAAAAGGCACCAAAATCCAATGATGTCACTTCCCCCCCCCAAAAAAAATGCCCAAGATCCAATGATGTCAGTCCTTCAGGACATTCGCTCTGAATCACGACAAAACATGACGCTGAATACGTTGCATTGAGCTGGAAAACTTTGACCCTCAGAAAGACTCCAGCAACTGCTCAGCTTTCAGCCCCGGAAGGGTCTGCAAACCACGTCTACACAATGCTGCCCCAAAGAGCCAACCCTCTAGCCTGCCCCCGCACCCAGCTTTATGGGGGCTTTACAGGTCTTCGGGTTCTCAGGGAATGAGGGAAGGGAATGACCCCCGCCAGAAAAAAAACAACTATGGTTTCCTTTAAGGAATCCCCTTCCGGTTGATTCCCACAGCCCACTATCATTCCCTGCCCGCCAGCAAGCTGACTCCCTGAATCCCTCTCGATTCCGAAACCCTCCTGCGTGAGCGTCACATCTGAGACGGGGGACGAAGTCATGTCCACCTCGCGAAAGCAAGATCCCCACTTTCCCAGCCACCCCCCCCCCCGAGGAAGACTCAAATCATCCAGATTCGAGATGGTGTCTCATTTTTGAACGCACCCCCAGAATGGCTTCGGCGTGCAAAACGGGGTACCACTTACCAAAAAGATAAACCCATGTGCCAGGAAGGAGGGCTCAACACTGAACTCCAAGGTGCTTCAGTCAGCTGAGACCTTCTGGAAGTTTGCGCGGGACTCCCCCCTTCCAACTTTGGACTTGTAGCGCATTGACCCAAATTGTAGCGCAGTGACCCAAATGATGCTCAAAGGTAAGAATGCAAGGATCTAGATGCCAGCAATGAGGTCCACTGCAGGAGGAAAGCTGAAAGGTGCAACCGCTGTCTGGGTATGAACAAACAGGTTTCAAGGCTGACTAAGGCGTGCGAGCCGAGCTGGAGACTCTAAGGTGATCAGGTGTTCAGACAAGGCTTGCAGAAGCCTCTCAGCGCCATTCCGAAAGAACACGCTCAGAACCAGACTGTGTGCAGGAAGTTTGGCGGATTCTGCGAGATGTCCAGGACGAACAAATCCTCAGCTCCAAGTCCAGACTGTGCTGTAGGGATTCTGAGCGCCTCACATGTATCATGGCCGTTCGCTGAAGGCTTCAAGTTGCACACCCTTGAGGGAGTAATACATATTGCCAGATCAGTATCATTGGTGGCCGTTGCTGCAATATGTATTGAAAACACCAACATCTTTTTTGACGAGTCCAGCAATATGCATCGTGCTAACAATGCGTTGGTCCATGTCCAACGCAATACTACTATGTTTAAGAGTTCGGCTCTGGAAAGGCCAGTAAACTTGCTGGTGCGATAGGTAGGGAACCTTTCCGGGTATTGAAAATAAACCGGAAGGGGATTCCCTCAAAGGAAGCCATAGGGGATTGTTTATAGGTCATTCCAATGTACTGCTCGGGGACCCATAGGGCCCCTTCCTGGGCGCATTGCATTCTATGCCCGGCCAGGTTCAGGGCTACACACGGGCCGGGGCCCGAGCCTGCCACAGCAGTGTTGTGGGTTTCTCATGTTTCAGTTTGTTTTATCGGAAGTTCCATCCCGAAGAAATCTCGGTGACGCCGCTAAGCAGGTTATGACTGGCTCCCTCACTGAGCTCATGTCCCCACCGGAGGTGGTGATGAAGGCGCGATCCTGAGTCCAAGCACTCGGCACAACTGCCGAGGCAACAATTCAAACTGAAACTGCGGCTGACTTCTTTATGGCCTCTTTCTCTCTGTCTCTCTGTCTCTATCTCTCTCTCTCTCTCTTTCTATCTCTCCCTCTCTCTCTCTTTCTATCTCTCCCTCTCTCTCTCTATGGCAAAAGTTGCTTCTGAGCAATACATCTATTGCAAGTATGCGCCAAACACGAGCAAGTCCGTGCCTCAACCCACCGACTCCTTCCCAACTTTGTGTCCGGCACAGTCGGCTCCAAGCGCCACACATGGACATCATCCAGGTAGCAGCTACTCAAGTAGTCCATTTCACCTCTGCATCAAGAAGGCAGTGGACCAATGGAAGCATGCGTCCAAGGATCCTCCAACATATTACATGCGAAACTCTCTCACTTCCTGCGTTGGTTGGACAAAAAGCTCCACCAAACATGTGGTTTTGCCAGATCAATCGCGCGAGTTCCTGTCATAGGGTGTCCGGGGGTATCTCGGAAGCTAAACAAATGCCCAGGCCGGGGAGTCTGCAATTTTTTTGAGCCACATGGTACTGACATCCCACTCCCATTCGGATTGCCCGTTGCTTGCAGGCAAAAGCGTCAAGGGAAGGGAATGGCCCCCATATCGAGATTGACCGTGAGACTTTGCTGGCTGTGATCTCAAGAATGTCAACAGACTGTGGATCATCAATTGGTGCTATTCGAAGACCCAACATCCTTACCCTCAATGAGAATCCCCCCCTGCAACCTGCAAATAAATGTGGGTCTCTTTTTGAGGCTACCCCTTTCTGAGGTTCCCTTTGGTTTCCCTTACCAACCAGAACAGGTGGCCTTTGGAACAATAGCCCTGGTAAATGGGGCATAAACACCATCTACACCAGGGCCCTCGATTTTTGTTGAGCAAACCAACCCAAAAAAGGCCCCACTTACGGCCACGCGAAGATCGAGGCGCTGCGCAGCCGCTTCTGGAGCCGGCCCCCGCAGAGGAGTTCCTTGGAGCGCCTCGGAGCGGGCAAGGCGCGAGCGCTCGCGCACAAGCGGGAAGCTCCTTATGGGTGTGGCGTTTTGTTGTTGTTGTCTTCTTCTTTTTGCTGCGGTGGCGCAAGGTCTTGGGTCTTTGTTTGCCAGAGGCCCAAAAAAGGGCGGCCTCGTTACGTTACCATCAAAGTCACCCCCTAAAAGGTGGGCTTTCCAGGGAAACAACCACATTTGCTGACTTTGATCACTCCCTGAAACCGTCAAAATAATGACCCAAGAGGCTCCTATGGCTGTGGCTCAAAAAAACAAATGCGAGCTGCGGCTGCGCAGGCTTTGGTCTTTTTTTTTCCCAGGGCCCAAAAGTGGGTGCCAGCTTTTTGAGCCGCAGCCACAGGCGATCTTCAAAGGCCGGATATCGGCACCTTTCAATGGTGGGGTTTCTGCCTTGCTAACCTCTATCTACCAAGGTTTTGATTGTGGCTCACATTACATTGGACTTCCCACAAAAGAAAGGTGTTCAGCTTGGCTTCCCGTTATCCCATGGAAGCAAAAAAGGGGCGTTGGGTGCTCCCCAACCATATCTGGAACAGCACAAGACCATCTTTGCTTGCAGTGTTCACAGTGGAGGCGTTAAGCAAAAAGGGGGTTGCAGCTCACTTGCAACAAGCAGAAGCCAAGCACGAGCACGTGGCATATCTTGTATAATATCAGGGTATGTGAAATGAGGTGATCTTCCGCGGGGCAACCCAAAGCATGGCTGCTCTCAACAGAACAGCAGCATTTTTTGCGGGCTCTTTGTGTGCGCCATAGTCAAAACTGATTCGGCCACGGAAGGTTTGCTGGCCCTCCCTCCTGTACATGTTGCTAAACGTAATTCGTTGAACACCCCGTGTCCCGTCTTTTGCAACAGCTCACAGTCCTGGACCTCAAATGTCCGACCAGGCTTATATACTATTTACACAAAATACGTGTTCTGACCCACGTGTCAAGAAGCACCGTATTGTCTAGACAAAGCATCGTCATTTCGTCGACTACATTCTAAGACGCGAGTTGTTGCTTGTGCCTTCGCCCTTTACGAGTGTTGGCCTCTAGGCTCTGGCGGCCAACCCTTCCCCCCGCCCAACCCCCCGGCCCATCCATCGCCGAGCAGCACATCTATGACTCGCATGGCGGTGTCGAAGCCCACCGACAACAACTTCCTGACCCCGCGCATCACTGCGCGAAGGCGCGCGAAGGCGAATGCGCGTTTTCGATAAGGAAAAAGACAAATAGCGCATAGCAGCAGTGGAGCAACCAACATGCAAGCTTCACCTCTTCGGGGTCATGCACAGTCACAAGCGTCCAAGATGTACTCAGTGTCTTTCACAACTGGAAACAGATGAACTCGACATGCACCAAACCATTTCTGCATCTTCGGCTCCAAGCCCCGCGTCCGAGATCCACGGGAATCGTTTCCGTGTCCGTTTCCTGGAGGAGACGCTGAGGTGGGTCACCGGGCTCTTGTGGTGCAGCTCGAGAGAACCGATGGCCTGGCAACGAGAAAAGAACACGGCCTTGGAGTTGACCGTGGCCAGGGTTCCGCGGTTTTGGACGAAACGGAAGATCTGAACCCAGGGGGTTTGGCACTTTTTGGACGAAACGGAAGAGTTACCCTCTTTCCAACTTAATCACGGAACTGGGTTCCAGGGGCTTCCCAAAAGGAAAGTAGTCTTCCGAAAACTGTCTTGTCAGTTTCCATAATTGGAGGGAGGGTGCACCCAGGGCTTCTCCTTGGGCGAACTGAACCACCCTTTCAAGTCTACCTTGCGGTAGTCAAAACGTTCAACCGCTGATGGGCAGCTCCCGTGGCGAGAAGATCCCAGTTTTGTCGGCCCTTGGCAGCCGGCACTTGAGCCAAGCGATCGCCTCGACTTGCTGCAACTAGGTAGAGAATGACAAGTCCAAGTGCCGGTTGAATGACCCCGTTTTGGGGATTCCCGAGAAAGAGGAAACCACCGGCAAGGGATGGCTTGCGGGGTCAGACTTCATTTCTCAGGGCCCATCGAACCAGCCAGTCCATTTGGCTTCTCCCTGCCTCTGGCTTCACCTCCCCAGGCTTCAGTAGGAAGACCTGGAGCCCAAAAAAACGAATCCGCCTGCGGACGTCGCATGTGACAACGATCCGATGTGCGACTGGTTTCGGGGGGAAGAAAGGGCGAGCGAGCAAGCAATGAAGCAGTGAGTGAAGCAAGTAAAGACGGTGCAGTTTCGGGGAAGAAAGGCCGAGAAGCAAGCAATGAAGCAGTGAGTGAAGCAAGTGAAGCATTAAGCCAAGCAACGAAAGCGGAAAAATTGGTGTTGGGTCAAAAGCCCGCTCCCCCAGTGAACATCCCAATCCCCACTATTATAGACTAACATGGGTGGTGCACCTACCCCAAAATGGTACCATTGGTTTTGGCCCACAGCCAGTTGTGTGAAGGCACAAACGCATTGGACCCTGAGCAGTTGCAGCGCCTCGATCTTGCCATCCTCTAGCCCAACGAAGATCTGCCTGAAGCGCAAGCTCCCACAAACCAAAGTGCTCCACTAAATCCCAAAGTTCTGGAAAAACCCGCAGCGAACAAGAAGATGCCCGGCTCCGGTGTTGCTTTCGTTTGTTGCAAGCAGGGCAGAACGGGAAACCAAGCGAAAACCAACGATTTGGGAGTTGCCCTACTCTGCGACAAACACTGATTGTCGTATATCAGCCGCCTTTGGCGAGGCTTGGGCAATCCGCTGCCTGCTTGGTTTCACGCCAGCATCGTCCCGCCCAATGGCTCCTGCCTCGTGACGCCCTCCCAGCACAGTGAGCGCACCTGGAAGGGCCCGGCCGAACCGAACTGAACGAGCGCCACCGGGAGTCATGATCCATCCTGCAGGATCATGCTGGCAAGATCAGGGGCAACACTGGCCCCACATTTTGCCATGATCAAAGCCACCCCCAAAGTTGTTAAAGGGAAACAACCCCATTTCCTGACGTTGATCAAATCACCTAGAAACAGAACCGAAATAGCTTCCCCAACAATCACGGCTTGGCCGAAAGTCAGCGTATGAAGCCTTCAGCCCAGCCTTTCAGACATCAAATGGAGCTGCTTGGGCTGGACCCCTTGTTCAGGCTGCTTGCTTGCACCAACTGACATCGCAAGTGTTCTCAGCGAAACCATCAAATCAAAGCTCCGTGTGAATATTGGAAAGAGGTGATTGACGATCGCAATGCAGCGCGAAACAATCATTAGCATGCATGACCTGCTCCTCCCCCTTGCCAGCCTTCTACACTACTGCAACGCCACGTTGTGGTATTTTGAAGTCTAGCCTCCCTCGTATCTTCGTCAGCACAAGCCGTCAGCATCGCTGGGGCACATAGCAATCAACTTCTAGGCAGTCCAACAAACACATCCCCACCGCTCCCTTGACTCCCCCAAACGAAAGATTCACATGTGGGCCATGGTTTAAAAACAAAAATCTTCTATGGCCAGAGGACATCTTCGTCCCCGCTTGGCTCTCACCCCATCTCCCCGAGTTGCGTTCGGCGCGCCGCGCGCCGTGTTGCGTGCCTTGATGCCGTAGGTCTGGGAGTAGCCACGTCTCCAGGAGCCTTCCTCGCGGTCCCGCGCCTGGGCCCAAAGGACCCCCAGAAGGACCCCCAGAAGGACCGAAGGGCCAGCTTGCAAGCAACCTCTTTGGCTGAGTCGAGGCGTTGCGGCCCCGGAAAGGCCATGGGTTAACTCATGAGCTTTGAGGAAGGTCACCCGTCAAGAAACAGAGCTACAAAGGCATATGTATCAATCAGAAGGTGGTTCTGTGCTGAGAAAGTAGTTGGTACTGGGAAGCCTTCCATTTGCTCATGAGCTGGTTGCTTTGTGGCAAACAGCCACCCCTGCTCGTGCGCTTGTCTCTAAGAGCCAGACCAGTATGTATGTGTGAGTGTGGCACGGTATGCGGCCTGAAGGTAGCCCATAAAGTATCTTTATCATACATAAATACATCAAGGTGTGTGTGTGTGGGCTCGTATATGTATCTAATAACACATGTTCATCATATCATATATGGTAGTGTATATTGTAGTTGAATTTGTATTATATCATATCATGTCATATCATGATTAGTTGTATCATACTGTGTTGTCGTGTACAGTAGTGGATTGCATTGTACTGTATTATTGCATATAGCATGTAGTATAGTACATAGTATAGTATAGCATAGTATCGGTATCGGTATGGTCTAATATATTATAGTATATCATATCGTAGTATATCATAATATCATGTCATATCATATCATATTGTATCAAGCATTGTGTAGCATAGTACAATTGTGTTAGATGATATACTGCAATTGTGGTATAGTGTTATATCGTGTACTATGGTACAAGTTTCACTACATTACATTGCATTACCTTACATTGCCTTACATTGCCTTACATTGCATTACATTACATGGCATGACATTACATTGCATTATATTGCATTACATTGCATTACATTGCATTACATTACATCATATCATATCATGTCATAGCATGGCATAACATCATGTCATATCATGGCATAGCATATCATATCATATGATACGACGTGATCTGACATGGCAGGACATGATCTGACATGATATGAAAACATACCATATTGCTTTAACTGATTGATATTATGTTATATTATATGTACAACACTTTGCTTTTTTATTGTTATATCATGTATTACACATTAGCTCATGATGCTATGATATGATGTGATATGATGTGATATGATGTGATATGATGTGATACGATGCATACTCCGATGTGTTGTGATATGACGTGATAGTCTATTGTATTGTATTACATATCATACATACCATGCCATACAATACCACACCATCATACGTATGATAAATAGAAGCACGTACCATGTCTGTCCTTTTGTGGGTGAGGGGGGAGCTTCCCAGACTGCCTGAGCTTGCGCAAGTCAGAGTAGAGGAAGGGTTGAGCTGGGCCAGGCTGACGGATGACTGTTGTTTGGATCTCCCACAGTGTCCATCCTGCACTTGATCCCCATGTATTTGAGACCTGCACCTGTCACTAGCAAAGAGCCTGGGTCGAAGTGCGGTTCAGACGGTATTGGCCAGCAATTTTTCAGGGTGGCGTGGCAAACTAGGCACGGAGGCTTTGAAGCCACGTGCACACCTAAACAATCACTCTATATGGTTGCTAGCCAATGAGTGTCTGGAAGAACTTGAGCACAACGACTCATTCACCCTTCTCTCGAATCCTAGAGCCATTTTCAAGCAAAAGATGGAGCCTCGTTCGCGGCCTCCGAAACACCTCTTGTACAGCCGTGGTGACCCAACTTCAAAGGGCTCCCATTCTATGGGCTCGCATAGACGAGAGTTGGTGGTGGTGGCAGGATACAAAGCAGAAGAAGCTTGAAGGATCATGTCCAGGTGTGTCCACAGGTTCAGGGTAGCCGTTTGGTGGTTGTTCCAAAGGGAAACCAAGAGGAAACGTGGGTGTGACTTTTTTATAGGGGACCCTCCAAAATGTCCACAATGGTATCGGCCTTCCTTTTGGTTTCCCTTTACAACCACAAACCAACGGGTAACAACTCAAGAAAAGACACTCCCACATGGCGCCTCCCTGTTTGCTCGTGTCGAATCCTTGGCTTCCTGCCCACATGTGCAGCGCCCCGAGCTCGTCTGGCTCCACGACTGACCTCAGACATCGGGCGCTGGCGAAACTGTGGGTTTTGTTTGGCCTTCGCTGTTTGACAGGCGGCACAAGGCAACAAAACAGGGGCCCATTCCTCTTGGACAACCGGACATCCCCCCAAGAACCCCACACAGCGAATCAGTTCGCCAACGGTAAGGTGTGAGAACTGATGCACACCGAGCTCTCGGAGAACTCAAAGGCTTGATTTCCAGCTGGGGGTTCCTTTTGAGAAATCGAGGGTATTTGTGTTGTATACCAGTGGCTTGGTTGTACCCCCCGTCTCGGAATGTCCTTCCGGTTTCGATTTTGAGGACTTCGAGAGGCTTCGCCATTTCGAGCAGCTGGCTTCGCATCTCGCTGGCACGTCGGTATCTCTCACTGCACACTGAGCCTGCAGCCAAACCCTCCCCAGCCGCGACAAATGCGTCGAGTCCTGACACCCCCCAGGACAGGACTGACTCCGAAGCTCCCAAAGAAGAAGAAGAAGAAGAAGAACGGAATCCACACAATGGCAATGGCAAATGGAACCAAAGACGAGAAAAAACCCGCGGTTTGCCCTAGCTCTTTAATTTTGAGCCACACCCGAATCTCTGCAGGTCACATTGCGTGGCAAATCCCAGACCATATCTTCTCTCGTCCAAAGCCTTGTGGATCCATGCACCCATGAAAATGGAACCATGCATTTCGGCCCTTGACCCACAAGAGGCACATCAACGGGGCGAGCTTGCGTGACAGTCAGTCAGCCAGCAGCCAGCCAGCCCCGAGTCCTCATGCGTGACCTGGACTCAGGGGTTGCTCATGGTCAATCAGAGAGGCCCTGTGCAGAGAGGCCCCGCCCACGCAAAACCCACCATTGGAACTTGTGACCTTGTAAATGCAGTCGTTCCCCCCAAACATCATTGCTGGGGAAACCCATGCTTCTGCATGAAGGGCGCGTGTGCCTTTTGAAAGGAATACAACAAAACTCAAGCGAATCTTTTGTGACACATTTGCCATATTTCGGGAGAACCCCCCTTTTGGTTGGTTGTTAAAGGAAACCAAAACGAAAACCACCACACCATTTCGGGGAGTCCCTATTTTCGAGACACATCCATATTGAAGTCATCAACCACGTCAAGTGCATGTTCGGGAGTCAATTGAGCCCCCCGCCAGCACCAGATTGGCATCTTGAGCCACGCAGATTCCACTGACCTGAGCGTTGAGAACCGCAAACGAGCAAGGGCATTGTGGAACGACAGAAGTGTAGCAACAAAGCATACATGGGGGGTCTCATCTTTCGGTTTTAAGGGGATTCCAACGAAACAGGGGTCCCCAAGTTTCAGAAACGTACACATCTAAAGTCTGGAAGTCCTTGTTGTCAACTTCAATCAGTCAGTTTTGAAACACCAAGCAACCAGACACAAACCTCAGCCGCCCGGCGCCGAAGCGCGGATCCTCAAAGCTGCGGATGGGGCTGGGCTGGATCTGCCTGACAAGTTGCGACGGATGCTGCAGGAGCATTTCGTCAATCGGTCTGAAGAGCTTTCAAAGCTTATATCCCCCATGAAAATCAAGCGGCCTGGCTTCCGTGACAAGAGAAGATGCGAATGGGAACTGTCATGCGACATGGGCAGAATGTACGGGTTACTTGAGCGCTTCAAGGATCTGTCTTTGCACGCCCCCGCCTGATTTCCTCATCCACGTGGTCAGGGATGTCCAGAAAGTGGCGCATCGCTGCGCCTCAACCAGCTGTCTGTATGCCAATTAGTTTCTGACTCAAGTTTCGGAGGGTTGCATTGATCATACATCAGACTTGGACCCCAAAGGCAAACCGGTTCACCTTACGGGCCCTGACATTCATCTTGTGGGAGAACCGTGGGAAACCTGTGTGAAACCGGGTGGGAAACCCATGACACACCCACAGATCCCGTGGAAAACCTCTCTGAAACCCGTAAACCGGTGAACCCAAGTTGAGGTCCTCACTGGTCCGGGTGTCTGGCCTGCGAGGTCGGCAAATGAGTCGAACCCTTTTGGAAACTGAAAGCCAGAAAACGCCCACCTGAGTTCGTATGGAGAAACACGGTGTCTTTGCAACCTTTGAGGGCAGATCGTCTTCAGCATGTTCCATGCAACTCGATGTCCGCCCTCCTGATTCAGGCCACAAGCTAAACCACCACTGTTGAAGTAAACAGACTGTGCTCTTGAACCAAAACCACCCTAGACCAACAGCACCCACCCGAACTCTGAAAGTGGCTTTGAGAAACGGTGTCGGGTTCATGTTGGGTTGCTGGAAAGCTGTACCGACGCGAAGGAACACGTTTCCACGTTCCAGTCATACGCCGTCTCAGAGGAGCATTTAGCAAGTCTCTAGCTCCAAAGTGTGAGAAGGTCATGGAAGAGCGCATCCCAATCCCGCTGTGACTTGAAAGATTTCAGTTGAGCACGGATTCGCTCGCCTGCAGGTGACTGCTGTATAATCTCAGGTATGATGGTTCCAAGGTTGCCGCCATGAATGAGCATCACGTACATGTTGCGAGCTTTCAAAACATTTGGATCGAAAGGATGCTGCTCCAAAGCTGCAGCAAAGGGATTCCTCGCGTTCAACAGCACATGCGGCGTGATGCCAAGACAGTTGCTGCGCAACATGTCTTGCGTTTCCACATGGTCCTGGTCACTTGCGCACGTCAAGACAAAGGGGATCTGTTGCTCAACCAAATGAGCCAGCACTGGTAGCCAGTTGTAAGTGGGATCATACAAGCCGGGATAGTATGCAACAACGACGTCAGGTTTCCTGTAGCGCTTGTGTCGAATGAACTCTTGGTAGGATCCGATAAAACAAGTTGTGCAGTAGGTGAACTTTGATTCATCAATGTCTTCCACCGCGTCCCAACCCTGATGCCGTGGGATGCTGCATCCAATCAACTCGATATGGAGTCTTGGACCTGCACGTCCCAGCAGGGCACCCAAGATGTTTCGAAACACCAAAATCTCTCGCAGCTCATGCCCAAGCTCAACGCCAACCACGTGGGCGCGCAGGATTGAGCGCTTCTGCGGGTCATTTGATTGAAGATCTGTTGATGTTCGCTCCACAACCCAGCCTTTCGCATCGAGTACCACAAAGTGAATGGATCAGTGAACGCTGAGGCAAGTACGAACTTCAGGTCCGCAAGCATGGCATCAGCTGTGGCAAACGCTAGCGGCTTGACTCCCCCAAGGGGTCCAAGGAGGGCTGCGGGCAATAAACCATCCTCAAACATCTGACTTGCTTGCATCAGTTGTGGCTCAAGCTGCGCCAATCTTGACATGTCCCTGCGCCAGCTATCACGCTGCCAGAAAGCTTTCCATCCCCCAAGCGACAAATCCTCACGATCCTGCGGGGTCATCGTCGCAAACCGCGGCCATCCAGTGAACGGTTGCGATACTGTATTGGATGTCCCACGGTTACAAACTTTCCCTAACAGCAAACACGGCGCGTCCGGGTCGGCATCAGCACTTCCTGCGGCGTGCGCCCAATCTAGCGCAATACACATGGAGTCCCTCTGCCGCTCTCTTTCGCCAATAGTCTTCAAGTCTTTACACATGCTGCTGTGCACGTGCTTGTGGGCTTCCAAGTGCTCGGAGGAACAATAGCGCACTTGCTTGCACAAGCGGCATGTCTTGCCCTTGAGTGTGCTGCTCAAGCACATCTTGCAGAAGCCACACACATCCTCTGATCTTGGCTTGTCAAATTGAAGATTCTCGACGTAGCCCCCAAGTTCCTGGTTCAACTTCATCATGGTCTCGGTCAGCAAGTCATAAGAAGCACCCATGTGCTGCAACAGCTTGCTGGCGTCCAACAATACGTCCATAGCTTCTCTCCTCTTGTGCAAACCAATTAAAGCATCTGCTTTGCGCTTGTATGCCTTTGCGTAAGACGGATCAAGGGCAAGACATTGTTCTGCATCGTTGAGAGCTGCGTCAAAGTTGTTCATCTCAATGTGCACTTGCGCCCGGTTGCAGTAACCGATCTTGTCATTGGCATATTTTTGGATGTGCTCGTTGAACAATGGCAGTGAGTCAGCAAAGCGTTTTGCCTTGAACAGCGCAACGGCCTCTGCGGCCACATTCGCCATCAGATCGAACCGCTGGCCCAGTTCTTTTATCTGTTCTTTTGATTGTTCACAGAATGAGAAGCTGGTAACCATTCTTGGTCAATAGTTCAAAGGATATTCACAAGATCATTCATGTATCATTGTTCAATAATTCACAGTTATTTTATCTGTTCATTGATGTTCAATCAGCTGTGTAACATCCAGACAAGTGAAACAAGTCTTGGTTTGGCTCAATCAACAAAAGCAACCACCTTCTCTTCATAGTTCCTTCTACCAAGCCGGGTTTTGGGGCTGCCCTCTTTTTGAGCCATACCCTGGGTCTACCAGCTCGAGTCTCGTTGCCAAGCAGGGAAGGAAACAAACAGGAACTTTTGAGAGTGTGCATTTTGGGGTACCTCTTTTTTGTGGGTGTGTAAGGGAAACCAAAAGGAAAACCACATTGTTTGGGTCCCCTTAAAAAAAAGACACCCCAATATATTGAACGAGTCGAAAGAGAAGGAACAATCATAATTCTACACTACCTGCCATGAATACATTAACACAAACTGGACCTGATGTGCGTTTCCAAACACAGCACATCGCTAAAGGCTTGGGCATCTTCCAAAAAGCCCAAGGTCAAATATACTGGCTCAGGTGAGCTTCGCCAAAGACAAATTCTTGACATCTGCTTTTCGGTCTTTGCCCTGGTGTCCAAAATATGTCGGTACTACATTATACACCTGGACATTGCCTTGTAAATGGTGGTGTCCCTTTATTTTGGTGGAAAATGTCATGTCTCAAATGGTTGCAAAATGTATCTTTCAAGGATCCCTGTAGATGTACTAGTGCTTTACTGCAGAAATTCATCGTCGTTCTGATCACTTGGCTGGAACTAGGACCCCAGCAAAAAAATATAAATGCCTGCTTCGTGGAAAACAAAGGGGACCCCAACAAAGCAAAACCCCCCCAAAAAAAACAAGGGGCACGAATTCTGGGGAAGATTCTTCCGCGGCTTCAGCTATGCCTCTAATCCAGTCCTGTGGCTTCGGATCAGAATCAGTGCGTCGCGTTTGCAGAAAAGCAGGCCTGCGTTTTTTTTGGTGTTTTTTTTTCTGGTGAGGCAGGCCCCCTCCACATGCGGGGGGGGGGAGCAGTTGAGAAACTTGTTGTAAGTCGTATCTCAATTTTGAAGAGCAACACGCTGAGGATGGCATGTGTACACAAGCAGATGCAACAGCAACACCAGCAGCGGCAGCCGCAACCAACAGCAGTAGCAGCAGCAGCAGCAGCAGCAGAAGCAGCAGCAGCAGCAGCACCAGGCGGCAGTAGCAGCAGCAGCGGCAGCAAAGGAAAAGTCAAGCAGCGGCAGCGGCGGTAGCACCATCTCTCTGTAACAATGCAGAAAGCCGGGAGCAACGCTGCAGCTTTTGTAACAGCAATCCCGGGGGGGGGGGGGGGGGGGGGCAAAACACAGCGACAGCACGAGCTCCTGAGCAAGACGTCTTGGCGAAATGAAATTCATGTGTATTCCCCCAGATGAGCAGCTGTCAAAACCAGGGAACTTTGAGTTCTACTAACATGGGGTTCAGATAAGCCCAGAGGCTTTGCCATCACCCCGATTAAGCCAGGTAGTAGAACCACAAGGACATGGAGCGCCTTTGAAGCTGTTTGCGATTTCAGTTTCAAATAATCTCTTTTCCCCAACATTGAAGGCTTGCTGGTTTTGCCTGCAAAAGCGAGGAGTAAAACCAACATAACAGAGCTGTTCCAGGCGCGTTGAAGCTGCCAAAGCGTACATTGCGTACTCTTCCACTGCAAAGTTGCGTTGCTTGAGCTGGAGCCGCCAATTGCTTACTACAAGTGGATGAGATTCAAGAATGGCGGTTTTGGGCGGCCACGGGTGAGATATTAGAAACCGTCAGCCTCTGATCGACTTTACGCTGCGACGCCTCAGCAGCAAATCCTGCAGGACGATCCGCAGCCTAGGTTAACGTTATCCGCAGACCGCACATGTCCACAGGGATCCTTACATTATACACCTGAACATTGCCTTGTAAATGGTGGTTTCCTTTTATTTTGGTGGAAAAAGCCATGTCTCAAATGGTTGCAAAATGGAGATCCTTTAAGGAGCCCTGTGTCCACCTGCCCTATTTCATCAATTTGGAAGCTGCCGGTGTGGGCCGTGGAACAGCCTTCGGGAAGAAGCTTCCACCATTCTGCCAGGATTGAACCTGTAAGGACGGTGACTGGGAAGGGCAGCTTGGATTTGCGAGTGCAACGTGAAGCAAGCGACTCATGAAATCACAGTCAAATGCATCTTGCCGCGGTCCCAAGTGGGCATGGGTGAGAATCGGCCTGGTGCCCTGTCCCTTTTTCAAACATATCTCTTCACGTGGAAATGACCCTGCTGACGCTCCGGCTGCTCCTTCCGCGCGTCGATCGCTGCCTGGGGATTTCGGATGGCCGCCCCTTGCAACAAATGGCTGTGGGTCAAAAGTGGGTACCCAAAATGGCTTGCCCTGGTCAACGGCTTGCCCAGGATAACCAGGGGTCCAATTCCTGGTGGGTGAATTTTGACCACCCACAGCCAGCCGAAGGGATTTCTAGCTTGGGAAGGACTTAAGAAACCGAATAACCAAAGCGACTCAGTTGGCCGATGGAAATCCCTGATGGCTGCAAAAACTGCCGAGCCGAAGAAGCAAACCATTCCAGCGCTCACTTGCCACCATGGCACTAGAATCAGCGAAGACACCCATTTGCGTGCGTTAGAGTCCCTCCGTTTTTGTTCGTTGCTTTTGATCGGCAAACCAAAGGAAACCAACCCATTCAAGGGCTTCCGCTATTATTGACACAAGGGGGTTGATCAATATTCCTGGCCTCCAAATGACCATGGGTAATTTTCCCCATTTGCGGGAAATATCATGGTTTCCCCAATGGTCATCCCATGTAAATCGGACCTTTTCATCAACCCCCCCATGATTTGCACCACAACACCAGCTAGCCACGCGAGTTCGAAGGCCTGGTCAGTGGGGGAGCCCAGCAGCGTCTTTGCCGGGAGCTTTGGCCTGAGGTGTTGCCCGAGAAATCCGCAAACCGAGGCGGACCCACCCGTTTGGGCCAAAGAGATGTATAGGCGTGTGTCAAAACAGGCTGGTCCATTTTAAACCACCCCAATGAAGGGGGTGGCAAAAGTCCTCTGTCTCTTAGAGCACCGGGCTCCAATTGATTATGACCCAAAGCAGAGGAAACCCGAAACCTTGTCGCACCTGAACTTTGAATCTTCCGCAAGCAGAACACCGTCGGTCTGCCCCCTCCTGGAGGCTGCATGACATCGAATCCCTGTCATGAACCTGCACGCAGTGAATCCGAGTCGCTCGACAAAACTCCAAACCATGCGACGGACGAGCTAGGGATGGATCTTTTGCAGGCTTCATTCAAACCCTGAGACCCAGGCAGCCCGCCGTAGCGGCCATTTGCCAGGCTCTGCAGCAAGGAGTCGAACTCGCTAAAGCGCTTGGCCACCTCTTGCGCGAGAGGCCAGCTGAGTCTGTGAAAAAGTACAGCTGTATTCGGGAAGGCCTAGGGAGCTTAGGGAGCCCTAGTTGGTGTCCTCCGTTTCGGCCTTCCGTTCTGTCTGCGCATGAAGGGCGCGCAAGTCTGTGTCGCCGGCATCCCAAGATTTTCCGCCAAACTTCAGCTGGATGTGGTACCTGAGCTCGGGGCCAAGGAGCATCGGGGAGTCAACGGGTTGACAGTCACAGTTGACACTTGCAGCTTGCAGCAATCGCGCCGGTCGATAAGCTCTTCTGCCAACTCATGTGTGCGAGCCCATACACACACAATCACAAACATGGCGGATGTGCTGGTAGGTGGTATGGTCGTAGGTAGGCCCTGCCTCTGCAACGTGGGACTGGAAGCAGTGAGAACCAAATCCCAAGGTCACTCTCAAGCCTACATCTCCTGCTCTTACATCCCCCTGATCCCAAACCTCGTGTTCAAGCTGTCACTGGCCAGACCCCAAAAGCATGGGATGAATGATGACTCTGGTGCGCACACACCCGTCTCTGTGTGTAGCTCCAGTCGAACCAGCGAACTACTCTCCGAGCCTTGTAGACACTCACAGAGAGATCTGCCAGCGTCGTCATGGGCTACATCGCCAAAGACCGCCTGGAGACAAAAATGAATGAGGCACTGAGGTCTGGCCCCTCACACATGTTTGGGCGAAGAGCAAGGCTGCGACCCATCTTGACAGCACATTCCAAGACAGGATCGCCATTCAGATCTTTTGAGAGTCGCCGCCCCGTCTGGAACTGGGCGCCAGCAAGCTGAGATTGGGAATGTCAACTATCCTTCGCTGTAGATCTCTCTGTACCGTACCCTTGGTTGCTGTTGACCCCTTTGCAAAAGCTTAACTTTTTGTGGGTTCAATCTAAAACCCTTGACTTCCCGAGAAGTTAAAGTCAAGATCCAACTCAATAGCAATTCAATTAAGTACCGATCCCTTGAGATGCTATGCGTGAAATGGCGAAGCTGCTCCAAATGTGCAGCAGCTGGTCTTCATCAAGGAATTTAAGATAAATCATATTAATGCCTTTCTTTACACAAAAAATAAATACAAAATGTTCAATATGAATGGCTCCTGAATCGCATTGAACCCATATGAAGGTATACTGCGTCCAACTCAAGACCATGATGAGCAAGCCTATGAATGAACTGCGAGGATCAAAAACTCGGTTCCAGCTGAACCTGGTCAGTGGCAAAAGCCCTTCCTCAAATCCTCGCAAAAGCGCCGATCATCAGTGCCCGGCCTCGAAGCGCCCAGATGCCCGCAAAGCGCAATCAAGCGAAAAAAAACCATAAAGCAGATTGCCAGGGCTGTGGTTGGGTGTCCTTGATTGGGCTCTGCCCAACGTGTGGAAATTCCGGGGTTTTCGTGAACGGATCAGAAGAAAGACCTGGAAGAGTCTTTGAGTTAGGCACAGAAACAAAAGCTCCGTGGCTGCTTTTCGCAGGACGAATGGAATGCCTGTGCTCCTGATAGCAATTTGTGTGTTCAAGATCTTGGGCTGTTTCAAGCAACTCTGTCAGCTGCGAGCCAAGCGCAATGTGCCAGCGCAGTCATTGCGCGCCACAAAACAAAACATTGACCAAAGCGTTTTGATGGAAGACGCACACACAGAAGCTTCCTCTTCTGTCGCCGTATACCATGAACAAACGTCTGGCAATCTTAAAAAAAGAAAGCAAGCCATTGGTATGTGACTGTTTACATCCCAATGCGGCCTGCAGTACCAGTGCCTCCGGTCTTTCCAAACATTGGTCTTGCCCGGTGCCCTTGAACCTGTGCAGCTTGCTTTTTGATCAAGACAATGGACAAATGAATCGCCCTTTGGCTATCCAGCCAACATGCCAGCGGTGTTCACAGTAGCCTTTGGAGCGCGATCTGGCAGAAGCACAGAGCCCGTGACAAGACTTGAGAATCACGGACGAGATCGACTTCAAAAGCTCCTGCTGCTTAGGGAGGCAGCGCGACATCTTTGGCACGCGCACACGCCATTGAGAGCAATCTTTGGCTCTGCAGGCACTCTCGCCCTTCCCTGAGCTGGTCTAAATTTCGGCGGCTTCAATGAAAACACTGTGTGTCCAATGTTCGGGGCTAAGGTCACATCAAACACCAGCCATGACTTTTCTGCCCCACTTGCTTCTCGCGGCCAGCCCTCGCCCACTCGAAAGGCGGCGCGTCTGGCCTGCATGTCCGCCTTCCAGAGTTGCGACTGCCAAGTGGCTGTGGGTCAAAAAAAAACGGCATCCAACATGGCTTGCCCTTGCAAATGGCTTGCCAAAGAACCTGCGGTTTTTCTGGTGATGTAATTTTGACCCACCCAAGTAAGCTTCTTGGGAGACATGGTAAGTCCAAGCCATAGAACCATTGAGAAGGATACGAAAGTATGATGGGTTCACGGCTATCTCTCCGCAACTGGAGGTGATCAGTGTGCGTTGTTTCTGGCATCTGTGCATCACTGCTAGTGCCAGCTTCAATTCCCGAACCTAATCTCGGGTCTGTCCGCAGTTGGCTAGTCAACTGCCTGAATCCAAGACTGCGAGTGATTGAAACGGCTAAGCAATGCAACCCCGCGTGAGATGATCAAGAAACCAGCCCTCCCGATCCATTTCGAGCATGGCCGTTTTCCTTTTGGTGTTCTCAAGCCACAACAAGCTAGTACCAACTCCAAAATCGACACACAAAAATGGTGGGTTTCCCGTTGGTTTGCCGGGTTGCCTTTCTAAACCAACCCCAAAAAGGGTACCAACTCCAAAATCGACACAACCCTGCAGCCACTTGGCCCTGGTCTCTTTTTTGTTTGCTATTCCTTGGTGCGGGGAGTGGCACCCTGTGGGGAGCTGGTACCAAACAAAAAAACAGGCAATGTTGACCCCATATTGATCAACCCCTGTTTATTGATATAGCGGGTGTCCGCCTGAGTTTAGTGGGGAATCATCAATTTTGGAGGGAAACACCCCCTATTCAGATGCAGGGCTAAGAAAAAGGGGGTCAACATTAATATGGGGTCAACAGTACAACACACCCAACTGGCGCTCCCCCTCCCACCCCCCCTCCCACCCCCAACCACACCCATGCCACTCCCCGCAGCACTGCCCTCAGCCTCAGCTCGCAAGAAGCGCCGCCACCTGCGGCGCCAGCTCCAGCGCCGCCGCCGCGTCGAGCCGCGCCCAGCGCCGCAGCACCACCAGCGCCTGCCAAGAGACGTCAACGAGGTGCACACGAGTCGGTCCATTTGGCTGTGGCTCAACATGGAATCCCCAAAATGGCACCAAAAGGTAAATCGAACCAAAGACTAAAACCTGCGGGACCCTCCAGGCAGGTGCTTGTTTTGTTGGCGTCCCTTTAGATCACATCCAAAAAAAGGCTCAAGTGCCCGGCACCATGTAAAGTAAAAAGGTGGCAAAGGCCTCCATTTGTGGTTGGGAAAAAAAAAAACTTACTTTGGATTTGGCGCCATGTTGGCGACCCCTAGGTCCTGTAGTAAAGGGGACTGTGGAACCAAAACCGGGGCAGCGGGTTGTTTGCCAGCATCGGAGTTTGAAACTGTGCCTGGCTGCGGTTTCGGCGGTGTTTTGTGGTGTCTGGAAGGCCACTTTGCAGCCTGCAACAAGCACAGGTACATGCTCAGCGTCAAAGCGCAAGGCAACGCGCTGCGCAGTGCCGGGTGCCACATTCTTGCAAGTTTCGGAAGCACATGTTTGAGGTCGCTTTCACTCGGCGAATCCGGCCAAAGCGACAAGTCTTCGTGCTGGCATCCTAATCTGGGGCCTTTGTGCCTTCAGGCTGTCACAGACAAGGACGATGGATCGATAAGCGATGTCCTGGGAGGGTTGAGGGGTTACTTGCGACCAGAAGATTGTCACTTGTGACCAGGGCCGGTCGGAGGGCTGGCGGGGGTGGGGTGGGCTAATCGCGTTCGCCGTCACACCGCCAGGATTCTGTGTAGATGCAAGAGCTCTTCGAGAGGCACGATCCACGCAAAGGGCTTGACGATTGCTGGCGAAAAGCCCTTCGAGAAGGTCACAAGCCACCCCAATTTTACGGTCACATGTCGGTTGTCACGCTGGAGGCACATGAGGCGAGCAACAAGCGCAGATTTTCCGGCCCCAGGATTGGCCAAAAAGCGGCCTCCCAGCCAAGCAAAATGTAAAACCAACTTCGGCGGCCTCTGAACTCCGCGCCTCGTCCAGCAAGTCCGGCTGGAACCGCTCCTGTCGAGATCAGAACCTGACGACTTCCGGTCAAATGTTTGTCTGAGCATGTTGCACTCTTTGTGTCACTCGCCAGAAGTCCCACGAACCCCAATCCAGTCAGAAGCTTTTGTCGTTGAAAGCTAAAGCCTGAACCGGACTTAGCAGTGGCGATGTAGACAAGGATGTCTAAGTCTGTTGCTTGGTTCACTTTTCTGTTGTTCCAAGCACCACATGGCCGGCTGAAATGGAACATCAATACGACAAGCCAAACCAGACCGTAGGTCAGGTTGATGAGAGAATGCTGCTTCGCAGCATTCTGTGACCCATAAAGGGAAGCAGTGTCAAAAGCGTGCGAAGTCTGCCTCCACACACTCAAGTTGCGTCTGTCCTGCAGGGCAGCCAGCAACTGCAGCAAAAGGCCTCAGCAACGCACTGGACAACCCAATGAACTAAACGAGCCTGCCGGCTGGATGATGCTACATATTTAAGAGAATATTGCTAAACACAATGTCATTTGATCTCCTTTGGAAATCTGAGGACATGTGCTTAGTCCAGCTTCCATTGCCAAGGAAGAGCAGTGTGTCATTCTCAACACACCAGACAGAAACATCGTCGACCTTTCAATACGTGCATTTACTTTTCAGAAGCCAAAACCAACATGCCAACGACGCAGAGCTGATAAATTGGTGCGCAAGTAGGAGTGCGTCCACAAAACCTTGCGAGATAGAATGGCTTTGCTGCCGTGGCCCAGCCGCCAAGACTGAAACAACTGCACAGCGACTGTGTTTCAAGCTGAAGGCACCCGCATCATGGAGGTGTTTCTTTGGTTTCCGTTTAAACCAACCCCAAAATAGGGTTCCGAGCCTCAAAAAAGCACCCCCAACTGCACCGCAGCTCCACCTGACCTTTCTTTGCGCACCGGTTCGCGAGTACACTGGTGCACCCATCGTGAACGGATGCACTCGTCAACCAGTGTGCTACTGATCCAGTTTACTACCGACCCCCAAGGTGGTGGTTGTTTCTTTGGTTTCCCTTCAAATCAACCCCCAAAAAGGGCTCCGAGCCTTGAAAAAAAGACAGATCTCTCTATATATATATATGTTGAGCCTCGAAAAAGACATATATATATATGTATATATATATATATATTATATATATTGTATATATATATATACATAGATATGACACTTCACCACTGGCTTTGGAAACCAACCCACCTGCACATCTCACAGCTCCAGCTCCTTTCCGCTGGGCGCGCCGCTGCGCATCACCTCCGTGCAGCCGCCGCAGCGCCGCAGCGCCGCGCGCAGCCGCGGCAGCGGGTCCGGCAAGCTCAGGCCCACCTGCACAGGCCGTCGGGTCCACACCCCGCAGGCAGCATGTGTGGCAATTGGTGGATTCTCCTTCTCAGGCAACCATCAAGAACCCAGGGGAAACAGCCGGATGTTGAAAAGAACGATGGTGGTCAAAACCGTTTCGGGATCCCATTTTGGGGTAGGTGCACCACCCATTTTAGTCTACTTCAAAACGGTTTTGGGATCCCATTTTGGTTGGTAGGTGAATTCACCACCCATTGTAGAACCAATTTCAGTGGGGATTGGGATGTTCACAGGGGGTACAGGAATTGGCGGATTCTCGGATTCTCAGGTTCTATTGGCAAAGTGCGCCAAGTTCGCGCGATGTTTTGACAAGCCAACTGCTGGGTTGCATCTTGTGCATCTTAAACCTGACACATATTGCATGTGGGAAGCCAACGCTGCTCAAATAAGCCAGATCCGGATTGAACCAGGTTACGCTTCCTGCGGCGAAAGGCGGTTCAACTTGGTCGAGATGGTTCGTGTTGGCCAATACTAAGCCAGAATACCTGAAAAGCCACAAAGGAGACCCTTGCGTAAACCAGGAAATTCAGGATTGCCTTTGAACTGCCCAGCCTGGCAGGTTGGAAGGAAGTGACCTCACCTGACATTGACAACCTATCAAGCTGGCAACAGGAGGGGTCAGAACGACTATCAAACACTTGAGTGAGGAAACTGTGGAAACAAAAACACCGTAGCAAGCGGCTTCAGGTGCCGAATGCACGCGTTGTTTGCCCTCCGAACTGGTCAGAAGCTCGAGGACCATCTGGGTACCCGAAACTACTCGTATAAATATTGAATCGACAAATCCAAGGCAACTCCCATGAAACCAAGCTGTTGGGCTCCGACATGCGCCGATTGCGCCGGCTGGACATGCTCCCGCATGTTTCCAAACAGGACCCTTGATCCAAACCATCTCAAAGCAGAATGTCATGGTCCAAGCAAACTTCCGGCCAGGGTACAGCAAGCTTTCCGAGCTGAGTTGGCTTGCGGCTTCTGCGTCCCAGCCTGTGCCCCCAGGATCTCCACGTTGCCGACGGTCTCAGATGCCCGCAAAACGTTTGCAATGCCGCAGTTTAAAGCTGCTGACAAATGAGTAGGGCATGTGAGAATGAAGGGTTTTGGGATTCCCTTAAACAAGGGTTGGCTTTAGAAAGGTCATTGCCACATTCCCTGCTGAGCACCAGCAAGATAATTACAAGCTCGGGATGGGCTGTGACCCTGAGCTGTAACAATTATGTGATCCTCGAAGGAAGATGCAGGCAGAATATGCTCACATCCTGCCGCTGCCTTGGCGGTACACGAATTATCAACTTCCGATATTTGCATCTCAAGCGCACGGTTATCGTCATTCCGTCTGCCCAACACTCAAACCACCACTCTACGATGCAAAAAGCCAGCATCTGCAGTGCTGCCCTGAAACGTTGCCCTGAAATGTCGCACCGCAACAACTGCGACCAAAGGGGCCAGCATTGCATACCAATGTGGCGATCGCCCCAGTGATCCTCCGGCAACCTGTGGGCTACGGAAGCAAGGGCGCAGGCACCCGATAGCCGACATTGATCAGGATAGGGCCCATCGCCAAAATGGAAAACCTATATTAGACCAAACACGCACGTATTCAAGTATGGGGCTTCACACAATCACTAGTCCTGTCGCCGAAACCCATATGCTTGTTCTGTTTCACTTACCATACTCTTTGAGGAGAAAGTTGTCTGGCTCCACAGGCCAACCGCCCTCATGGAGCGGAGGAACCATTCTGTGAATGGCGTGCACCAAAGCTGAGGGACCCGGTTTCCACTTGACTTTGGCGGATTCCAAGCTTCGCATGGCTTCCATGCTGCACATCAAGAGATTGCTGGCCAGCAAAAGCGGCCTAGAAGACTCACTGTGAGGGCCTTTGGCGACAAGGAGTGCATACTTGAAAGCGGGCCGCTGCACATCAAGCAATAAATCGTGATCACCAGAAAAAAAGGAAGAGAACGATGACTCATATGACCATCATTGGTCTGAAAAAGGGCTATGCTGTTGTGCCTGAACTTCATCTCATGAAGCTCACCCACTCCCAACGCTTGTTTTCCAACGAGCAACCCCTCCCTTCTGCCCAAAATCCCAGCCCCTTCCTTCCAACCCCTCCCCTCCGTTCCGCCCAAAAAAAAAGCGTCCCAACCCGCACCTGATTTGAACCCAAAAAATATGTCCCAGCCCGGGTCTGTTTTTGCACCAAATCGACCCAAACGCCGCCTGGTCCTCCAAGGCCTCCGAAAGCTCCCGCAGCTCTCTGGACGTCGCCAGGGCCACCACCTGCCACGAGCGAAATCCCAGCGAATCCCAGCGAGTCCGACGCTTCCCCGAAAAAGCCGAGCTGTGGACGTTCAGCCGGGCAGGGTTTCAGCAACCGCACGGGAAAGTCCCAATGGAGAAACCAAGGGAAGCCAAGGGAAACCAAGGGAGAACTCTTGAACCACACGTTGTTGCTTTTTTTTGGGGCTGGGATGTCAACTCCCCAAGACTCTAGTCTGACAGTTGCTCTGGAGTTATGTCCTTCCCAAACTAGTACTTATGACTCTACCAGGTCTGACAGCTGCTCATCAAAACATTTATGTCGTGGGGGGTCACGCTTCGGGATGGGCCTTTTTGCGGGGTGCGCTTGATGAAAATTAGTTTGGGCGCGAACTCCCATCATCCACTGGCCGTCGCCAATGGGATCACCCAACTGAAGTACCTCCATTGTCGAGGGGCACGCCTTGGCCGGCTGGAGCAACTTGCTAATCAGCTGTTACATGGGCTTGCTGGCATCGCATATGTGGTAACCTCCCACATAAAACAGGTGCTTCCAGAAGCCAACTGTACATCCATCATGGCCATGAGACCTATGGAGAACAGTGCACCGTATTTCCGACAACCCGTGGCTTTCCCTTTCACCGCGAACAACTGGCTGTGCCTCTTTTCGAGGGGCCATTTGATCTGATTTGTTCCCTACCCAAAGGAAGCCCGCCGAACATGGCGCCGTCCGATTCTTGATTCGCGACAAACCCATGTACCCTTATGTACCCTTGTGGTCTGTTTACTTCACGACCCAAAGGAAATCCACCCTTTTGGGGCGGTCCAGGTCCAAGCCATCTAGGTCCTCCAGATTTGAGAGGTTAGAATAAGGGTACCCGAACTTTTTTCTGTAGTCTATTTTAGTTGGGGGGTGTCCTCCCAACCAAAAAAGGGGTGAGAAAGGGCACTACTACTGGAGGGACCTAGCCATCTCGCGACAGGGCGGCAACGTTGGGAGCCTGCTGCACTTGGTCGCCCTCTTCCGGCTCGGCCATGCGCCGCTGCAGCCGTCCCAAGCCGTCCCTCAGCTTCCGGAGCCGGCCAAGAGCCCACGCTTCCGAACCCGCACGCACCAAAGGGACAGCTGTGGAACCACAAAAAGACGTGCTGTCACAATCAAAACCCAGTACTAACTTGGTCGTAATCCCAGAACCATGCTTCAAGAATTAAGGAGCCGGATATCCGCAGCTATTTGTTGGTTGGGATTGTTCCTTACTAACCTTCATCTACTCGGGTTTTGATTGTGGCTCACATGATGTCAAGAGGCTCCGCCAAGAACTCACGTCAAGAGGTTTGTAGGGGATACGTTGCCATGCATGCGGGCACACTGTTGGACAAACATCGAGCCGGGGAACTTTAGGAGCCATGTGTTTGAAGATATTTGAGAGCCGTGCAGTTTGAAAGGCAAACAACGATGATATGAAATGCGAGAAGACTGTTGGCCATGGGCGTCCTACCATGCAATTGAATGTTCCTATTCAGCACATCCGGGATGGTTTTTGACGATTTGATGTCCATCCATCCCTGAAGCGTCTGCTTTTGGCTGAGCGTCTGCACGCGCTGCGATGCCATGCCCTGCGGGGGCATCACAAAGTGCCTCGACGTGCCCCGATGCGATCCGCAGTCCGAGTTGCCCAGTGGGGAAACGAAACCTCGCCCTATGTGGGTGTTCGGTAGAGAGGTGGGACGAAGAAGACTAGTGATGCTCGTGCCAGCATCTGCCACAAGCAAAGCAGGTGTTCCTTCTGCAACACCTTTCTAATTACAAGCCACTAATAATGGGATGTGTTCCCTCACGGGTCAGAACCTTTGCCCCATTGCCCCTCTTGATGCGCTATTGCAGGGTCAACTTCCTGCTTCTTGGGAAACTACCAAGAAAAACGGATGCCACTGTGTGAACAAAGCCCGTTGCAGGAGGCGTCTTGTATGCCAAAAAAAAATGCACACGCTAGATGGAGTTTCCATCCCTCGGTTTCCTTGTTTTGAGTTTTTCGGATTGGAAGCCAAGGGGATTGGGATCCGAAAATGCCAGGAAAAACTCCAGAGAAAAACAAAAAAAAACTCCGGGGGAAAAAAAAAAAAGGATTGGGCATTTCGGCCCCCGCCCAAAGGTCTCCAGGACCCCCCGCTTGCACTGCGCCCTGTCTCGGGCGGCGCCGGTGCTCGGGTTCTCGTCGCAGACGGCCAGAGGCACGATGGGCGTGCTGGGCTCGACCGGAGAGGCGTAGTACCACCTGCGGGATTTTTCTCATCCATGGCCCTTTTTGCAACAGAAAGGGCACCTATACGGGCCCTTGGTGTTCCGGATTTTAAGGGAAATCATATTATGTAATAGATGTGTCGTTTGTTTTTTTTCTCGAACCTCCGAACAGTGGCGATGAATTCAATAGAAGCCGACTGTAAAACTTGATCAACTCTTGAGTTGAGCAAGTCCAGTGACCTCCGAGCCGAACCCGTACCACATGCCATGGGAAAGAGGGTGGGTTGTCAAAATGACAGATCATAGCCAATGGAACAAGGTTTTTCTCAAAAAAAAGGGTTCCCCGAACATTGTCGGCGGTTTCCCTTGGTTTCCCTTTGAATACCAAACAAAGGGGGTCCACCATTTTGAGACACACTCATGTGAAGAATTAAGAGGGGGGCGACCGCACCATCGTTTTTGGCTGGGATTGTCCTTCACCCTTCATCTTCCCGGGTTCTGATTGTGGCTCAGCTAGTTTGGGAAGTTGGTATTCTGGTATTCTGAATTTTCAAGAAATGGCCCAAATCCCAGTGGATGTTTCTCAAAATTGAGTATCAAATAGACGAACCCTCCAGATTGGTGTCCCTTTGACTTCCCTTGAAAACCATCCGAAAAGGGTTCACTGACCGGTATTTCGAGAAAAACTCCGTGGTGGTTTCTTTGGGTTGCCCACGTGACACCCCATATTTTGCAAATATATATATATATATATATGTATACATATATATATATATATATGTTGAGGCTACACCTTTGTGGGATTATTTTTTGAAAAAAAAAATAAGAAAAAAAGAAAAAAAGGACCCAGCCCTCTTCGGGGCTCCGATTCCCACTACACCGTGGTCGAGGCGCTTCTGCAGCACCAGCTTCGCCTGCGGCGCTGCGGCGCCCAGCGGCGCCGCGAAGTGCGCGGAGCGCGGGTTGCAGCGGCCGCCGAGGCCTCGGCGAAGCGCCGGGAGCTGGGGACGCGTCTCGGTGTTCGGTAGGCTTGGATTGGTTTGGTTTTGGGGGGCTTGGTTTGGGGTGAGGATTTGGTGGGCTTGGCTTGGGGTTGAGAGTTGGGCTTGGTTTGAGGCAGGTGTTGATTTGCGTTGGCTGGGTGTTTCTGCTGGCATTTGTAAGCCTGATTGGCCTAGAGTCTTTTTGGCTTCCGTCAGCTCCGGGACATCGCACTGGTTTAAAAGTCTAAAAGATTCCAGAAGGCATCGTAAAAATTGAGCTGATGCACGGACAACATCAAAGTGAGGTGTTGGCATGAAGGGTCCTTTGCTGCCTCTCAAGGATGAGAAAGCTGCTCTGCCTCGAACCTTGAGTCCTTTGGATGGGAAAGAAACCTCTGCATGATTCAAACGGTCCGTGTCAGGGGCCAAAAATGTCGCTGGGTCAAGCGCAAACCCCGGACCGGGCCTGGTGTGAAGCTGCTGTAGACCACCAGTCCACCTGGCAATGTCGGGTGGCGGGGCTTGCCTCATTTGCACAAGAATGAGCCTTTAGCAGCTGTCAAAATGGGTGTGTGTGTGTGGGTGTGTGTCCCGGCTCAACTTTGCACTCCTGTCTGGCAAGATCTGGCTCTTGAAACCGGTCAAGACTTGCCGTGGCAAAACTTGGGTCTCCCCTCATTCCCGGTTCGTCTGCGCCTGGTGGCATGCGCATTCTCAGGCCATACTGGGGAAAAACCGTCGCACCGTCCGCCAGGTCGTCCACGCCGGTGGCTGGCCGCGGAGTTGTTTTTTGTGGCCAGCACATGCAGCTCAAAATGTGCGGCTGGATTTTACAGTCGCAATACACCACGGCTGGCAGCTTTTTGCCTACAAAGGCGAACCACAACCTATGCACCATGCGCCAAACTACTTATGCAGTTCATGGAGATGCGCCCTTTCTAGAAATCCGCATTGTCTTGCAGCTCGACTAGAATCGCGAAAGGGTCTATGCGTTCGATCCCTGTCAATCCCAAGCCTCCATTTGCTTAAGTCCCCTGGGGAAAAATTATGAATTCAGTGGTGATAGATTCCCATTTAAACCAACAGGGGGATTTAAAAAGAAAAAAACAACTCAGCCAAATGGAAGCAAGAGAAGAGAAGCTTCTTGCAGCGGCGGCGGCCTTCGGTTCTCACCGGGCTGCAGGGCAAGCTCTCGTTCCAGCACTCTGAGAGCCAGATCAAGACCTGAAGCGCGGCTGGCATTCGAGAGATGGGGCCCTGGGAAATGGAGTCTGACGCCGAAGTCAACACCATCCCTTGCTGGTGGCGCCCTTATGAGAATCGTGCCTGGTGGTGTCCTTCAAGGGAATCCCTGGGTCCATTTTCCACATTCCCTGAGCAGCCAACTGGGTGCATGGAAACCTCAACCGGTTGCGATCCGTCCGCGATCCTCCGTTCTTTTGTGGTTCTAATGGAAAACCCCCTGCTCATTTGCTCATCCCCAAAAACCAGCCAGTCAAGTTTCTTGAGGCCAATATGCGACGCTTTCGCTGAACTCTTTGATGAGCCGCGGTGGCGTAACGGTCGTTGCTGGGATCAACGTGCTCTACGCCACAGTCCGTGTGCAGAAAGTGGGCGCGGTATCCCGGGTCGTACCTCCCGCACTGGAACACTGCCAGTATGAGAAAATAGGGCTCAGCCATGAAACTGAGGGAACAATGTTCTGGTGTGCAAAGCTGGACGACGACATGCGGGTCATGCATGATTGTCATTGGGTCCTGATGTAATCCCGGATCTGAGCAAGAAATCTATCTGATTATCTGCAGGCAGCATATTGAACATGCTTCTATTGATGAAGGCCTGTACATGCCACAGAGATCCCCGGTAGTTTTGCTGGCTCAGGTTGCGTCTGGTGTCAGCAACGACTCAATTAAAGCAGCACATCGCAAACCGATTCGCAAAAGCAAGCCCAAAACTACAAATCGGAAACCAGACCGAAAACAAACGAGCTCGCAAACCTGAACCTACAAGTCGCAACCAAATCGCAATGCGAAGTGGAAACCTAACACAATTCGCAAGCGAATCCAAAAAAAAACACCAAAAAAAAAACACACACAAAAAAAAACAACTCCCCCAGACTCGTCCCATCGAGCTCCGATTTCTTCGGCTTTTGACCTCGGCTCCGGCTTCGACGGCGGCGCCTCAGGATGTGCCAGGGGTCCGAGTGGCTGGCCGGCAGCCCCAGCTCCTCCAAGCGCTGCTCCCAGTGGTCCAAGACCTGGGTCTCATGCAAAGCTAGGAGAAAAAAAACAAAAAACCATCACCCCCTCAGGGAGAAAAAAAGGAACGAAAACCATTCGAGAAAACAAGAATAGAATTCCCAGCCCTTTTCCAAACCTTTGAAATCTAGGAGAAAAAAAGAAAGAGACGAAGAAAAAAGAAAAGACCACAAAACCACCCAGATTCCCGCTCCCCCAAACCCCCCCCGCCCAAAAAGAATGAGACGCCCGAAATGAACCTGGGCCCCCGACTGTGAAGCCTTGAGGAGAGTCCTCTTATCAGCCCCCGTCCATTCCCTCGAAAGCTCTAAGGTTGGAAGGCACGGCAGAATCAAATCACGTGGCAACGAGCGTGGGCAGACCAGAAGAAAACAGAAGAAGAAAAACGCCCAAAGTGGAATGCAGTGGCGTTGTTGCTTATGTTTTATTGTAAAAAGAACAAATGTGCTCCAGTTTGTCCTGAGTTTTTGTTTTTTTTGCAGGCACCTTCTGGGCATGTTTTGCCCTCGAGGCTATTCGGTTTATCAGATGCGATTTGTTCTGGCATTTGCGTAAACGGCGAATGAACGATACCTGCCGAGGCTCACCGTAGGAACCATCTGAATCTGAGTTCGCCCACCCTGATGTTCCAATCATTCTGCAAGCAAACCATGCGCGCGTATTCTTAATTCTTGGGAGCCTTTGACAAGACGTTCTCACAAGGCAGCTGCGGCACAACATCGACCCCTGTCGGCACGATGATGTCCTCCAGCCAAACATCCTGCCAAAGCGCGCTTTGTAAGAGCCGGGGAAATCAAGCGTTAGTCAGCGTTAGTGACTAAGTCATGTACTTGAGCCTGCAATGATTGCTTATCCATTGTCACTTGTGCCCAGCACATTACTCTAAGGTAGACTGGTGCCTGCAGGTGTGGCGTTTGGAGTAGTTGCCCAGCTCGTCATGGGGCACCTGGAAGGGGGGGGTAATAATCTACGTGCCCTCAAGTACACAAGTTTCCAGACTCTCTTTTCGGACATTGATTCTTTCTGTCACATGATCCACTCATGAAGCAATCTCTTGTATGCATGGCTCAAGGCCTGGTGTATAGCTCACTACCTGTAGCAACAGTGTAAAAAGGCGCCATCGCTGTGCTGATTGTGGAAGATCAGCAGTATTTGGTCCTTCAAGGACCAATTTCACACGTAATTTCCCTCTTTACAGATTTATTCCTCTTCCATCGGAGATCGGAGTAGATCTTCCTGGAGCCGGAGGACCTAGGTGTGCTGGCCCTATTGGGCCCCCGTATTTACAACGGGGGGTTGCGGGGGGGGGGGGGGGGGGAATAACGTACGTGCCCTCGAGTTCACCAGTTTCCGGACTCTCTTTCCGGACATTGATTGGCAGCCGAAGAAGGCTACATGACGCTTCATGGCATGCCGTTTCGAAGAAAGGCGGCACTAAATGCGTGGACAGGGATTGGCAGGGCTTTTTTGCCAAAGACTGCAAACCGGAAATCTAAGACGAATGGGCACTCGCATGTCTCTGATACTTTGCAGAGACGCTGCTGGCAATGGATCTGGCGAAAAGACTTGACGAACCCGGCGCCGAATAAGTTTTTGGAAGAGCTTCGAAAGCTCTTCAGAGCTGCCCGCAAGAGGCTGACGTTTGGTTTGGCCTTGCAGAAAAAAGCACAAAAGCAGTGTATCACGTCCAAAAACAAGTAGTTTTTGTCCAAAATAGGGTTCGCAGCCTGAAGCTGAAACTCCGGAAACACAGCAACACATTTCAGGCGCCTGGCACCGAGCTGACCGAGTTTGCGGAGCTATGGCCAGCCAAAGACCAGACATCGGCCGCCAGGCTTCTCAACTCCCTTCTCCATGCAGCGAGATCTATCCAATTGAGCCACAGGAATCCCGGGACCAAAGCTCCGGCCTCGTGGCCGGAACGCTCCGGAGGGGCTGCCGGGCGCCACGACTCCGCGCGGCGCAGCACGTGCCGAAGGTCCAAACCGGGAGCAAACTGCAGCGCCCACCTGTGGCGAAGGCGGCGACCCTTGGGGGTTTCCAAGAAAAATGGAAGGGGCCGTCTAGGATTGCAACAGGAAAGTAACAGGAAAATGCATTTGTTACTTTCCCCCAAAAAATAGACTTTGGGGTGTCCTTCTTACTTCAGGTGTATCCTGGAAAAAAAACGCACGATGCCTTACGTCCTGCTCACCAATGGGAGTTGACTGTGGAAATGGCAAACCGTGCAAAGTGGATCTGTTGGATGCACGCGTGAAAGGCCCAAGGGGTCGGGTTTCTTTGCACTTGGCAGCCTCAAAGCCACGCTGGTTTCTTTCTAGGTTGGACTCCCAAAATGGTGACTTTCCGTCTGTTCCCCTTCAAAACAGCAGAAAAAATAAAGGAAGAAAAAAAAAGAGGAAAAAAGAGAAGAAAAAAAACGGAAAGTTTAGAGTTCAGCAGGCGCATGCGCCCTCCGCCAAGGGGCATGCCCTCCGCGACGTTGCTGGCGATGCGCTCCAGGCGCTGCTGCGCGCACGGCCAGAACGAGGGCCCTGGAGATGAGATGAAAGCGTTGCCGTTCAGTACCCTCTCCTATGGACATCCTTCTGCCCACCTACCCCATGATCGCCACTAGGTACCCTCCCCCGAAACCCTGTGACTATGGACATGAGTGTCTCTTTTTTTTGCCACCTTTTGTGGACGATTCATCGACCTTTTCGTAGTGAAGGATTCCTTTTTGAGAAAGTCGCCATGTTTGTCACAAAAGGTGGCAAAAAGACACCCCTGGCCATGGACATCCTTCTGCCCACCTCCCATGAAACGTGCTCATCTGGGTGAATGATCGCTGGCTGGAGGCGGTATGAGCAAAACACATCTTCTGGTTGGTTATCTTCTAGGTACCCTCCCGCGCTGACAGGGGGGACCAAGAGGAAACTCATCGTCCAGAAACCTTCCCACGGATGCTACGTGGGGAGGGGCAACGAATGAAAGCTGGGCCGCAGCCGAAAGGCAGCACTTGCCCCCCCCACACCCCAACATCCTGACACCAGACACCAGACAGACGTGGCGCTGCTTCCCAGGCAAGCTTTGGCTCAACCCTATTTGGGGGAATGTCTCACAGCAGTGGCGAACAAGATGGATGAGTTCCTGCGGGTCTCCCGTTACATACCACCAAAATAAAGGGTCCACCATTGTGAGCAAATTCCTCATTTTGGGGTCCACCCTTGACCCCGTGCCACGCCTGCAGCAAAGCTCCCTGCGAGACTCCAGTCGATGCTGGGCAGCAGAGATTGCAAGACCTGGCCATGTGGAGAAGTGTTCTGTTCGTCAAAAGCAGAAACCGTAACGTCACGTGGGGGTGCGTGTTGTTTGAGGGCTGTACCATTTTCAGGCTGCCTTGAAGGGCAGCACCCATCACGGGTTGGGTGCTGCTGCTTTGACCCATACCCATTCGCCGCATGCAGTCAGTCTGAATGCTGGACAATTGCTTGCTGTGAGGCAACCAGCCTCCAGCTGCTCCTTGTTCTTGCTAAAGCCCTGCTCCTCTGCAGCCCTGCATGCGTAAATGTCCGCCTTGCGAGCAGGGAAGCTCCCAGTGCAGGGCTGTGCCCCTTCCTCGGAACAATGCATGTAGCAAGTGCCAACAAAATTCGATGGAGATTGCCAGCTGGTCAACAATGCGCATACACCTGCCTCAATACACTTCCGCCATTGAGTTCGTGAAGTTTCTGGGCAAACGTTGAAGCCACCTCCCAAACCTCGCTATGGTAGCAATGCTTTCTTTTGCAGGCCCCCAGAAAGAATGAACAGAACCCAAAAACGAAGGAACCTGCCAAAAGTTCAGATCATGCCCCGAAAAAAACCCGTCAGGACTTGGGACAAATGGCGGCGGCTTTTCGTACATGCTCCCCCGAAATGCTCTTGAGGGAAAGATGTCTCAATTCCCGGGTGTCATGTTCACAGAAAATTGTGCCACTTGCTTCATTTTTAAAAGTTCACAGCAAGATGTCAAAGTTCACAGAAAATTGTGCCACTTGCTTCATCTTTAAAGGTTCACAGCAAGATGTCAAAGTTGACAAGAAATTGTGCCACTTGATTCATTTTTTAAAGTTCACAGCAAGATGTCAAAGCTCACAGACAATTGTGCCGCTTGCTTCACCTTTAAAAGTTCACAGCAAGATGTCAAAGTTGACAGAAAATTGTGCCACGTGCTTCATCTTTAAAAGTTCACAGCAAGATGTCAAAGTTCACAAAAAATTGTGCCACTTGCTTCACCTTTTAAAGTTCACGGCAAGATGTCAAAGTTCACAGGCAATTGTGCCACTTGCTTCATCTTCAAAAGTTCACAGCAAGATGTCAAAGTTCCAGACAATTGTGCCACCTGCTTCACCTTTAAAAGTTCACAGCAAGATGTCAAAGTTCACAGGCAATTTTGCCCCTTGCTTCACCTTTTAAAGTTCACAGCAAGATGTCAAAGTTCACAGAAAATTGTGCATCTTTGAAAGGTCACATCATCTTTAAAAGTTCACAGCAAGATGTCCAAGTTCACAGGCAATTGTGCCACTTGCTTCATCTTTTAAAGTTCACAGCAAGATGTCAACGTTCACAGGCAACTGTGCCAATTGCTTCATCTTTAAGGGTTCACAGCAAGATGTCAAAGTTGACAAGAAATTGTGCCACTTGCTTCATCTTTTAAAGTTCACAGCAAGAGGTCAAAGTTCACAGAAAATTGTGCCACTTGCTTCATCTTTGAAAGTTCACAGCAAGATGTCAAAGTTGACAGAAAATTGTGCCACTTGCTTCATCTTTGAAAGTTCACAGCAAGATGTCAAAGTTCACGGAAAATTGTGCCACTTGCTTCATGTTTGAAAGTTCACAGCAAGATGTCAAAGTTCTCAGAAAATTGTGCCGCTTGCTTCATCTTTAAAAGCTCACTCACAGCAAGATGTCAAGGTGCACAGAAAATTGTGCCACCTGCTTCATCTTTACTAGGGGACGATTGGCCCGAAAGCAGTTTTCCCCAAGCTCTCTTCCAGCCGCGGAGGCACCTTTCTACATCCATGCGGCGAGCGTGTCTGCACGCGGCGATGCTCAATGTGTATGGTCACATGAGAGCTCCATCTCATCGTCCTACGAGAGGAAACATGGCAGTGTCTGCGCAAGCTGCATTGTGCCAGGCTGCTGCGCGCAAGTTGCTCTCTGCAAGCTGCTGCACGCAAGTGGCTCGACATCTGTCTTCAAGCTGTTCTGTGCACGTTGTGCAAGTTTCTCTCCGCGAGACGCTCGGCGCTTGTATCCGTGCGCAAGATGCTCAGCCTGAGCTGAGCTGTGGAGGTGCTCCGCGCACTATACGTCTGCGCTGCAGGGTTGCGATTTTCCGGTCGGAGCTGCCAGGAGTACGCTCCACATACTGGCTTCTTTGCTTGAGCCGCAGCTGAATCGAACCCGCGACCGCGCGATTGAACTTCCAAAGGCCGTTTCGCGAGTAATAACATCGCACGGCGCCACAACGAGAGCGCTTCGACACGCACGATCTCCGCAGAGGGTGCGCCGAGACTAAAACGAACTCGCACGGCGCCACAGCGAGAGCGCGTCGACACGCACGATCCCCGCACAAGGTTCGTCCGCGCGCCGCAAAACGCAAAAAAACACCTTGAGTTTTTGCACCCCGACCACGCCGATCCCCGCAGAGGGTTGCGCGGGCACCGCAAGAATCGCAAAAGACCTCAAGATTTTGCACCTCGACCATGCCGATCCCCGCAAAAGGTCGCTCGTCTTGACCAGCACGAAGAGAAACTAGAGGCAGCGCGCCCTGCAAGCGCAAAATTGGTCCAGCCAACCTCTCATCTTGAACCACAGCACATCCCCCACGCCGACATCCATTTTGCGGACGCGACAGGATCTGCCACGTGGTCGGACGACTGCCGTAGCCGGACGAAATCATCTCAGACTTCTGCGCCACAAGAGGACAGGGCCAGACTTTTCCAGCTTGCCGGGCTGCAGCTCAATCTTCGACTTGATCAGCCGGTGCTTTCGCTCCATAGTGTAGCAGTCAATGCAAACACCTGTGCACAAATATTGCTCGGCCAAGTGCAGGCCATAGTGATGCTTCGGTCTTGCAGTGTCTGGGTACAGCTCCCGCACCTTGAGAAGGAAGGCGTCGTAGCAATCAGTGAATCCAGTGTACGACTAGTGTTTTGGATAGCCAGGATGGCGCAGTGGATCGCCTCGTGAACTTCATGCGCCGAAGGAAAGCTGCAGCCCAGCATAAAAAAGCGAAGCACTGCAGCACATCTGCGGTTCCAGCTCCATGGTAGCGGCGGGCAGCAATTTCCATGCACCAGAATCGTAGCAGGGACAGCAGAGCGGCCTGCGTAGACGCATTGGCGCGCCAGGCGCCTTCCGAAAAAAAGACTCGGAGAGACAGCGCCGGATCTGCGAAGGTGTCATTCGAGCGCGCGTGCCAAAAGTCTGGGATAGCGTCGCTATCTCTTCAGTGAACTCAGCGAGCAATAGCCACTGCGAAGGAGGGCATTCCTGCCGCAAATCAGCATCGCAAATAAAAGCTTCCCTGTCAAACGTCCATCCGAGTGCAGTTTCCAGCTGAGAGAACTTGGCCTTGGCGTCGACATTCTGGACCACAGGAGTTCAATGACTTCAAATATGTTTTCATCAGAGACTGGCACCTTGCAGCTGGACCAGCTTGTGTTAGCGCAGAAATGGCAGATCTTGCGGCTAGAAGCACCTTTGGTGCCTAGGCAAGACTTGAGCGCAGCCTCATCCATGACGCAAGCTTCATTCCAGCTTGAGCGCCCAGTTGCCAGCTCTTAAGCTACGAGTGAGTTAGGCCGGCTAGTCCACCTGCTATGCGGCACCACAGGAGCATCTGCAGGTGGAGGCAAAGGCGGCTCATCTGCGGGAGCAACGGGCGCAGCAGCAGCAACGCGGTCTCGCTTGCGCGCTTATCCTCAGCAGATTTCAGAGCCAAAGAAGCGAGAAGGAAAAAATCAGGTGGCACAGTAGTAAGACGAACACAACTTGCCGTACCGAAGAATGTGAAACAAACAAAAAGGCTTTAAGTGAACTAACCCAAAAGATTGCCAGAGGTCCTGAGCCAATGCCAGCGCGGTGCCGCGTTCCTGCAGGATGTGTTTTGAGTGTCAGGACCATTGGTGCCAAATACATGCTATCAACAATTTTTCAGAAACAAATGTAATAAGGACATCAGCCCGCTCCTGAATCAAAGCCTCAGCTTGCTCGTCTCTCAAGGTCAACTCACCCTCCAGCTGTCGGATTCGCTGCTGCATAGCCTAGGCAGGCGTAATAACAAGTGAGAATACACTGAGCAGCGCCACATAAGAAAAACATAAAAATGTGATTGGCTGCCCATAAGCATCCACATCCTCGCGGCCAGTGTTAAACCCACGGTTGCAAAGGTGAGCACGCAGATCGTCTGGAGAAAACAAACAAATCAGGGCAAATCGTTCTATGTATTATAATGGTGTTCCAACTCTTTGAACAATCCCGTCTAATAAGGCTTAAAGATTCTTGCCCATGGATGCAGGTGGAGGATGGGTCTTCTGTGATTTTCATAGTAACAAGATACAAATGTACTCAACTCATCAAAAGAGCCTGGTTGGCTCGCATATTCTCTAGAGTGGGTTGGACTAAGGAGATATGTCTTTCTTTGCAATAGACTGTGAGTCAATGAGTCGATTGATGAACATACATTCGAAATACCAGCCTGCATCCTGCGCGTTGCATGTGTTGCACCAAGCGTAGCCACCACTCTCATAGTTCTGGCGCGATCAAATAATAAAGAAATGCATGGTATTGCATCATAACCCATTGTCAAACCCACTAAGTAAAGAAACTAATAGGACAAAACAAAGCGCGAGCCGTGTTGACAATCTGGATGGAGTATGGCAGAAATTCAGCGCAACTCCTCTCCAATTCATCAAGCGATAGACTCGCTTTTGCTCCCACCCAAACTCCCTTTCCCATGGTGATGAAGCGGAGGACGCAAACACAGCAGCTTGAGCACAGTCAGCTCACACATCAAAAACAATATAGCAGTCATGACACTGCCTGAGTACAGATGGGGTTATGGGGTTCAGACACATCAAAGGGATCCAACCGATGAATATCACAAAGACATGTTTCATTTTTGTGGGGAGCTCAAGCATATCAAATTTGAAAATTTTGTTGGTTAAAGAGTGATGCTGTGACTAGGATTTTCAACAAGTTCGGCATCCAGGGCCCCCGTGATGAAGGTTCTTTAGCTGGGGAGAACAAAAAGTTCAAAAAGTTCGGCATCCAGGGCCCCCGTGAAAAAGTTCAGAAAGTTCAAAATCCAGGGCCCGTGTGACGAGGGTTCTTTTGCTGGGGAGTTCAAAAAAATTCAAAAAGTGCAATCTCCAGCCGACGTGTTCAAAAGGTTCAAAAAGTTCAAAATCCAGGGTCCCCGTGATGAAGGTTCTTTAGCTGGGGAGTTCAAACAACTCAAACAGTCAAAACGTTCAAAACATCCAGGGTCCTCGTGATGAAGGTTCTTTAGCTGGGGAGTTCAAAAAGTTGAAAAACCAGGGCTGCCGTGATGAAGGTTCTATGGCGGGTTGGGGTTCCTCCTCATCAACCTGTCCAAGATTCTGGATTTCAACATAGCGGCCTGGGGGAAATCCTGTCCTCGGTTGATGTCCTAGGTTCCTCCAAACCTCCAGACGGCCTAGGTTCATCGCAAAGCTGATGAAATCGTCCTCCTTCGCCCGCGAGGTGTGTCCTATCGGGAGCATCACCCATGCGACCACCACCTGCCAAACTCTCCTCAAAATCCTCGTAGACGAAGCCCGGGGACCTAGGATGGCCTCCTCATCCACGACGGTCCTAGAGCTTCGCGGGGGTCGACATCATTGAGCTCGTAGTCGTACGTCACAAAAAAAGCAGGAAAGTCCGCTGATAACCTGTGATTGTGCCCAGGAATTGGAAAAGGTTGGGTAAACAAGCCACAAAAGAAAGGCCCCGAAACGGTAGCCAATCCCCGGTCCCAAAGATCAGCGTTTCCCACACACAAGTGACCAAACAACCACAATCCAAACCACACCAAAAAGGAAAAAGGATACCCGCAACCTGGGTCGACGATGAACCGCGCGGGCACTCCCCGCCAACCTGCCCCGGGCCGAAGTCTTTCTCCTCCAACACGTGGGTGATCGACGTGGGTGCCCATCCAAGGTCGCGACGGATCCGTACTTGAGCCAAATGCCAAAGGATGGTTGCCTCCAAATGACATTCGAAGACATGGCTAGTCAACAGAAAATTGGGCCACTTGCTTCATCTGTAAAAGTTCACAGCAAGATGTCAAAGTTCACAGAAAATTGTGCCACTTGCTTCATCTTTAAAAGTTCACAGCAAGATGTCAAGTTGGCTTCATCTAAAAAAAGTTCACAGCAAGATGTCAAAGTTCACAGAAAATTATGCCACTTGCTTCATCTCTTTAAAGGTTCACAGCAAGATGTCAAAGTGCACAGACAATTGTGCCACGTGCTTCATCTTTAAAAGTTCACAGCAAGATGTCAAAGTTTACAGAAAATTGTGCCACATGCTTCATCTTTAAAAGTTCACGGCAAGATGTCAAAGTTCACAGAAAATTGTGCCACTTGCTTCATCTTTAAAAGTTCACAGCAAGATGTCAAAGTTCACAGAAAATTGTGCCACGTGCTTCATCTTTAAAAGTTCACAGCAAGATGTCAAAGTTTACAGAAAAGTGTGCCACGTGCTTCATCTTTAAAAGTTCACAGCAAGATGTCAAAGTTCACAGAAAATTATGCCACTTGCTTCATCCCTTTAAAGGTTCACAGCAAGATGTCAAAGTTCACACAAATTGTGCCACTTGCTTCATCTTTAAAAGTTCACAGCAAGATGTCAAGGTTTACAGAAAATTGTGCCACATGCTTCATCTTTAAAAGTTCACGGCAAGATGTCAAAGTTCACAGAAAATTGTGCCACGTGTTTCATCTTTAAAAGTTCACAGCAAGATGTCAAAGTTCACAGAAAATTGTGCCACGTGCTTCATCTGTAAAAGTTCACAGCAAGTTGTCAAAGTTTACAGAAAAGTGTGCCACTTGCTTTGACCCGCGCAGAATTTCTTTAGCTCTTGTTTCGAATGGGGCGCTTGTTTCGGGCCCGACAGGGAGCGCCGGCGATGCTGTGCAATTCTGGGCTGTTCCCAGAGCTAAAAGTCTAACTTTTAGTGGTTTAGTGGAAACTACCACTAAGCCAACTAAAAGCCACCAAAATCCTAAGGGGACATTTCACAGTTGGTTAGCCCCCGTGCCATTGAGAACTCTAGGGCTACCAAAAAAGACTGACTAGTACCGGAACTCATTCCTTGATCGTTTGGATTGGTGGTTTGGATCTGGATTTGAACCCTTGGCCTTTGAGGGACGGGGTTTCCCCATTACATCGACCTCAACCGGGCTCCAAACCACCAGCCAGAGGGAACATCGCCACAGGCCTCATCCGTCAATGCCGAGCTCGAATGCTTGACCAACAACCTCAGAGTCTATCCCGAAGATCGGCAACTGTTGCATGTTGCCCGCTCTGTGGGTATTTCGCACACGTCTCAGAGGGACACAAGACAAAGACATTTCACGACTCCCTAAGCTCTGAAAATACTTAGTCTGCCAAGAACAAAGTTCCCGAACCCTGAAACAAAACACACCTGTGCACGTCGTGCGCATGACAGTAGCAACAAGGCCGACCGGCCACCCTGGGCGTTGCCTCCACGATTGCGGGTTGCCACGCCAGGTCTGATCGTGCCAAGTGGCAAGGTCAGCTCCTGCGCGTCCCAGGACTCCGCCACACCCATGGTCTCCAGCTCTGAAAACAGCACCTGCAAGCGGCAAGGCAGAAGTGACATACACGACATCTGCTTTCCCGAACCGCTTGATTTGGGTTGATTCTCAAACCACTCAAACACACTTCTGCCACCACCTGGAGTGAGGAATTACCCTTCTGTTCCAACTGGCTCTCAAGCCGGCAACAGAAAACAAATACCTTTTGCTTGTTGCCAACCCTGTCAACCAACGTGGTGCGCTTCCTTCGTGCGGACCTTGCACCTGTCTTTGAACGGTTCCATCTGGTGGCTGCTGGTCTGACCAGCAGCAGGTGAGTCAACCTCTCAGATCTCCTACTCAGCAAAGCCGAGAATTCACAGCCCACCAGAGCTGGTTCACAGGTGACAAAGGTATCTTAACATGTTTGGAGGAGTCTGGGAAGCAAAGTGACGTCTTGCATCCATGTTGGTGCTGAGTGGCATACATCATGGCCACCGCCACTTCATTGGATCCGACTTTTCCATGCTGAACTCTCTTTTCCCGAGCAGGCACCTTGCGTTGGTCATCCCGCAATGGTTTATCCCCCGCTCAAGCATTCCTAGGGCTAAACCCATTTCAACTGGCCAAGGATGTTGTCCATCTTCTCCGGGTCCCTCCCAAACAAGTAGATGGGCCAAGTCGGTGATGCTCTTGGTTTTGATACAAGCACCTTACTTTACTTAATCTAATAATGACTCCTTCCACTGCTGCCCAGTGACATACGACACATCACCGCCTTCTTCCAGGGTGCGCAAGCCTGCGTGGATCCAATCGAAGGCAATACACAAAAGTGGATTGTCTCTGAATGATGGACCTTCTTGAAAACCATCCCGAAAAGGGCGCCCTCAAAACATCACACGCCCATGTGTTTCTCTCTCTCTCTCTCTATATACGGCTTGTGTCTTTACGCACATCGGGGGCCTTACCTGGCTTGGAGTCGGTGCGCGCGCCTGCCAAATGACAAGCAGACCTGCTCAAGCGCACCCGCTCAGCACTGCACACGCCTGCCAAATGATAAGCAGACCTGCTGAAGCGCACCCGCTCAGCACTGCACGCGCCTGCCAAATGACAAGCAGACCTGCTCAAGCGCACCCGCTCAGCACTGCACACGCCTGCCAAATGATAAGCAGACCTCTGAAGCGCACCCGCTCAGCACTGCACGCGCCTGCCAAATGACAAGCTGACCTGCTCAAGCGCACCCGCTCAGCACTGCACACGCCTGCCAAATGATAAGCTGACCTGCTGAAGCGCACCCGCTCAGCACTGCTTGCGCCTGCCAAATGACAAGCAGACCTGCTCAAGCGCACCCGCTCAGCACTGCACACGCATGCCAATTGATAAGCGCACCCGCTCAGCACTGCACGCGCCTGCCAAATGACAAGCTGACCTGCTCAAGCGCGCCCACTCGGCACTGCGCACGCCTGCCAAGTCATAAGCGTGCCCGCTCAAGAGCACAGGCGCCAAACGATAAGACCGCCCCCTGAAACGGATTTGCTCAGCTCCGCGCACGCCGACTGCGCTGGCTTCGTGACTGACCGGCGTTGGGTGTCTTCAGCAAAAACCCGGCACCCGGAAGAAAAATAGCAGCCCTACGACTGTGTGGTGCAGCATGTTGGTGTTCTGGAACGTCTTAGGGGGGTGGAAACAGGGTCGCGCCCCTTGAAGTACTAGGTGCTTGGGGCAGAATGAATAAGGCTTTCTCCGTCCATGTCGTAAAGCCCAAACGCCCGAGGCAACCACCGAGGCGCCTTGTCTTAGGAAGCCCTCCCGGAACGCAGCAAAAGCCCAAGCCAAGGTGCACTCCATCCATCCTTGTGCGCCAATCTGGTATAGGTCCATTGCATACCTGGGACCACAAGCAAATCCTCTGACTCATCTGGGTGAATTGCAACTGTGGTGCCGCTATTCAGAAGCGGTCTTTTCCTCGACACAAAAACGGCTCCATTGTGCATGGTTTGTTGCCTATACATCAACTCCTATGTTTCACACTCCTCCCAGGTACAATCCGTCAGGCTTGCACCTGCGCTACCGGTTCTACCTCTCAGCTCAAGCCGTCCTCGATGTAGGTCATCACCCCGGGATCCTGGCGTACCTCCTCCCTCTGACTCCGGCGCATCGCCGGCACCTGTCGAAGGCGTCCCACCTCCGTGTAGCAGCCAAAGTGGGGCAGTTCAGGGAGTAGTGGTACCTGACCCCGTAGTCTGTGGTGAGCACCGGCTTCCAGTCCCTCACAATGACTGGGACTGAATGCTCCTCTTCTACGTCTTGCATCCGGAGCTCCTGTTCGAAGCACCATGTGCAGACATACCTTGCCTCTGCTCGACCTCCGGCGCACTCTCTGGTGTGGTGTGCGATCCTGTCCTTCTTGTTGAAGAACAGCTCTTCGTCCTCGATGTCCCACCTTTCGTTGCGCACCGCTTCATCGATCTGGACCAGTTGCCGCTCTTGATCATTTGCTGGCGGTTGGTCCTCACTCCTCCAAGGCGGAGTGGGGTGTCTTCTCGCATAATCTCTCCTCCATGGTGAATTGACGCTCGGCTTCCCTTTTCCTTTTCCAGAGCCCGATTCCACCCTTTCCCTTCTCCAACGGCCTCCTCAAGGCCTCTGGTACTGCTTTTTGGTCTAGCACCCAATGCTTCCGACCCTCCGCCACCTCCGGTAGTAGTGGATCTTCTCCTTGTAGTTGATGCCGATGCTCTCGACGACGATGAAGCCTCTTCTTCCGACTCCTCTTCTTCGTCACCCGCCGGCATCTTGTTGTGTCCACGCATCGCCCTTATAGACGCATATTCCCCTCTGCTTCTCTTCTCGCATGCCTCTTTCACCATCGCCGCCACCTTGATTGCCAGAGCCGTGAAGAGGGCCACCAGGATACCGAAGCCGACCAGGGCGTTGTAGTCTCCCTGATCTTCTTCTTCGACTTTCTCCTCTTTCGCCGCCACTGCCTGGACTTGCATGCAGCATGCCAAAATGGCCAACGCTGCCTTTCCTTTTTCCAGGTCCACCTCCAGGGCTCCTCCTTCTTCTGGCTTTGGTGCTCCAATCTCCACCAAACCTGCTTCATGCCCATGTCGGCGACCAGATTGGCGCCCATCCGACGCACTATCCGCCAGTCCCCCATCTGCACTCTCCATCTCACATAGAACGCTCTCAGACGAAGATGACGCGTCCGGTTGTCCCGGATCAACGTCCGCGAATAGTCCATCTCCGTCTTGATCTCCTGGATCAACGCGTCTACCGAGTCCCCAAGAACCATTCCCTCTATCATCTCCATCAGCTCGGACTCGGCTGTCGACAGCGTAGGGAAGCTCTGCCTCGAAGATCTCCGCCAGCATTGATGCCTGCCATTTGACCATTACACAGCCATGGCTAATCTCGCCGCCCGGCGCGAAGCTCGCATCCGTGATCACCTCCAAGCCCGCTCCTCCACTCTTTCTTCCATCTGTGTCCTCCCCCATGTCCTTGTCCAGCAGGATGCCCTCCGTCTTGGTCGCGTTGAGGTACCGCAGTGTTTGGGTCGCGGTTCTCTGCACCCATCGTGGAGCCTTGGACACGAAGCTCGACATTCTCGACACCACGTAGGCCAGGTCAGGTCTGCTCCGGGTGACCAGCCAAATCAACTCGCCCACCAGTCGCTGACCCGTCTGAATCTCCTCCGCCGTGATCCCGATCTCTGCCTCTGGCTCGCTACACTCCTTGCTCATGGGGATCACCGACTTGCCAGTGACATTGTTCCGATCGATGATCTCCTTGATGTAGTCCATCTGGTCCAAGGTGATCCCCTGCTCCGTCACAGAGATGTTCACCCCGCAGAACCTTACCGGCTCCTCGCTGAACCAGCTCTCTTCTGATGACTCCCACGTGAGGGCTTGAGGCACTCCTTCCACGCCCAACGGCATGAAGTCGTCCACGTAGACTAGCAGTAGGCCGACCAGCTCCTCCGGATTCAAGTCGTCCTCCACCTTCTTCACCAGCCACAGATTCGGTTCGCTCCTCATCTGCTCCAACTTCAACCAACGCTTGCCATAGCTGATTCTCCACCTCCTCATCTCGTCGTCCCGGCAGTCCGACCAGCACCTCGGACTCTGCCGTAGGCCGTACATTGCCTTGTTGACGATCCACAGCTCCCCTTTGGGTATCAACCCCATCCGGACCAGTAGTGCCGGCGGTCGCATGGCCACCGTCAGCTCTCCCTCCACGTCCACTGTGCCTCCTTGCCACCCGCGAACCGCCGCCTCCTTCAACGCCAACCGCAAAGCCACCACGTCCGTGCCCCCCGCGAAGAGCCTGGTTTGATTGCGAACACCCCCTTCCCGGGTAGTACTTGCACCCGTGGGTTGTTCTCCAGCAGCTCCCTCGCCGATGCCGGGTTGAGCCTGGTGATTGCACCCTTTTCTTCCACGATGGTGTCCAGCTCCTTCTTCATGGGTGCTTTCCAATCCTCCAGGTTCATCTCCACCTCCTTGGCACTGACGATCTTGGTCTGGAGTATCTGCTCCTCGTCTTTTTCCACCTCTGTGCTGCTCCTCAACTCCTCTTCTTCCTTCTTGAAACCTTCTAAGGCTTTCACCATAATGTCCATCAGCTCCGGCTCGTCGTTCGTTACCGCCTTCTCTTCCTCCTCTATTGTGGCTCTGAGCGCCTTCAGCCTCACCAGAACCCCTTCGTCCTCCAACACCTTCTTCTGGGTCTTATCTCTTATCCTCCTCCGGACACGATAGGGTTCCTCCGGCTCGCGCTCTTCTCCCTCATCACCTCTCCTTTCCACGAATTGCCACCCGTCCACCGGCTCCGGGAGAGGTTTCCACTTGTGCAGCACATAAGCAGCCACCTGGACTGTTCCATCCTCTCTCATCACGGCGTGACCGTTCGGTACGTCCACCACCGGGGCCAAGTACTTCCCCTTGACGTGCCTTGGGCCCAGCTCCTCTGACTTCCACTTCCTTTTCTTCACCATCACCTCCTGGCAGAATCTGGGTATCGTGCCCTCTTTTCTCTGCCTTGTTCTCTTATCCTTCTCCACCACACACCGAGCTGCAGCTGGCCACCACTGTCCATCCACCTCGGCTGCAAAGAGCACTCTCCTCATTCTTGACTTCAAGTGCTTGATGGCCACTTCTGCTCGCCCGTTTGATCTCCAATCGTCTGCCGCCGTACTCGTCTTCGCGATGTCCCGGTTGAAGCACCACCGGCGCAAGGCATGGTTCATGAACTCCTTGCCCCTGTCGCTATGCAATCGCGCCACTGGAAAACCTTGGCGCTTCAATTCCAGATACATCGTCTGTATGGCGTCCAAAACTTCTTTGCCTCCTTTCGTCGAGAGAGGCACTGCCAGCGTGTGGATTTCAATCTCCAGCGGCTCCTCTCTCTTCTCCTCATCCTCTTCGTACTCGTCCAGGTCGCCTTCTTCCATCTCTCCATCTTCCTGTTCTCCGACCAACTCCTCCAGCTCGAAGTCCCAGATCCCTTCTGGGGGTTCTGGATCAGCCGGATCATGAGGGTCTCCTTCTTCCTTCTCTTCTTCTTGAGGCTCTTCCTCCTCCGGGCCCTCTAGCTGGAAGATCGTCCACCCGGCCCATCGGCTCTCGTCCTCAAAGACCTTTTCCGTCTTTTCGGCATTCCTCCAGTCGTCCATGAACATCTTCAGCGGACCATCTTTAGTTGTCCGTGCTATGGTCCTCCTCCGTCCCCGTAGTCGCTCCACAGGCACCGGACATCCTGGAGCATCGTCAGCGAAGAACCTTACCTTCCGGTGGCTCTTGTGCACCCTGATCACGTACTTGCCGTTGGCGCTGGTGGTCCAGTAGTCCTCCGGTCGTTGCCCGGGTTGGTCCGGTTTCTTCACCTCCTCCAGGCCCTTCGCCTTGCCAGCTTCTCCACCTCCATCTCGTTCCTTCTCCGGGATCTCCTCAGACTTCAGCGGATTCTTCGGCCATGTGTACGCGCCCACAAGCATGTACTTGCAGCTCCGCCCGTCGATGTCTCTTCCCTTCTTCAGCGGTCCGGCCAAATCCAACGAAAGGCAGTAGGCGTGCTTGTGCTTGATCCTCCTATGGGGTCGGTCTTGACCACTAGCCTCCTGACAAACTCGGCAGTCCCTCCTCATCGGGCAATGTCCTGCCGCGATGTGCTCTTGCCAACTCAGCTTCCGCAGCTTCACCACCTGCTTTCTGACCTGCGTCAGAATCGCTCTCGCCACTTCTCTCATGAGTCCTGGAGCCCACCTTGCCAGGTTCTTCGAGTCTCTGAGGCCCACCTCTTCCATTCGGGCTCTCGACACCAGCCCTGTCACCCTTCTCTCAGGCAGGTCGATGTAGAGGTTGGTCCCCAACGTTGTCGGCTTTTGTGCTGCTCCTCCGAAGTTCACCACGCAGCGCAACCTCTCCACCAGCAGACCCAACGGAATAATGGAGCCCACGCTCTCGTGCTCCTGGACGATGATGCCTCCTTCCGTGATCCGCATGACTTTCATCTCTCCTCCGGCCAGGGCAACATCGATCTCGTCCAGATTCTCGATGTCTTCACCTACGTAGAGGATGCGTAGCTCCCGAGTCCAGTAGCCCACCATCACTCCACCTCCCTTGAGCGTTTACCTGGGTCCTTTTGAGAGACCCAGATCTCAACCCATTCAACTGTTTCTGCAGGTCGTCCAAGCGGTCGTTCCTCTCGTCCACCTTCTTGACTCCCTGCGAGGCGTTGAGGCTCCGTAGCATCTTTGCTGCTTCCTGCAACACCCCACCCATAGATTCGTCTTTCTTCGAATCTTCCACCACCGTTTCCTTCTCCCGGATCGGCTTGATCTCCTCCTTCTTGGGTGAGGATGCCGAAGCCGGTGTCGTCGCCACGTCGTTCTCCTGGGCCACCCTTCTCACAGCCGCCGGCTTCTCGGGTGATGTCGGCTTCTGCTTTCTGGGGCAGTCTTTCCTCATGTGTTCCACTGATCCACACTCCCAGCAGCGTCCTCTTGCGGTCTCATCCGTGGGATGCTGCCACTCCGGCCCTTTCTGCAGCCAGCGTCCTTCATGTAGAACCTGCAAACTAGGTCCCTACGTCGCGTCCCTTGCTCCTTCTCTGTCTCGACCTTCCGGATCTTGGCGTCCACGGGTTTTGTCACCTTTCTCTCACCCCCCTGGTTGCTCTGTTCCAGTTCGGCCAAGACGTGCTCCGCGAACTGCTGCACCGTTCCATGCGTCGGCACGCTGTCCACCCGCAGCGTGTTCCGGGCAAGGGAAATCCGGAACGTCAGCTCCCGGTTCGTCTCCACCACCTTTCGAATCATCTTGCTGAGGCCCCTCATCATCACCGTGGGGTCTGGCAACGCCAAGTTCATCTCGCTCGCCCGCCGCCTCCACCTCAGCCACTTTCTCAAACTCTTGAGTGCCTGGATCGTAGCAGCTTCCACCGGCTCCTCCAACGCCCGTAGGACCACTCCTTTTTCTCCAAGACCTCCTGGTTGATACACTACCAGAAGCCTGCAGATCGCCCCGTAGGCCGACACCGTATTCGTGGCGATCATCTCGTCTCTCACCGTCTCCGGAACCGCCTGGATGATGAGAGAAGCTGCCCGCCTTTCCAACCGACTCCATTTCCTTAGCCCCAACACCTCCGGCGTCTTGGGCACCATGTTGACCCTGTTCAGCGGGATCTCCTTCATGTACTCCTCGTACCACTCGCGGGCCTCCTTTAAGAGTAGGTCCCACCATTCCATCGAGCTGTCACTCAGGTCCGACATCAGGGGATGGATGATGGTGACCGTCTCGATGGTCTCCTTCTTCTCCTTCTGCTCCAAGAGCTGCTTCTGCATCATCTGCATGCCCTCCATGAGCTTCAGCATTACGTCCATCTGGTTGCCATCCTTTCCGGATCCGGCCACATCGCTTGCCCTTTCCGAGGCACCGCCATCCTGCTCATCCCAAGCATTTCCTTCTTCGCCACCAGCTCCAAGTCCGCCTTCTCCGACCTTGCCATTCGGGTGGTCGCGGGTCGGGCTGTAGGGCTCATGGTTCTGATTGTCCCTGACCGTGATCATGCCGTTCACCTTCTCCCGGCTCTCCGGCGTGCCGTAGTCAGCGTCCGTCTCCTTTCCTTGCTTCTTCAACACTTCCACCTCATGCTGAGCCTCTGATTCCGTGTCATCAGCTCCTGCATCATCTGCATGAGGAAACCGGGTCCACTCCCGTTGCCAACGGTGTCGTCCTCGCATCCTGAGGCACCGCCATCATCTTCATCATCTGGCCCTCCGGCTCCGGATTCTCCATGGGTAGGTACCTCGGTCGAAGTTGGCCACCACCCGGATTGTCTCCCTCCAGGCTACTCTCCACGGGCAAGCGCGCCGGCCTCGGTTGGTCCATCCGCGGTCCCCTCAGCAACGGTGCTTTCTCGTCCCACTTGTTGAACTCCCTGATCTGCTCCGGGGTGAACAGAGGCTTCATGGCTTCTGGCTCTCCTTCCGGTCCATTTGGCCACCTGCGTGGAGGCTCCGGATCGAGTCCTGGCCTGGCCGTGAGCTCAAGCGGCTTCACCATCTCCACCATCCTCCTTGGAGGCCTTCTGCCTCCAGCATAGGGCACCATTTCCTGCCCTATGATCTCCAGGCTCTCCACCTCCGGTTCTTCTCCTTCGGCAGAATCGAGCCTTTCTCGAGGTTCTCCACTTCCTGATGCCCTTGTCGGTTCCATTGCCGAGCGAGGGCCCCTGTTTTAGGGGTTTGGGCTCATAACCTGTGGTGCCGCTATTCAGAAGCGGTCTTTTCCTCGACACAAAAACGGCTCCATTGTGCATGGTTTGTTGCCTATACATCAACTCCTATGTTTCACAGCAACGGCTCGCCCACCTGAAAGAATCATCATAAGAATAATACCAACAATATCATACTAATGATAGGGGTGCAAGGGGCGACTCTCTGCTGACAGCACTTACTTTTGCCGCCTCCTGTCCACTTCCTGAGATCCAATGCTGATTCAGAGTCAGAGAAAAGGAGCCGCCAAATGCTTCCTAATAGCCCTGACAGGCACCCGAAAAATTTGGGCTCTCCACATGCGCGTGTCACGAGTCAAGCATGCAGAAGTCAAGTGGCGCCTTCTGATTTGAGGATTGTGAACGGCGACAACTTCGACATGTATCCCAGTCATACTGTGGATGGACGAAAACCATTTCGCACCACTCTAAAACCATTGGTATTTGCGTTGGGGAATCGAATGATTCCAGAATTGTCTTGGTGCGATTTGGATTTTGCAGCTATCCATAGTAGGTGTCATTTTGTCAGCTTTCCACTAATTGGTGGTTTGGATGTGGTTCGGGGATCTTGTAGAGGGCCACTTTTGGAGGGGCCCCCCACCCCCCTACTAGTAAACTGGTTGGTTGGCTACTATGGGGTCAACCTTAAAATGGGACTAGCCCTTCTTCACCACCAACCCACCCACCCACAGACCCCAAATCCGGCCGAAGCGCGGGCTGTGGAGCCCCCCGAACCACAGCCGCCCAGTTCCCGGCTTCAGCACCCGCAGCAGCTGGCGCCGCAGCACGGCGCAGGGCGCCGCAGCGCTGCCCAGCTTCGTCATGGCGCCGTTGGTGATCACCACGTCCTCAGCCGCCGAGCGCTGAGCGCCGAGTGACGAGAGGAGGCGCCGAGGTCGGCTTTTTTGTTTGGGCCGGGTGTGGAAGGAGATATTAAAAAAAAGGAGAAAGGGGCGGGGGGGAAGGCAAAATTTCTGACTGAACCCCACAAATGGGCGAGTTTGGTGGGGGAGCCGCAAGAATGGGTGGCGATGTCCCTTGTTCCCCTTAAAAAACAAACGGGAAGCCTCAAAAGATATCCGATAAACAAATGTGTGGGCTTGTCTCTGGGGAACCAACCCAAAATGGGAGCCAAGGGCAAAAAGACACACATCCCTATCCCACAGGCCACCTCTGCAAGGGGCATCCTCTAAACCAGCAGGAAAAAGGAATTGGCCCAAGTGTATCCTAGAGACCCTGCTGGCCCGCACCAAAATATGTCCTAAACATGGTTTGAGGGAGATGTTGTATGGAAAGGTGGGTTATTCCATTCATGTCTGGTGTAAATACACCTGGGACTTGATATTTGAACCTCTGTCATCCCGAAACATATTGAAAACAAACCAGCCAAACTTACAGGGCTTTCCCTTGTTGCCTACTGCTACTGGCGAAAATTACAGAAGCCTCTGCACTCGTCCTCCACCCGTCCCCGGTAAGATGTTGCAAAGCTTCTTTTGGTGTATGAATGTTGCAACCAAAGCAGGGCTCTGAAACATTGGAACAAAACCAATGACCTTGTAAGAGGTCTTCATCAAGTCTAAACCTGCGTCCACAATTCCCACCTGAGTCTGCGGTTGTTGAAAAGCTACCCCTTTTTTCGGTCAGGTTTAAAGGGAAACCAGAAGGAAAGCCCGGTCCATGTTGGGGGCTCCGAATCCCAAGAGACCGGCTACGGCTTCCAGTCACCGCTTTCTTCCGCTTCCAAGCGGCGAAGGACTCGTCGTCAAAGGCCTCCAGAGCGGCGACGTCGCCTGAGCTTCCGCCGAGTCCGCAGAGATGTCACGGGCGGAAAAGCGAGTGACGGAAAAAAAGTCGAAAACTTTGAGTGGGTTAAATTCGGAGTTACTGCCACTAGACCAAATGAACAACCACTTAAAAACCAAAGAACCAGATGGCTGGGACCCAGATAAATGAAATGGCCCAGTCACTTGCGATGGACAACTCACAGTGCAACTCTTCCGGCCAAGTTCTTCCTCGCGCACTAACTTGGCTCTGCTGTTTGCCATTCGTGATCGACAGCTCGCATCAGGTGACGCATCGGAATTGTGAGGCTCGGACAGAGAGAAAGAGAAAGAAGCGAGCGAGCGAGCGAGCGAGCGAGCGAGCAGGGAGGGAGGGAGGGAGGGAGGGAGGGAGGGAGGGAGGGAGGGAGGGAGGGAGGGAGGGAGGGAGGGAGGGAGGGAGGGAGGGAGGAGGGAGAGGGAGAGGAAGAGTGAGGGAGAGAGAGGGAGAGAGAGAGATGGAGAGAGAGGGAGAGAGAGGGGAGAGAGAGAGAGAGAAGAAGAAAAAAAGGAAAGAGAGACAGCAAGAGATGAAGCCAAGATTTAAGTGAGGCAGAACAACTGCCGTATCTCAAGGTAAGCAAGTTTGTTCAGAAACCGGACGCTTCAAATGTCTGGCCTGGTACGACGCATCTGGGTGACAAATTCAGAACATATTGCCAGTATCCTCCTAGGCGCTATTCCTGGAACCGGCAATGTCTCTCTGTGTGTGCACATGCGTACCCCACCCTGTACAAGTGGACCGCCCTAGCCATTGCTGAGGAGCACTTGCAAGCAAACCATCCCCAACAAGAGCCTACAGTGCAGCCGGGCCTTGACAAACCGCGCGAATGTCCACACCAACCTGCGCCGAACAATCACACGCACACTGCGCGTGGTCTTCACCTATTTTGGAAGGGGCTGTCCTCAGATCCCCTGCTAAAAGTCAAACTTTGAGTGAACCACCACTAAACCCCCAAAAAAACAAATCCCTTTAGTGGGTTAAATGGAAACTACCACTAAACCCCAAAAACCAACCCCTTTAGTGGGTTAAATGGAAACTACCACTAAACCCCCCCCCCAAAGGGGGAAGAAAAAAAAACGTTTAGTGGGTTAAATGGAAACTACCACTACACCCCCAAAATGCAAAAACCTTTTAGTGGGTCAAATGGAAACTACCACTAAACCCCAAAAATGCAAAAACCTTTTAGTGGGTCAAAAGGAAACTACCACTAGACCCCAAAAATGCAAAAACCTTTTAGTGGGTCAAAAGGAAACTACCACTAGACCAACTAAAACCTAAAACGTAAGAAACCGCATGGCTGGGTGCCACCATCCGAACTCTCAGAGTGCTAACTGAGGATGGAGAATTTGCAGTTGCACCCCCGAGGCTACCCTCTTAGCTGGCAGAATGTGTGCGGCGGTGGGCCAACCAACATGTTGTTTAAACCAATACCGCTTAAACATCCTTCAAGGGGGCGGGTATCCCCTGTTTCGTGGCCTAAAAGGAAGCCCAAAAGAAAAAGCACATTGTTTTTTGGCGGGGGCTTCCTCAAAAAAGTCGCCCGTCCGTGGCTGATTGCCTAAACCCATTTTTGCTTGACCCACGTCTTGACACCGCCTGCGAGCCGCTGGCGCGCGTTCCCTCCAGGTGCTGCTGGAAGAGGTCGATGGCAGTGACCTGCCCCCGGGCGACTGCTCAAGGAATCGGTGCCGGGACGCCAAATTGGCGTTGTTTGTCCTTTACCTTCACAAAGGAAGGTAAAAAGGGCACCATCAAAAAAGGCACACCCACCAGCCTGCCATTACACTTGATGCCGGGACATAGTGGGAAATCAGGCAAACGAAGCTTTAGGGGTCACAGTTCACACCATCAAAAAGAAGAAACACCCGCGAAGTCCACGAGTAAGTGGAGTGCCTCCTATTGCACTCAGTCGCTTGCGCATGACTGGTGGGCTTTCTAGGTGGGCTATACAAAAAAAAAGCTGCGTGCCATCAGCACCTGCTACACAATCCAAAATATGTTTGTTGCTTGCCACGCCAAACAAAAATTAAAAAAGCAATGGGGAAAGAGTGGCTAGGCGGGATCAGAGCTTGCAGTTCCCCTGCAAGGATCAGACATCGCAGCTCTGTCATGGCAGGCCATTTAGGCTCACATCATATGAGCAAATATCACTATGATGGATTCATCTTATTGCCATCACTATACGGCATCCATGTTGGGCTCGTATTGCAGACATACGCAATTACCCACGCTGCTGTGTTGAACGTTTCGCATTTAAAAAAAAAAAAAAAGCTGAATGGCGAAGATCAGAAGCTCTTGAGGACTGGATGCCCCACATACTGTGGATGGACGAAATCCATTTCGCACCACCTAAGAAACCCTGGAATGAGACCACTTCTGGAGGGGCCCTCACCCCCACCCCCCTAAAAATACACAGGTTGGTTGACTCATCCGAGGTGACTAATCCCTAGAATGATACGATTCCCCAGCGTCAATACCAACAACCAATGGTGTCAACCATGGTTTCAAGGTGGTGCAAAATGGATTCCGTCCATCCACAGTATTTGCCCGTGCTCTGTCTTAGTCTTGAAGGATTCACGCTCAAAGACAGCTGCTACCGAGCGGAACCGAGCGGACCCGAATGCTTCTCTGCCCAAATACATGCCTTTAGGGGAGAGCCATGAGATGGTGACCCTGTCATCATTCATATTGGGGGACCCCAAAACATGGCAAGGGTGTCCTTTAAATCTCCCTTTTAACCGACCAAATGGGGGAACCACCTCCAAAAAAGACGAGCCACCCACATCAGGTAACCCTGAATCTCACTTCCTGAATAGATTGGCCAAAAAGTCCAAACTTTGTGCTTGCCGCTGAAATGCTCCAAACCCCCTAAAAAACGAAGTCAAGGAACTCAGGAAGTGAGTCACCTTATGGGAAACCCTCAATTGGTGGATTGGATTGGTGGATTGGGGATTTGAAGCCCTTCTTGTAGAGATGGGGTTCCCCCTCCGTTTCACCACCAAACCGCTTCGGCTCCAAACCGAAAAAACGAGGGAAGCTGACATGGCCATGGGTCAAAATCCCGTACCCCCAGTCCCAATCCCCACTAAAATAGGTTCTAACATGGGTGGTGCACCTACCCCAAAATGGGATCCCAAAACGGTTTTGACAACCACAGCCAAATCAGTATGTGGGGGATGCAAAGGTTCGATCTACATGGGATGACCATTGGGGAAACCATGATATTTCCCGCCCGGGGTAAAAAATCGCCCATGGTCATTTGGAGGCCAAAAAGGGAATATCGATCACCTCTCGAGTTCAACCCTCGTGAAAACGCTCTCTCCGCCTGCACGCCGAAGGCCGCGGCCAGCCAGGCGGCGCCAAGGCCGCAGCCTGCGTAGCGAGCGAAGCGAGCACCGGGCTTCGGACAATTCGGGCGGCGTTTTTTGTTGGTTGCCCCTGTGCACCTTTTCCGGCGTTTTTCGGGGACCGCCGGAACCGAAGCTTCGGCCTGCCCAAAGCCAATCTCTCTCTCTCTCTCTCTCTCTCTCTCTCTGTTTGTGTGGGTTTCCACGTCCATCATCTATTCGCGTCATGCTTGGCATGTGTTGGTGTGCTTTTTTCTGCAACCCCCCTCCATCCACCAGGCGGTTTCATGGAATCGCCCGAAAACCCCTTTCGTTGGCTCGGTGTTTATTTGACAAAGGCCTTCTGGCAGTTTCCATGTTAGGCGGAAAATAAAAAATAAAATAAGAATAAAAAAAAATGAGAAAGTGTTACCTGTTTCTGTTCTTTTTTTGTGTTTGGGAATAAAAACTGAGAAAGTGTGACCTGTTTCTGTTTTTGTTTTTGTTTGTTTGGGAATGAACATCCAAAGGAAACTCACGGCAGTGTCCATGGCATCCTCTTTGCCAAACAAAAAAAGGGTGGCATGCGACCAGCTCCTTAACAGAGCGCCCGGCGAACTCAGGGTGACCAGCTATGGACTGTCCAGCTCGCTGTGCCTGGGCCAAACTCCAAGAGCTCCTCACCCGGCTGCAGGTTCAGCATGGAGCCAACCATACAGTACTTGCCTTGGCTGCGGCAGGCGAAATACTTCAACTCCAAATGACAAAGTCCCACCATCCACAAGTACAACGGATCTTCATCAAATCAATCTCCTAAAGATGGGAAATGGCACCACTCTGCTGAAGCCCTTGTGCTGTTGTGATGCTTTATTCTCATTCTTGTTACAACATTTCGTTGGGGCGGGCCTTGCTTCGACTCTCTTTCGAACGATCGGAACCCTGGAAGGCCGCCGAGCGGCAGGCTGTAAGGCTTGCCATAGGGAACCTGAAGGCACTCTTGGGAGATCACGGACGCAACCAAAGATGTGTTGTTGAAAGAGGGGTGAATTCAAAAAGCTAGATAAGAGTAACTGCAAATACGAACTCCATCATGTGTTGTTTCATGCAACCCTTGCCAATGGGGAAGACTGTTGAGTGCTTGAAAGTAGGTTTCTCTCCTGGACGCAGGCGTACAGGAAAGCTAAGGCTCTCACAGAGCTCTTAAGGCTCAAAGCAAGGCCGGTGCCAGTTCGACACCCTCACAGCAAAAACCAAAAAGTGAAAAAAACCGACTCCGCCAACGAATCCGCAAAGAGCCGACGAACCCAATGCCAGAAGCAAACGAAGCCATCTGCCACCGAAATCCATCGGAGCCAAAGGGCGGATGGTAGGTCAGGAAGGGCCCCCGGCAGGTGTCAGCTGCAAACCCACGGCCTCTCTCGAGCCCACCGAAGCGGCAGGCAGGAATGGGGAAGACCCCGCAGAGATGGTCCAAACCATGGAAGGGAGGTCTTGCAGAAAGGAGGCTCCCTGCAGGAATTGGCAGAAAGGGTGGGTGCTTTCCAGAAAGGAGCCCCAGAAATCGCCAGAAAAGGTTGAAAGAGACTGCGTGTTCATGCGTGCCTGCCTGCCTGCGTGAGTGGGTGGGTGGGTGCGTGCCTGCGTGAGTGAGTGAGTGGGTGGGTGAGTGTGGGCTTGCGTGCGTGAGTGAGTGAGAGATGACCTGTGGATATATCAAAACGGCACGTGCTGATCTTACACTATTGGGATTGCTGACTGAATGTTAAGGCATAAACATGAAGGAGCCCTCGCATAGGTGGCCATTGAGAATGCGGGCACGGCTCACTCCCTGGAAGGCCACGGGCTATCGATGGCAATGAGACAAACCAGCCCGCTTTTGGCACCACTTTGTTGGGCTCCTCGTTTCTTCAGAGCCTGCGATTCATGCTCGGCTCAACTATCTAGGGCTGGCAAGGCTTAACCTGAATGGTCTCGTACCAATGCTTCGCCGTCATCCTTGAGTCAAAAGTGTCTTGTTTGACTATGAGCACAGTTGATAGTGAAGAAGCATACTGCTTACGGCTGCTGCACATCAAGTTCGCATTGCTGAAGACCCCCTTTTGGCCAAGTTTCACATGCCCCCCGCCCCCCGCCCCCCTGTGGCAAGGGGCTGTCAATCATGGACAGATTCTTCATGTAGCCTGCAGACAAGGAGGAGCTCAAAACATGCGGAGTACTGTCGGGTGTTGCGACGGCTGCAGACGCTTCACAACGATCATTGTTTGCTCACTATGAGGCCAGTAGGTCTCGCACATGTTGTTGCACAGGTTTTGGAAGTTGCTTCCTTGGTTGGTTGCGAACCAAGCAACCATCCAGACCAAACGATGCAGCACAAGCTCCTGTAAAAGAATGGCTGCAGAGGTTACACTCGAAAGGAACAGCTAGAGGTCGAACAAGTTGTTCTTTACATTCAAGTCTAAACGCTCCATCGCAAAATGGTTACTGCGCTTTGCTTTGGCTTTCCGCTCGCATTTGCTCTCATCCTACACGGAACCAACTTGTCATCACTTGGATTCCCAAGATGGTTCGACCAAAACCTGCCTGTGGTAGATGCAAGACGCTCCACCGCTACACAAAGGACCAAATCCGTTCACGACTGAAGGGAAGGATCTTGTTGCCTTTGAACAGCCTAAGTCAGCTTTCATTCCCTCATTCGGAGTCAAAGCAAGCAAAATGTCCAACATCTCAAAATAGGGGACCCTTTTGGTTGGGTTTTAAAGCCTGGGGGTTCCCCTATTTTGAGAAGCCCCCACATGGTGAGAGCCGCAAAGCACTTTGCCCAGTTCAACAGTTCTCCCGCCTGTCGCCACAAAGCGGGTGCCGCAGCCCGCGCCCAGCTCGCGCTTCGGAACCCCGGAGCGCCGCGGCGCGGCGATCGCCGCGCGCATGGCCTGCACGCCAAAAGAAATCGCTGGGTCCCCTCGACATCTGAGCAGAGCGGAGCGCCTGATGGCAGTTAGGTTCTACAGAGGTCACGGGGCTACCCCCAGAAAGTTGGATCAACTTACTGGTTTCCACTCAAGCGATGGAGGGTCTGTGAAGGGGAATGGAGGAACTGGTAGGTGTTTACAGACAAACGGAAGGAAAATGGAGATGGCCTAAGGAACTTGCTGCAACTGACTTGGGGCTCGAAACGTGCTCGAAACTGGCACCAGCGGCGAAGCAAACACCAAGCTTGTCGACCATTGTCCGCACGCCACGGCTTTGCAGGGAAGATTTGGAAGGCAAGTTTTACACGTCCAACGTGCTGCAAGTTGCGCCCTCCGAGCCTTGGGGAGAAGCCGCCATAGGCCTTGGAACTCAGTCGATGCGCAAGACACATCTATCTTCGATCGAAACGCGTGATACCTCCAGGAAGCGTCTGGATCATCGCAAAGCTTGCTGCATCATGTCTTCCATTTCTGCAAATTTATCAAAAAACTCGGTGAGATGCCTCTTGAGATGCGAGCCCTGCTTCGTGAGTCTGGGACCATTGCATGGCCCTTTGGCCCTTGGCCCGGGCTGGTCGTGGCAAGGCGCCTTCCACCTTGCAGCCACTAGAGAGGTCACCTGCACGATATCCCTGGCAAGGGGAGGTGGCAGGCCAAAGGAAGGCGCGCGACGGCAAATGGGGACGGGCAACAAGGATTCGGCCTTTGTGCGGAGAAGGTGAGAGCGAAGAGGTGAACAAAGAAGGAAGGGGGGGCACCAAGCTCAAGAACAAAGCAGAGTGCTTGCAAGCCAAACAAACAGACTTCAACGGCAAACAAAAGCCCATAGTCCATGATTGGTCCGTGAATTCTTCTCGCAAAAGCACCTAAGACGGGCACACATGTCGCACTTTCAAACTGCATTCAATGCTTTCACTTCCATATTCCACTAAGACCATTCGCTGAGAGAAGTCTGACTCCACATTCCACACTGGCTCTCGGCAAAGTGTGACACGCACATGGCGCAATGAGACAAACCCTTGAATGGGACGGAACACGAAAACGCTCGCGGCCGTTGACGCGCGAGCATGGAAACCGCCTGCTCCGCCCGCATCTTGCACTTCCTGTGCACCTCGACATCACCTTGCGGATGCAACCCGAAGATTTGTGATACGGAGGTATCCCTATGGAATCACCTTATGCAGCCATGTCAATTCGTCTGAATGGCACCATGCAAGTGTGATCTTGGCAATCAGAGCCCCCACCCACCCCACCCACCCCACCCACCCCACCCACCCCACCCACCCCACCCACCCCACCCACCCCACCCACCCCACCCACCCCACCCACCCCACCCACCCCACCCACCCCACCCACCCCACGCACCCCACGCACCCCACGCACCCCACCCACCCCACCCACCCCACTCCACCCTACCATCACCACGAATCCACCCACCCCCACCCTACCCCCGCCTAGGACCAGCCGCACCTCCGCCTCGTTTTCCAGGGACGCGCAGAGCTTCTCCGGGCGGAAGCCCAGGCGGTGCCAGGAGGCCATCAAGTGCTGCAGGCCCATGCCCAGCAGCTCCTCGGAATTTCGACTTGACTTCCGACTGTCGGGAAATCCTCGGATTGTTTGGCGGGTTTGTTTTAACTGTTTTTGTTCCCAGATAGCTGAAAGCTATAGGGGTTCTAACTTCTAATTCCCCAGATAGCTAAGAGCTTTCGGGGTTCTAACCTCTAATAAGTGATTTGCGAGATTGATGGGCTGGTGCTAGGGGGCGTGCAGTTTGGGGTGCTGGTGGAGGTGCTGTTTGGGATGCTGTTTGGGGTGCTGTATGGGGTGCTGTTTGGGGTGCTGTTTGGGTGCTGTTGGAGGTGCTGTTGGAGGTGCTGGTGAGATTGACGGCTGGGTGCTAGCGGGCATGCAGGGTAACGGTGCGGGCGCGTTATTGACGATAGGGTGCAAGGGGGCATGCAGTTTGGGGTGGTGTTGTTTCGGGATGCTGTTTGGGCTGCTGTTTAAGGCGCTAATGATGGCGCAGTTCGCGCGGGTGCATTTTCGCGAGATTGACGGCGGCTGGGTGCTTTGGGGGTGCTGTTTGGGGGACGGTGCGGGTGCATGTTTGCAAGATTGAGGGCAGGGTGCTGATTGGGGGCGCTCTTCGGGAGGTGCTGTTGGAGGTGCGGGGTTCTAACTTCTAATAAAGAGGGGAACGTGACTTGCAAGATTGACGGCTGGGTGCTAGGGCATTCTTGCAAATATGACGGCAGGGCGCTAGGGCATGCAGCTTGGGTGCTGGTGCAGGTGCTCTTTTGGGGTGGGCGCATTTTTGCAACATTGACGGCAGGGGTTGTGGGGGACACGCAGTTTGGGCTGCTGGCGCAGGTGCTGTGTTGGTGGGCCTGGCGACGGCACGTGCGCATTTTTTGCAAGATTGACGGCAGGGTGCTCGGGGGCATGCAGTTTGCGGTGCTGGGTGCAATTCTGCAAGGTTGTGCTCTGGGGGTTCTGTTTCGCTCTTGGGGCGGTACTGCTAGAGGTGCTGGTGTGCAGTCATCGGCCTGGTCTTTTGCTATCTGCATAGGTCTATGCTGGTGTAATTCCCCAGATAGCTGAAAGCTATAGGGGTTCTAACTTCTAATAAAGAGGGGAAAGTGATTTGCGAGATTGAGGGCCGGGTGCTAGGGGTCATGCAGTTTGAGGTGCTGGTGGATGCTGCTTTGCGAGCTTGACGGCCGGGTGCTAGGGGGCATGCAGTTTGAGGTGCTGGTGGATGCTGCTTTGCGAGATTGAGGGCCGGGTGCTAGGGGGCATGCAGTTTGAGGTGCTGGTGGATGCTGCTTTGCGAGCTTGACGGCCGGGTGCTAGGGGGCATGCAGTTTGAGGTGCTGGTGGGTGCTGCTTTGCGAGATTGAGGGCCGGGTGCTAGGGGGCATGCAGTTTGAGGTGCTGGTGGATGCTGCTTTGCGAGATTGAGGGCCGGGTGCTAGGGGCATGCAGTTTGAGGTGCTGGTGGATGCTGCTTTGCGAGCTTGACGGCCGGGTGCTAGGGGGCATGCAGTTTGAGGTGCTGGTGGATGCTGCTTTGCGAGATTGAGGGCCGGGTGCTAGGGGGCATGCAGTTTGAGGTGCTGGTGGATGCTGCTTTGCGAGATTGAGGGCCGGGTGCTACGGGGCATGCAGTTTGAGGTGCTGGTGGATGCTGCTTTGCGAGCTTGACGGCCGGGTGCTAGGGGGCATGCAGTTTGGGGTGCTGGTGGGCGCTGCTTTGCGAGCTTGACGGCCGGGTGCTAGGGGGCATGCAGTTTGGGGTGCTGGTAGGTGCTGCTTTGCGAGCTTGACGGCCGGGTGCTAGGGGGCATGCAGTTTGAGGTGCTGGTGGATGCTTCATTGCGAGATTGAGGGCGGGGTGCTCTGCAGTTGGGGGTGCTGGTGGGTGCTGCTTTGCGGGTGCTACGGGGCATGCAGTTTGGGGTGCTGGTAGATGCTGCTTTGCGAGCTTGACGGCCGGTTGGGGGGCTGCTGGTTTGCGAGCTGGCCGGCGAGCTTGACGGCCGGGTGCTCGGGGGCATGCAGTTTCGGGTGCTGGTGGATGCTGTTTTGCGAGCTTGACGGCTGGGTGCTGGGGGCATGCAGTTTGGGGCGCTGGTGGATGCTGTTTTGTTTTTCGAGCTGGCCGTTTGCTAGGGGCATGCAGTTTGGGGTGCTGGTGGATGCTGTTTTGCGAGCTTGACGGCCGGGTGCTGGGGGGCATGCAGTTTGGGCTGCTGGTGGATGCTGTTTTGCGAGCTGGCCGGGTGCTAGGGGGCATGCAGTTTGGGGTGCTGGTGGATGCTGTTTTGCGAGCTTGACGGCCGGTTCTAGGGGGCATGCAGTTTGGGGTGCTGGTGGATGCTGCTTTGCGAGCTTGACGGCCGGGCTAAGGGGCATGCAGTTTGAGGCGCGGGTGGATGCCGGGTGCTAGGGGGCATGTTTGGGGTGCTGGTGGATGCTGTTCGCGTGTAACGGTTCGTGGCTGGTGTATCGTCATGATGTTCCCACGTTATGGTGTGTGGGTGTAGTGGCGCCGTGATGCTGTCAACATCAGGATGATGCAGAATTTCATTAAGCTGTCGCAAGATGGTTCGTGGCTGTGGTATCATCATGATGCTGCCTTTACCATCAGCATGATGCTGTTCGCATCACCATGATGCTGTCCGCATCACCATGATGCTGTCCGCATCATCATGATGCTGTCGAACTCATCAGGACCTTGTTTTTGCTTTTTCCTGCCGGATTGCTCTCAAAATCATCATTATGCTGCTGATCTCATTAGGACGTTGTCTGCGCGTTTGCTTCGTGGCTGTGGTGTCATCATGGTCTACATCATCATGATAATGCTGCGTCATGGCTCGTATCCGTGGTGTGCTATCTGGGGTCTATGCTGGTGTTATGTAATAAAGAGGGGAAAGTGATTTGCGAGATGGATGGGCTGGTGCTAGGGGGCGTGCAGTTTGGGGTGCTGGTGTAGGTGCTGATTGGGGTGCTGTTTGAGGTGCTGATGGCAGTGCGGGCGCAACTTTTTAAGATTGACGGTAGGGTGCTAGGGGGCATGCAGTTTGGGGTGTGCGCGCATATGGTGCTGCGGGACGCAGTTTGAGGTGCTGGTGACGGTGCGGCCGCATTTTTGACAGTGCAGGCGCATGTTTGCATCTTGACGGTAGGGTGCAAGGGGGGCATGCAGCTTACGTGGTGGTTTGGGGTTCTGTTTGGGGTGCTGGTTGATTTTCGCAAGATTGACGGCTGAGTGTCTTGGGGGGGCGGTGTTTGGGGTGCTCTTCAGGTTGATGGTGCGGGCGATTTTTTGCTCGATTGACGGCCGGGTTTTGCTTGGGGCGTTCTTCGGGGGGGTGCTTTTCGAGGTGCTGGCGTTCAAGCACTGCTATCTGCGCTGTATGCTGGTGTGTTCTCGGATTTTGCCGCGTTTTCCTTTCCTTTTAATGTTTTTTGTTTGGGGGGGCGGGGGCGGTGTGCCCCAAAATGTGTTGCGACAGCATCATTTGTTTTGCTGCACCAAAACAGGTTCCAACCAAAAGACACAGCCTCCTCCGGCGGATTTCGGAGGTGGTCAGAGTTTGTGTGTGTGTGTGGTTGCCTAGTTCAGATATTCAGGAAGTCGTGTCTTTGGTCTGTGTGGTCCTTCTATAGCTGGTCTTTGTGAAGCATGGTCAAATTGTTGCCATCCCATTGTTTTTGTTTCTCTTCTTTCAGGAAGCCCTCCCTCGGATTCTTGAGGTTGTGGGCTCCCTTGAGATAGACCCATTTACCTGTCAACATCACTCCCAACAGGGAGCTCAGGCTCATATCTAGGCCACGGAAAAAGGGAAGTACAGGGAGCCTGTCCTGCCTAAGACATAATCAGACCGAGTGCGGGGGGGGGGGGGGCGGATGGGTCTCACATGCCAGGCTCAGTTTGCTGTCAGGTGCTTCCTCGGAATGAAGGTCATGAGAGCGCAAAGTGCGCGGAATGAATCCCTGTGTTTGTTTGAGGTGCATTCCTGCGGATGCCATAGTGATTCAATCCATGCTTTGAGCTTCAGAGCCTGTCTGCACATCGCAGGCGATTCCACAATCAAACAGCTCCGACCACTCAGGGATGGATCCAGAACCGGAGTCTTGTCTTATGCCACCACATGCGGCTCAAGTACCACCTTGGGCATCTCATGGTACCAGGCTCACACCCCACCCCCTGTGCCATCCCCCCCGCCCCAGCCCTCTCTCGTGCCTGATATTTCTCCGCCCAGGTGAACTGCTCTGCCAAGCGCTGGAAGCTGCGCAGCTCTTCGCACGCCTGATCAACTCTTCGCATCTCTCATAGGCTTCGGACAGCTGCTTGCATGTCCGCTGAAAACGGCTGACCCTGGGGTTCAAACCATTCAAACAATGTGGGTTCATTTTGCCACCAGTGTTTATCCAAGGATGGTCATCATCCACATTGGGTCAAAGATTCTTTCAATGGAGGTTGAAACCTAGGGCTGAGCTCATCGCGGGCTTGTTGCCCTGAGCGAGCCCACACTGGGCCGGTCATCGCTTCATAAGAATCTCGCTGAACTTCTAAAGGCAATCACATCCCAAGGCCATACTTCACCCAACCGGACAGAAACATCCAGACACCAGCCAGGAGCCAGCAGATCGCCGCCAAAAGCCAAAACCCGTCGACCCACGACCACCGTCCCACGATCGGTTCCCCCGTTTCGAATCCTGGGAGGCGTTGCCGTAGAGCTCAGCAGGCGACGTACTGCGGGCCATGAGCGACAGGTGTCGCTCAGCGTCCAGCAGCCACCTCAGCAAGAACACCTTGGATTGGAAGCTGTGGAGTACCGGGGTTCAAACCGTTAGAACAATGGGTCAACATAACCATCATGTTTTTACCCTTCGGGAGTTTCATTTTAATTGGGTCCTGAAGGTAGGGAATCGGTTGAAGCTAGGGGTTGCAACCTATGCGATCTACCCGGTGGTCACAAGGAAACTCGCGAAGGGTCCCCAAAATGGGGAGGCTCAGAACCTGTTTCCCACAGAAGTGAGGGCAGGGTCAGAAGCAAGAAAACTCAGCCTGTCTCTGATGGTGCATTGGTGATTTGGTGGTTAGGGGGCGTCCCATGTATCCTTTTCAAAAAACCAGGGGTTCAAACCCCCAAACCACCGGGCAATCCAAATCACCGATTGGGGATAAATCGATTTCCAGCTTCTAAGTGGCTGCAGGAAGTTCATGGCGCATGGAACCCCCCCAACCCCCGAAACCACGGGGCTCCAAACCAATACAAAAAATGCCTGAAAACTGGGCATGGGTCAATACTAAACCACCAGGAATTGCCGCAGGTTTTGACAACCGCCGAATTTGGCGCTTGACCCTTTCGCAGGGGTTTCCTTTTGGTTGCTGCTTTAAAGGCAAAACAGGGGCCAAAAAAAGACACACCCAACTGGCCGTGGCTCAAAAACATGTACCAAAACCTTGGCAAACGGAGAAGACCAAACCTGCGGTTTGCCCTAGCTCTTTAGATTTTGAGCCACACGGTGGTTGACCACAGGTTTCGCGGATCGTCAAACTTTCACTCAGCCGCTCCAGCGCGACGGCTTCCACGCAGAAGATGCGCAGCAGTTCCTGAGACAAACCCCATCGCTCCCAGCGGAATACGGTGGCGCGTGTGTGTTTTCTTGATTTTTTTCTTCCCAACAGCTGAAAGCCTTGGGGTCGATGAGCCCAGATAGGCTCCGGGGTGGTCCGGGGCGGCCCTGAGGTAAGGCTCCACCAGGGTTCCACCAGGGTTCCATCCACGAGGTTCTGCGGGGTGGTGCGAGCACAAAAAAGGGCACCGCAAAAAGCCTTCTTAACAAAAGGCATCCCACAACCTGAACCATTGAGGTCTCTTACTTTCGGGGGTTCCACGACTCTGACGGAAAATGAAAGATCTGAAAGTGAGCCTTCTGAAGTCCTAAGTCCGAAATGGGGAACCTCCAACTTGCACTGGGTGTAACATGGCGCACCGGCTTTCCTCGTGGCTCTCCTTTAAAGGCCAAACAAAAATCAGGGTACAACCTGTCCGGCAGAAGCGGCCGGCTGAGCTCCTCACCGCCTGCGCCCGGATGTGCTCGGCCACCGGCGGTTCCTAGAAGCTAGAACAAGTGAACACTGCTTGCGTTTGCTTTACCCGGTCGAAAAAAGGTAACCAGGCATCGGGATCCAGCCCCTGGAACCGAATCTCAGCCTGTCTGGGCCTTTTGACCCCATGGCTTGCTGTTGAAAACGAATCTGTGAGCTGAGTCGGCCCCTTTTAGGGGGGGTTCTCCAAAATGGGCACCATTTTTGTTAGCCATAAAAATACCTACGGGGGCCTTATACATGCGGGCCCCAAAAACGGGTCTATGGTCCATCGCTTCCACCACAAGATCTCCGCGCCGACTGATCGGCCGCACCTCCGGGTAGCTGCGCACCGGGTCTTCGAAGTCATAGGGCCGCAGGTGCTCCGCGTCCGACCGGACCTCGGAGCTGAACCGGGGCACCCCCGAAGAAAAATGGCCGACTCCCGCGGTTGGTTTGGTCTCTTTTGTTTGGGGGGTTTGGGGGACCCCCCGAAAAAATGCGCCGCAAGGCGGCTTTTTCCTGTTGACCACACAACGAAAAAACGGGTGGCAATGGAAGAAACCCTTTCTCAAAGGTGGTTCCAACTCATAAAATGGAGAAAAAAAAACGGGTGGCCATATGGGTTGGCCTTTTGGAGGATCCCTCTGGTGGAATCGTCCCAGTTTTCAAGTGTTCCCGTGCCAGCCGCAAAACGGGTATCCAAAAAAGGGGCGCCACCCCACGGCGACGTGGCAGGCTTGAAGTTGCGGCAACTCTGCTCCCAATCCGCCCAAGCGCCACGTAGAAGAGGTGAGCGAGCTCATAGTGGTTCCTGGGTGAAAGGGCCTCCGGCACTCCAAAAGCATCAAGGATTGGCTAAACGATGACGCAAAGGATACAAGTAACAAGTGCATTTCACACACGAACACACACGCCCGCACTTGTTGTTCTGTTTGCTCAACCAGGCCCAATTAGATGTCAAGACACTGGAACAGCTCATGGTCGCAGTTCAGGCCATCCAGCGACAGCGCAGCAGCCGCAGACGCCCAAACGCTCCAGCGCCTCAGGCGCCGACGCGATCCACACTCCGCCCGGATGTGATGTGAGGGGGCTGAAGCATATCCACATTGGGCCCTGGATTTTGTGAAACAGTGCCTTGCAATCACCTGCCATCTTGAGTGCTCAAATCGTTGAACACCCAAAATATGGTTGAAGAAAGGGAAAAGATTTCATCTCCCCAGGATCGTTGCATTCAACCTCTGCCCAAGGTGCATGCCGCGCCCATGGCGAGTCCTTCTCGGCTCTGAAATTTCAGGGCGAGGGAAAAAGCGAAAACGCGAAAAGCGTGCGAAACATGTGTGCTTTGTCATGCATGTTCCTCGTGAAAACGTTCGAATTGCTGTGGCAAGAACAATGTCACAAGCTCAAAGCGGACTGCTGCTGCAAGATGTGACCATCTGTGGCAAGGCCGTCTTCCTTTGTGTTCCTTCAGCTTTAAACCATGCAAACCATGCCACTCTGTAGCTTTCACTAAACTGTCTTGCGCATCCACTGCCATGTGCTGCGCAATCTCAGTAGCGTCAACTGGTCATCCCTTCGCAGCGGAGATTTCCCTGACCCAACGCAAAATCAGAAGCCCAGCGACGCGGTGTCACCCAGAACCTGCGGGCAAAACATGTTAGCCAACTCATTGGTTGCTTCATGTTTTGAGAAGCCAAGTTATACCAGTTGCTTCCTTTCCCACATACGTTTTTCCAGTTGCTTCAGAACCCCCCCGCATTCGGTGCCCTTTTGGATGCCCTGAATGCCCCCACATCTGACACGGATCTCTTAAACTCGCAGCCCCTCCCATCGGCCCAATGGAACCCTCGCCCTGTTTGCTCGCCGCCGCTCCTCAACGCTTCTCTCAGGCTTTGGAGAGATGTCACCTGTCGAATCCCAAAGCAAGGAATGGCCTGTCGCCATCCACTGAATCCCTCAAGGTTCTTTGAAAGATCATGTCGCAGAAAGAAATACAACTTGAACCGCAAAGGAAACCGCTCAAGCCGTAGGCGTCGCCTGTGGGTTGGGTGAGTGATCAAACTGCGGTGCCCGCTATGAGAAGCCCTCTCGGCTGTTCAAAGTTTGCGGGCTTTCCAAGGAGAGACAAGGTGTGTGATTGCTTTGCCTCACTTTATTCACTGACTGCTGGACCTTTGGCTTGATTTGTTTGCTTCATGTGCTGGGTCTGGTGGAAACAGCTGGCTGTGCTCATGACCAAAACCAAGATTTCTTGCTTTTTCCCACACGCTCAGTGCTAACCCCGCATTTTGCATTGCGCATCATGGCTCTTCTTGCGCCTCCTGCGGTTGGCTGAGCGCGACCGGTCCAGCCTGTGGGTTCTGCACCAGGAAGCCGCGGATGTCCTGTGGCACGGCCAGGTCCTGACGCCAATCCAAGCCGACCCTGCCTGAGCCCTGAGCCTTTGGCTGCCCACAAAGCGAGCTTTTTTGGAGAACCGGGCTGGCCGTTCTCAGATCCCCTGCAACAATTGCCTAAGTTTTAGTCGGTTAGAGGGAAACCACCACTAAACCAATTAAATATGACTGAAAACCTAAGGATGCAATTCTCGAACACGTTTCGTGGGTGAAAAATTCGGAAATTCCTCTAAACCAACTCAAAAGCACCAAATTTGCTACGGAATCGGATGCCTGGGAACCACCCCTCAACAATTCCCAAGGTTTGACATGCCACCGCCTGCACCATGAAGCGCCGCCATCTCTTAGATTCGATGCGCCTTGGCAAGTTCTGGGGTGAAAACATAGAGGCATTGTGAACGCTAGACATTGTCTGAATGTCCATCTCCTGTCATGAACAAATCAGCTGGCTCTTCAGAGAATTGCAGCTCGAATGGAAAGGCTTTAAGATCGCCGCCGGCGATTGGCAGAGCAAGACCTTAGCAAATATGACTCGTTCAAAGCACCTACCAACAAGGTGACTTGTGTCATGTAATCCACAACAAGAAACACATGGCTCTGAAAGCCACTGTCAAGCTGAGCGAATTCCCAACGCGGGAATGTCTCTCGCCGAGAAGGGCTTGGTTATGTCGCCAGCAGTGGAGGCTTGCTTGATGTGGCCATGGGTCAAATCCCGTACCCCAGTGAACATCCCAATCCCCACTAAAATAGACTGAAATGGGTGGTGCACCTACCCCAGAATGGTGCCAAAACGGTTTTGACCCACAGCCATGTCATTGCAGCGGGACCTTCTCCGATCTTGAGCCTTCGCCTCGTTCTCGTGCCAACAGCCAGCCCTCAATTCAGGCGATGACGTCTTGTTGACGTGCCGCTGCTTGCAAACGCCTCAAGCCCGTCCCAGTACCGCTGTAACCTCTGGGACACGTCAACCAGGAAGCATGGCCTTTCGTTCTGACATCAAGAACCATCAATGACCTCTCTGTGCAAGCATGAGCCTCACCGGTACAGCTGGCGTGCCTTGCCTCTCTAGTTGCCACAGTCCCTAGGTTCTCCCAGGCCCCCTTCTATGGCTCGCACCTGATTCTGTCGTCTGTGATAAGCGTAGATAGGTCTCCCTTGAACAAATCACCCAGGTACCGCTCTAGCTAGGTGCTGGCCTCCCAATCGAAGCTTCGATGCGCTCTGAGGTCCCGGGCAATTTGACCTTGCATCACAAGTTTTAAGGGTGCGACGTTGTGTGGATTCAAGGGCACCCTTGTCACTTCGCTTTTCTATTTCTTGCCAATAACAAGTAGAGCCGTGACATCGCAGCCAAAAACAACTCGTCGCGAAGGAGCAACGCGCAAGGCCATCCAAGCACCCGCCAACCGGCAAATCCGACCTAGGGCCCCGGGCCTGCTTTGCCGCGCGCCTGGCGTTCGACCCTCCCTCTGCCTCCCTCCCAAGACTTCGGCCCGCGCCTTCCGCATCTCGTCGCTGCTGCAGCTCCAAAGCTACCTGCGACTTGGGCTAGGGAACAAAACGCTGGAGGGATCTCACACGGGGTCTGTCCTTCTTGGAGTTGGTACCCCTTTTTGGAGTTCGGAATGCAACGATCCAGGAGGCGAGCCTCCAAGAGTTGGCTCAGCGTGTACAACAAGCAACGCTTCTTCCGATTGGCAACTGGGCACGTGTGGGGACCCTGGTAGCCGTCAGCACTCGGTCCACCATTTTTGAGGTGGGTTCCCTATTGAAGCTCGTAGCCATTTGGTTCTGGCACCCCCAAACTCGGTGGTGTTCCTTTTGGTTTCCCTTTTAAACAGCCCAAAAAGGGGTACCAACTCCCAACAAATGGCAGTCCGGTTTGAGAAACCATCTCTCTCTCTGAGGTCCTCCATGAGGTCCTCCAAGTGTCTTGTCTGCCTCGGGCATCGACAAACAAATGAACTTCAAAAAAAAACGGACTGAATGCACCAAACACAGACACTTGCACCAAAAACGGTCTTCCAAACTGTGAAATGGCCTTTAACGAAAGGCGGAGAATGTCACAAGTTGCCCATCCAAAAAGCCGCATCTACGAATGGATTCGCCCCCGAAAGCATCGCACGCACGTCCCCCCCCTTTTTCTTTTTCCCAACCGCTTCGCCGTAGGAGTTCCCTTCGCATAAATCTCCAAAACGCTCGCGCTCACGCTCGCCGCAACCGCCGCAACGAGTTGCGAGGGCTGTGAGGTTCCAACCAGAGCTTCTTTTCTCACAACCGAGCCGATGCATACGAGGCTCAAAAGAAACAGCGTGTAGTTTTCTGAGATGCGATCTGTCGCCTAGGAAGCAGCTAGAATGTTGGCATGCACAATGCTGGTGCACCTTGCTTTAGCTCGGCAAAGGGAGCAACACTGCAGATGGCATCGGCCTCATTGGAACAGAAACAGGATCGCCCAGGAGGCGTATTCGATCTTCCCCCGGTTCAGTATGACAAACATCGAAAGTACTGCACCCCGTGGGCTTTCCTTGTTGCTGCGCTGGTTGGTACCAGATAACCTTGGCAGTGCATGCCGTTCACTTCCCGTAGCCCTTGCCGAAGTTGTTGAAGCCCTTCTTGCCGCCCATCCTTAGAAGCATCGTTCTGCTCCTCTGACTCTCCGGTTCGGACGGTGTGTCCATACCGCTTGGAAAAGCGGTGCACCCAACTCAGCTGCTGGAGCCTACCTCCCGCTCCTGCCCTGGAGACCCAATTAGCTTCCAACAAACCTGCTACCGTGAAAGGCAGTGCTTGCTTTGGGACGGTTATGGGATGCTGCAATCATCTGGCAGGTTGCCGGCTCAATAGGGGTAGACTTGGCCAACAGAAACTATTGCTTGCTGCCCGGCGTCTTTCCAGTTTTGAGAGTTGCTAACACTTGCAAAGTACATCAGCAGTTTCCTGCGGTCCGAATCGATGGCCCACGGCCCACAGCACTGCTTTGGATCCATACCTTTTCCACGGCCAGCACCCCCCAACCGCCGCAAAACATGGGCAAAACCTTTGAAATAGAGCCATTAGAGCCTATGCCTCGCACCTCCCGCCCAAGAAAAGGCCCAGCACCTTCCTCCCAACTCCGAGCTGCTGCGGAGGCTTGCCTCGGCGATTCGGCGGTTTGGTCTCTGGAGCGTTCCATGCAGAGTTGGACTTGGGCCGAACCAAGAACCGAGAATGTCCGTTTTCACGTGAGTGGAAGCCTCCCAAGAGCATGATGGCCAGGGGCCCATGCCTCCCTCTCTCTGTCAGCCCCTTTCTCTTTCCCTTTCTCTCTCTCTCTCTCTCTCTCTCTCTCTCTCTCTCTCTCTCTCTCGCTCTCGCTCTCTCCCTCTCTCTCTCTCTCTCTCTCTTTCTCTCTCTCTCTCTCTCTCTCTCTCTCTCTCTCTCTCTCTCTGTCTCTCGCTCTCTCTCTCTCTCCCTCTCTCTCTCTCTCTCTCTCTCTCTCTCTCTCTCTTTGGGCAATGTCCATATCGACTGGAGGTGGGTGTGCCGAAAGCTGCCGAGTTGCCGCCCATAGCCATACCTGGCAGAGCGCTGGTCGCAGCGAACTTCAGTCAGCAAAAAGATGGGTGCTTCTAAGCACAAACACACACGGAATCCTTCTCCACTGCCTCAGTTCAGACGCCGAAATACCTAGCTTGAACATTCCACGCGTCTTCTTTGAGAGATCAAGCCCCCTCTTCAGCAACATGTGCTGACCTCGCCTGGCTTCCCCCACCCTCCTCCGCCACCGTAGCCCTTGCTGTCGTAGCCCTTCTGCATCTGCCCCTGGCAGCTTTCGCCAGCGAAAAAGACGTGGCAATTGACACTTCGCAAAACAAGTTAAGAGCTTTGCTGGCCTGCAAACATATGAGCTGCAAATGATACATGTGTATATATATATATATGTATCTACATTATGTACCAGTACATACATGCTGCCATGCCCTGCCACACCTTGCATGACACCAATTGCATCTCACACTACACCACAATCCAGTCGCTTCCTTGGACCAACCGAAGGAGAAAAAAAAAATCGATCGCGCCTGCCAGGGCATGCCCTTGCCCTGGAAGGCCTTGCCCTCGCGGAGTTGCTCTCGATCAGAATTCGGGCTGTGCAGGTGTTTGTCTTTGGTTCCGCTTACCATGATGAGCTGAGGCGGGCAAAATGGCTGTGGGTCATCAAAAATAGGTAACCCAAATGGAAATTGGTAAATGGAAAGCTGGACCAAAACCTGTGGTCCCCTGGTGATTAAATTTTGACCCATACCCAAATGTGTGTCTCCAGATTCGCAGGCCAGCGCCAAGCAGTCGCAGTCGCAGTCATTCGCCCCGGCGAGCCTTGTCCATGCCCTTGCCGGGCATCACACCCTTGAAGAAACCTCAGGTTGCGGCCTTCATCTCACAGGCAGAATGTGGTTATTTCATGTTTGAGCGTAGCCTCCCATCCACACACTCACAGGGGGGTCCTGGATGACAATCTCCTACGAAAGGGCAATGTGTGTCGCAAGGTCAAAGCAAATCACCCATTTGGGGTCTATGTTCACAAAACAATACATAATATCAAAACGCAAACAAACTCGTAAATATCGTCGTCTTGTTTGGACTTGGTTTGCAATTAGACATGGTGAATGTGCAGCCCGACGTTTCCGCGAAACAGTCACAGTTTGATTATGCAAGGGCCAAGAGCCCCGACAAACCCATATTCCATGCATGCCCAACACAACTCGGATAAGCCAGTTTGGTCCATTTCAGGGCTCCCAACATGTTTTCCCTCCAAACGTATTCACCCCCAAGGTTTGCGTCCCCTGTTGGAACATGAGCCAAGTGAAGCTCGAGCTTGGGCCCCCGCCTTTGCCGCCCATGATGGCCTCTCTTGCTTGGCAAGCCGGGGTCAAAGGCACACGAACCAACGGGTTTGGACGTGCGGCTCGGGTCTCTTTGGCAAGTAGCCCTCTTGACGTGTTGGCACAAGGAAGTGGACTGGTTTGACAAGAAACACCTCAAAGTGATTCAACATGCACATATCCAACCTTAATGAGGTTCTCCATGCAACAGCAGATTGGAAGTTGCTGCCCTGTTGTCCAATAGCACTTTGTATGCTCATCGAAAAGACCGGAAAAAAAACGACACAGGCGCCAAACAAGGGCATGGGATGGCATCCGCACTGTCAGACCTGAAAGGGATCTTCCAAGTGAAGGACCTTCAAGTGGAGTTCTCCCCAGATCAAACCCGCTCGGCTGATTCCCTGGCGCTTTCCGGTTCGCTCCAAGGCATCGACATTCAGCGCGGTGTGGTTGAACCTCAGCGCCGCATCCTCGTCCTGGCGCAAAAAAGCGCTCGCGCCGGCAAAGTCTTCCGCCCGAGTTGGTCTTCTCACCAGGCACGGGCCTGCAGATGCTTCGGAATATGGGTGTCTTTTTTGATGGTACCCCTTTTTGATGGTTTTAAATGGAAACCAGAAAGGAAAACAACAATTTTTGAGGAACCAGCAAAAAAAGACGAACTCGTATGGCGCCGCTGCCTTCAATTCGGAATACTAGCATGCATCTGAATGCCAATGAGTGTGGATGGTACGTGTTGTTGCTCGTGTCACTGCCCTGTTTAGTCAGGGGGCCTTTTGAGCCATCCAGATGAGGCTTCAAGTTCGGCTTCTTTCAACTGACATACCTCTCTGCCACTGCTAAAAGAATTGAAAGTCAAAGTATGCCGGAGCTGCGCCGTAGTCGATCATCCTTAGCTGCTCAATATCCAGGCATTGGATTCATCATAGCTACGGGCCGCAGTGCTCAACCACGATGCTTCACGCTTGAACCAAGCAAAAGCTCCCCCCCAATCTAAAAGACATTTGCTCCAACATTCCAAAGGTGACATTCAAATCCCAACTTGGATATGATGTGATACGGTCAACTCCGCGCCTGAAAACCATCCCCGCTACGCCAACGGATGACGCTCGCCGCAATTTGCATCCGAGGCTCAGCTCGCGCTCCCGGCGGCCCTCCTCCGTGAGCTTCAGGAAGAGGTCGAAGTTGTCCAACTCCTGTCATGGCGCATGGAACACCAAGACACACAGAAAAGCACACACAGCAAAACAAACACCGAGAGAGAGAGAGAGAGAGAGAGAGAGAGAGAGAGAGAGAGAGAGAGAAGCGCACGGAAACGCACGGAATTGCACAGAAACGCACTGAAACGCTCAGAAAAGCACACACAATTGCATGGAAGCGCAAAGAAACGCACGGAATTGCACAGAAACGCGCGGAAGCGCTCGGAAACGCACGGAAACGCACCAAAACCCACGGAACGCACGGAAACTCACCGAAACGCACAGAAGCGCACGGGAGCGCACGGAAACGCACGGAATTGCACGGAAACGCAATGAAACGCACAGAAACGCGCGGAAGCGCTCGGAAACGCACGGAAACGCACGGAACGCACGGAAGCTCACCGAAACGCACAGAAGTGCACGGGAGCGCACGGAAACGCACGGCACAGAAACGCACGAAAACGCTCAGAAACGCGCACGGAATTGCACAGAAACGCACGGAAGCGCTCGGAAACGCACGGAAACGCACCAAAACCCACGGAACACACGGAAACTCACCAAAACGCACAGAAGCGCACGGGAGCGCACGGAAACGCACGGAAACGCACTGAAACGCATGGAATCGCACCGAAACGCACACAGAATTGCATGGAAGCGCAAAGAAACGCACGGAATTGCACACAAACGCGCGGAAGCGCTCGGAAACGCACGGAAACGCACCAAAACCCACGGAACGCACGGAAACTCACCGAAACGCACAGAAGCGCACGGGAGCGCACGGAAACGCACGGAATTGCACGGAAACTCACGGAAACGCATGGAATCGCACCGAAACGCACACAGAATTGCATGGAAGCGCAAAGAAACGCACGGAATTGCACAGAAACGCGCGGAAGCGCTCGGAAACGCACGGAAACGCACCAAAACCCACGGAACGCACGGAAACTCACCGAAACGCACAGAAGTGCACGGGAGCGCACGGAAACGCACGGCACAGAAACGCACGAAAACGCTCAGAAACGCACACAGAATTGCATGGAAGCGCAAAGAAACGCATGGAATTGCACAGAAACGCGCCGAAGCGCTCGGAAACGCACGGAAACGCACCAAAACCCACGGAACGCACGGAAACTCACCGAAACGCACAGAAGTGCACGGGAGCGCACGGAAACGCACGGGACAGAAACGCACGAAAACGCTCAGAAACGCACACAGAATTGCATGGAAGCGCAAAGAAACGCACGGAATTGCACAGAAACGCGCGGAAGCGCTCGGAAACGCACGGAAGCGCACCAAAACCCACGGAACGCAAGGAAACGCACGGAATTGCACGGAAACGCACTGAAACGCACGGAATCGCACCGAAACGCACACAGAATTGCGTGGAAGCGCAAAGAAACGCACGGAATTGCACAGAAACGCGCGGAAGCGCTCGGAAACGCACGGAAACGCACCAAAACCCACGGAACGCACGGAAACTCACCGAAACGCACAGAAGCGCACAGAAGCGCACGGAAACGCACGGAATTGCACGGAAACGCACTGAAACGCACGGAATCGCACCGAAACGCACACAGAATTGCAAGGAAGCGCAAAGGAACGCATGGAATTGCACAGAAACGCGCGGAAGCGCTCGGAAACGCACGGAAACGCACCAAAACCCACGGAACGCACGGAAACTCACCGAAACGCACAGAAGCGCACGGGAGCGCACGGAAACGCACGGAATTGCACGGAAACGCACTGAAACGCACGGAATCGCACCGAAACGCACACAGAATTGCATGGAAACGCAAAGAAACGCACGGAATTGCACAGAAACGCGCGGAAGCGCTCGGAAACGCACGGAAACGCACCAAAACCCACGGAACGCACGGAAACTCACCAAAACGCACAGAAGCGCACGGAATTGCACAGAAACGTGCGGAAGCGCTCGGAAACGCACGGAAACGCACCAAAACCCACGGAACGCACGGAAACTCACCGAAACGCACAGAAGCGCACGGGAGCGCACGGAAACGCTCGGAATTGCATGGAAACGCACTGAAACGCGCGCGGAAGCGCTCGGAAACGCACGGAAAACGGAACGCACGGAAACTCACCAAAACGCACAGAAGCGCACGGAAACGCACGGAATTGCACCAGAAACGCGCTGAAACGCACGGAATCGCACCGAAACGCACACAGAATTGCATGGAAGCGCACGGAAGCACGGAATTGCAGGGAAACGAACCGAAACGCACGGAATCGCCCACAGCGAGGGTCTGAGGTAACTCGCTGCCAGGAGAAGTGCTCAGGACCTGAGTGTTTGGTTCTACCAATGGTTATCAAGGTTATACGAGGGGTTCCAAACGCCAGCAAACAAACCCTTTCTGTTGGAGTTCCTATGAACCATGTGTCATAGAGTCACCTTGTAGGAGCTTCATGACTTCCTACCTTATGGTTCTAGCACCTCAAGACCCCTTCTTCCTGGTGGGTTCTCCACCCCTAAAAAAAATGCGAAACACCAAAAACGCATCGACGCAGAGGCTCCGTGCCTCTGCCAGCTCTGGTACCAAGACCTTCTGCCCGTTCAGCACCACGGTGTCCTTCGTGCACATGGCCATGGGTCAAAATCCAAATCGTACCCCCAGTGAACATCCCAATCCCCACTAAAATAGGTTCTAAAATGGGTGGTGCACCTACCCCAAAATGGTACCGGTGGTTTTGACCCACACCCACATCGAAGAAAGGGTCTTGTTTTGATTGCCCGCTGGTTTGCTCGGCGAAGTTTATTTACCAAACTCACGATGTGTGCTTCTCTGTTCAAGGAAAGCTCTCCGCAAAGAAGTGTTCCACCTGAACACCTGAAGATCAGGAAAGTAGATAGCACCATTCCCAAATGACAGAACGGGAACTTCTGCCATCTCTCGCGTGTTTCCTTTTGGTGGAAAGCAACGCGTTTTCCAATGGCCAAGTTGTGGAAGCCACGATTGCATGCAACGGGCTCATTCTGACCAACCAAACCGCATGCATTCCAGAGTTGCCGATCTCGATTGCCAAAAAGAGAAAAGAAATGGCCTCACCAAAAAAACCCGGGGGGAAAAACGTGGTATGAACCGCACGAACATCTGGTGTGAGCCCTTGGTGACTCGAATTGACCAAAGGCTTTTGGAAACCCAAGGGCCCTTGAGAACCCAAAAACTGCCAAGGCTCATCGGGCGTTTGCATGTTCAGCATTTGAATCAGTATGTGGGTCACTGCCTTTGGGCTTAGGGACCCTTAGCTTGGTTTACACCAAAGCCCTTCCAGACCCCCGACCTTCAGCAAGTCCATCACCTTCTCATTGCTCTCGTATCCGTAGTGGCTCGCCTTAGTCATAGGCGTCTTATCAGAACGGATACGATTTTAAGGTTTCGTTTCCACGGGGAATGAATTTAGTTTAACTTTGTTGCTCCGGCTACGGGGGGCTGCTCCCAAGCTCAAACCCACCACTTGGAGCGGCCTTTGATGCAAACCCAAGGCTGGTCGACATGCGCTTGGCGCCGCACGGCAAAGGTCTTGCGGAAGTACTTGTTGTAATAGTACGGCACGTTCTCCACTTGAATGCCAGGCCGCTCAGGATCAGTCACGTCCTATTTGTCGGGCGCAGCAAGCGCTCAGTTGACAGCTCATGAGGGTACCTCCGAACACAAATGGCTTCCCTTTCAAGTCACGTTAAAACCACACCGCAAAGGGGTGCCCTCAAAAGCATGCGATGCTCTTCTGGTGATCTGTTTGGCTCGCCTCACCCCGGCCGAGTGGAGAAACCTTTGCACCCACGCCGCGCCTTCTTGAAGCCGTGCACCATGAGGTGGAACTCCACGCGCAGCTGAAGCAGCATCCAGTCCTCGAAGCCGAAGTGGCTGCAGAGCCTCGGAGCTTCGAACTCCACGTGGCTCGTTAGATGTCCGAGACGCGGTTTGGCCATTCTTCGAGGCTCAATGAAACACAAACTTTGACTCATGTTCTGACGCCCTTTTCCGCCTGGAGAACCAAGACAGAGAGGTGTCAATACTCCGCGGACTCTCCCACAAGGAAACTTTTGGGCACCCGGGCGGCTCCCCGTTGCCCAAATCATTCACATTGGCTCCAAAGACGTCCAGGTCCTCGTCGGCCACGCCCAAACACATAGGCTCGTCCTGCCATCACGTGGGTATGGCTCAAACAAAAGGAAACAGGCTTTAGTCCATGTTTCCGTTTCCAGGGCAACCCATTTTGGGGTTACCCGATTGTTGCCAACCACAGCCACATGCATCCAAGAGTAAGGCGGCCTTTGTTGGATGGTAAGAGGACACTAAAAGGAACCACCCCTTCCTTTTGTTCCAGGGGGGTGCATGCCGCTTGTTGCCTGAGTCGTTCCCTGGTCAGTAACATCTGCAGAAAAAAAGCACCAAGGTTTGCCGATGACATGAGTGGTCTGGGCTAGGCTGCTTCGGCACATCTCCACCATTTGCAGCCAAGCTGAAAAAAAATTAAACGCGCATACACACACACACACACACACACACACACACACACACTACATGCCACGAGCAACCTTCATCCCAATACCAAGCACCACAACCGCGACCAGCAACGCCCCGCGACTTCCCCGGGCCTTCTTCACCTCCGGCTTGGGCTCTCCCTCCTCGTTTTCGGGTGCCTGCTCCATGGGCGAGTCTTTGGGCTCCTCCTCCTGGAGAAAAACAACCAACGCGTGGCCCATGGTCATGTGCGCAGGATCGCTCACGCTTTGCCATTGGTGGTTGTTTTTGTTCTTGTTTGTTTTGTGTGTTTTTGCATACGGAATCAATTGGCGCGTGTCCGGCGCGATCCCACGGACTGCCTGCCACCGGATGTGCTCCCATGGGATCCACGCCCCACCTACCCCGGCTCCAAGCATCCCAAACGGACTTGCCAAAGTCTGGACCTTTTGTCTACCACCAGCATGGTCCAAAGCCAAGTGGATCAAAGTCCAGAAGCTCAGGAAAACAAAAACTGTCCGGGCCTCAACAGGGCTTGCCCTTTTTTGTTGTTGGGTGAAGCAACCTGCCGTTGTTCCGATCTGCCGTGGCACTCCTTCTTGCTGCCGTTCGCCTGGCCGGGCACGGTTGCGACCACTTGGCACAAGCATGGCCAAGGGAGAGCAAGACATCTCCTGAACTTGCGCAAGCGAACCAAATGAGCGTTCCTTTCATAGGTATCTCAAGTTAAAGCCGGTCACGAAACCACCCCATGTACCTCATGCATACTTTTGCTTGTGGATATGTACATTATTGCATGAGTTGTCCGCCTCTCTCGAAAAGGAGGTTGGATGCCGCTCCCAAGCGTCCATCTGGAAGATATGAACCCAGTTGGCAAACCAACCCTCTCCACAAAGGTTTAACCATATCCGCCCGGCGAGAGGATCCTGGTGCCGCGCAGTCTAAGCTCAAACACAAAAACACAATACACAGCTACACTCCTAAACTGCCAACACGTGTAGAGCATCGAGAGTTGCTATGGACAAACACGATGGACGCTGATCCATACGTTGATCAGCAAACACCTTCCGGGGCTGTTAGCGATGCAGTGGAAGCATCGGTCTTGATGCCCTTGTGATTGCCCACCGCCGGAAGCATGGCAAGCACGGCCAGGAAGATAAGAAGGGAGAATGGATGGTCAACAACTTCGCATGCCCTTGCAGCAACTAGTCCAGGCAACAGCCCGCCAGCATGTGGCAGTGACCAAGGTTTGGGCACCAAACATGTAGTCGAAATGCAGGAAAACTGGAAGGCTAAGCAAAAGCAGCGCGCTTTGAGGTCGATGGATTGAAAGCTTCCGCTGGGCACTCGAATTGACACATAAATATAATACATGAATATAGTGCGCGTATTGCCATGTTCCGATCGCTCCTATTCTCTTGGAATGAAGGACAACCTCTTTCGACCGCAGGTCAGGCCTTCCACACCGCTTGGAGGCCCTTCCAATGCTGCAGCTGCTCCTCGAGAGACTTGCGGCGAACATGGGTGTGGGTGGGTCGGGTGGGGAGTGTGTGTTTTTGGAGTTGGCAAGGGACGTCAAAAGGAACCAAGGACACACCTGCGTTTGTGTTGTGTGTGTTTCTGCGTTTGTGCGCTTATGTGTGTGGTACTTGTGTGCTCGGGTGTTTGTGCGTTTTGTGTGTTGGTGTGCGGGTGTGTGGGTGTGTGGGTGTGCGCGTGCCTGTGCCCGTGCCCGTGCCCGTGCCTGTGCCTGTGCCCGCGCCTGTGCCTGCACTGCGCCTGCGCCTGCGCCTGCGCCTGCGCCTGCGCCTGCGCCTGCGCCTGCGCCTGCGCCTGCGCCTGCGCCTGGGGGGTGGGGTGGGGTGGGGTGGGGTGGGGGTGGGGGTGGGGGTGGGGGTGGGGGTGGGGGTGGGGGTGGGGGTGGGGGTGGGGGGGGGGGGTGGGGGTGGGGTGGGGGTGGGGGTGGGGGTGGGGGTGGGGGTGGGGGTGGGGGTGGGGGTGGGGGTGGGGGTGGGGGTGGGGGTGGGGGTGGGGTGGGGTGGGGTGGGGTGGGGTGGGTGGGGTGGGTCAGGGGCGGGGCGGAGCGGGGCGGATGAGTGGGGGGGTGGATGGGTTGGTCAGTCTCGCATTTCCCGGCATCCGCCCCAAGTCTCTTACGGCTTCTTCATGCGTGCGTGCCAGACTTCTCCAATATGGGTGTGTCTTCTTTGAGCGTACCCCTTTCGGGTGCGCTTTAAAGGGACACCAAAAAGGCAAACCCGTCTTGGGGTTCCGCTGGCGACCAACAAACCCAACCGCAGTCCTTCCAAGCATTGCTCTTCTGATTGAACCTAGTGCGTCGGTCAAGGAAAGAGGGATCCACCGTCCACGGTAATCCCAAGACATGCTGCAAGCACCTGGTATGTCTAACAAAAAGCGCGCGCCGCATGAAATAACCAGCTTTCGTTGGAGGAGAAGAAAAAAAAAAGAAAGAAATAACAAAAAAACGCACTGGCCAGCGCTTCACCCTTCATGCATCACCAAGAGGTCCGGGCCAGTCTCCGATCTTCAGATCCTCAACCTTTGTGGTGATCTTCCGCTTCAGGCGCCACTCCTGCAGAGGTCAAAGCCCTCAGTCGCCGCAAGTCTCTTACGGCTTCTTCCTGAATGCGTGCCAGGCTCCTCCAACATGGGTGCGTCTTTCTTGAGGGTACCCCTTTGGGGTGCGCTTTAGAAGCCACAAAGGCAAACCCGTCTCGGGGCTCCGCAGGCCCAAGCCGCAGGGCCGGGGTCCTTGAAGTAGGGCTCCGCTTTGGTCCTCGCCAGCCAGGGGTACTGCACCTCATCGAAGCATAAAGTGGGCGCGGGGCCCGGAATTGATCTGAGGCTCAGCCTTCACTGGCCCAGGATTGATTTTAGCGCCAAAGTCACCCCCTCAAGTAGCATGTGAAAGGCAAAGAGCCCCAGTGTCCGGCTTGTTTATAGCCCAGCTTGACGTGCTGTTCCTTGGCAGCCGGCAGCATCGAAGCCCTCAGTCTTCTCAGGCAGCGAGAAGTCATTCATGGAAGTGCTCAGCGCGAAATCCGTCCTCGGGCGTGATCGCTTTCGAGGCGCTTCGATGGATCGCAGCGCCCCGCTCAAATCGAGCAGGGCCCAAGGGTGCAACGTGTTCCAAGCTTGGAGCAGGCAGATCGACTCTTAGCCCATTGCTAGCGAGACTCACACGGCCCGAGGCATCTAGGAGCCCGGCAAATCTGGAAACTCCTGCAGCTTGCAAATGACTGCTTGTTTTTCGCATTTGAAAGCCACCAGCCTCCCCCCCCCCCCTGAGTCCCTCTCCTGCGTCACCAGGATCCAGCCAGCCCCTCCGTCAAAACGAACCCCCAACACCCAAGATCCAGCCAGCCCCGAGCCCCCGTCATTTCCCGCCCAACGACCCGCTCCAGGGGTCGGAAGATCACCTGCAACTCCTCCGGCGTCAGCTGCACCGTGGGCGGCTTCTCCTGTGCGATTGACGTGACCCACCGGAGAAACCCGAAAGCTCCCCACGAAGCTTTTCCTCAAGAATCCGTGTGGCAGGCCTTTTGCGTCGTCAAATGGAGTGAGTCTCCTGATTTGTGTGGAAAACCTTTGTAAATCCCATGTCCCGAAGGAATCATCGGGCCTTTTCACCGAACCTCATGGGAGGGGATCTCCACTCCCGCCTGGGCTGGGTCCGGGCCCATCACCACAGGCTCCTCCTGGTGAAAAGATGGGTCAAATGGGCAGGAGGACAACCAGCAACTTGAAGTTGCAACCAACACACCCCGAAGCCAAAGACCCAAAACACTTCAACTGACCAGGCGGCCTGAGGAAGCTGCTGAAAAACGGGGCAAGAATTGATTGAGCAAACGCATGGTGCAACCTGGCGGCAAATCCCTTTTCTAGGGATTATGGTTTGCGCGTTCACATTGACAGCATGATATATGCGGAGTACCAAAAACCCAAGGCGTCCTTTTTGTCCCAACTTGCCATGATTCATAAGAGCCCCTGAAAGTGTTCGTTGGGCCGGGCTTTGCCAGAGGCACCGATGCCATGTTTGGGCGTTCCGTTTAACTGGGCCCTGATATTTCCCTGTAACACATCACGCCCCCGGTTGGGATACTCACCTTTCATGGACCAAAAGATGATGTTTAAAACCACCAAAAAGGGAAATATGGGTGTGGGTCAAAAATAGGGTACATGGACTAAAACCTGCGGTCCAATTCCTGGTGGATTGATTTTGACCCATACTCATATAGGGGATACTCACCTTTCATGCACCAAAAAACTGGATGTTTGAAACCACCAAAAAAGCGAAATATGGCTGTGGCTCAAAAGACCGGTACCAAAATGGAACCCTGGTAAGTGGAAACATGGACCAAAACCTGCGGTTTGCCCCTCCTCTTTAATTTTGAGCCACACCCATATAATCGCTTCCCCCTATTAATGAATGACCCCAACTAATAAAAAATGGAAATCCGGGGCCCGGGACCAGATTTCCACTCCGCACAATTGATTTTCCATTGCGCCAATACTAAACCAATACTAAAGTCTTGGAATCCTTATTAGGGGGCACTTTTAACAAGCTTCCAGCCCCACTTTTAAAAAGGTGGGTTCCTCAAAAGGTGGGCCAATTAACCTGCCTGGCTGCAAACAAACAACCAGTAAACTGAAAAACAAATAGAATGATACATACAATTTCCTTATTAAGCCGCTTACTCGCGGACCTTACAATTCAATTCAATTCCTCCAAATCCTATGTGAACCCTCACATTGTTGGAAAAGCAAAAAAAACAACATATTTTTGGGGCGATTTATTTATAATAGGGGGGGCCGTATTTATTAATAGGGGGAAGAGATTAGGGACCCCTTAAAACAAAGGCGCGGAAGCGTGTTGCGCGGCCTCCTCCGCCGGCTTCATCTCCTGGTCCGGGGCTTCCTGGAAGGCGGCTCTCTCGCCAAAACCCGAGGTTTTGGGTATGGGTCAACACCTGAGGTGTCTGTGGGTCAAATATAGGCAACCCCAAAATGGCAAGCGCCCTGGTAAATGGAACATGAACTTTCTTACGCGCGGCCCGGTTCCTGGTGCTTTGATCGACCCATCAGACCGCAGCTCGGCAAGTGGAACCAACATGCCACGCACAAATTCGCCGCTCCTCGCCCGCCGCAGCGCGACGCTCCTCCTCTGCCTCTGGGCCGAAAGATCGACCCCTGGGGGCCCTGGGACAAGGGATCCCAAGGGTGAAGCCCAGATACCCCAAAACAAGGGATCATCAACTCAAAACCCGGTATTAAAATGGTCGTAATCCCAGAACCATGCTTCAAGAATTAAGAAGCTGGATATCCGCAGCTACTTGTGGCAAGGGGATTGTCCCTTACTAACCTAACCATCTACCCGGGTTTTCATTGTGGCTCGCCTGAGGATATGAGTCTGTCTGTTTTTGAGGCTCCGGCTTTTTGATGGGAGCCAAAAGGGAACCAAGAGGAAACCAAACATTTTGCCGGGCCCCCTAAATATGCCCAGCCACATTTGGCTTGCGTGTTTCCCATTCCCCAAAATCGGAATCCTTTCCCACAGCAAAAGCGTAAGCACAAAACATGCAAGGTCGGCATGCTAAGACTGTCACTTTTTGTACACTGTCAAGTGCATTGAAAGAAGGACAACAGCAACGTCCCACGGAGGAACCAAGGAGAGCCTTGCTTGACTCCAGATCAAGTTGCATGCACGCAACCTGCGAGCGCACATGCTCTGTCGCCACACGAGAAACGCGCCTTCCTTTCGGCCTCTTTGCGAGCCTGGCCGTTCAATCCTGTGATGCCTTTGACAATTGGTCTATTGTCACACGAGCTTCAGGTTCATAAAGTATTGCCGGAACATTCAGAAAACGTCTGTGGACTCAGCCCCGAATTGTCAATCCACGTTTTGGCTTGACTGTTGCTTTGCATGGTTCTGGTTGGTTGGTTCTGGTTGGTTGGTTATGGTTGGTTGGTTCTGCTTTGCACGAGAGCAGCAGGTGCTCAAAAAAAATGGATCTCGAAGCCTTGCCGAGCTGCGCCTCTGAACTAGAGACGGCGTGCCAACCGCTCCCCGCCTTCTTCGCTGCGCGCTCGCCTTCCTGCCCGTGAGCGCACTGTGAAGCAGTGAAGGGACTGAAGCTTGTAACTGGCAACTCGGTGACATGGCAAGTGGTCAAAACATGAGCTGTGGTTTTTCTTTCCAGCGATTGCAAAACAGTCATTCAGCTGGTAGCACCAACCCGGGGTTCAGCAGTCAGAGGTTGAGCCTGGCTCAATGTGCGTAGCTGCCAAATGCTCGGCTCGAAAAACGCAAGGAATCCCCAGGTCTGTGGAATGAATGCTAGTCGGCTTGTCGAAAAACGCAGGCCCGAAGAACTACACCGAGGCCAAATCCAGAAGAGAACAGGGAAAGAGCATCGCAAGGAGAGAAAAGCCCCAAGGCCTGCAAGAGTTGGCAAAAAGATAGCCCAATAGTAGTTCCTTATATAGGCTTCCAACTACCCCCTCCCTTTCCTCCCCCCTGATTCGAACCCCATACTCGCAAAGGCAGGGCAATGCAGCTATACTTCTGATGCCCGAAGCCATTTGGCTGTGCGCTCAACAAAGTGATACTCATTTTTGAGCCCCTTTGGATGGAAACAAAGACCAAAACCTGCGTAGTTAACCGCAGCTCTTTAATTTTGAGCCACCCCATTTGAAACTGCCAGGGCTACGCAGGTTTTTGTCTACACTTCTATTTACCACTATTTTTGAGCCAAATGGGTGCCAATCAAAGGGGTCTGGACCTCTGAAACCGCATCTACACCCATTTTGCGCCACACCCACTGCGCCAGAGCCGCAATTGTTTCATCTGCATCACCCGTGCCTTCGCGGCCTTCTCCGCCTGGTACTTGCGGATCTCCTCCGCCTGCGATTCGTCGCCCCGAAAAGAGGAGGGCAGCGGAGCCCTATGGCTGACACATGTGGCTGTGGGTCAAAAATGCGTGCCCAAAATGGCTTGCCCTGGGAAATGGAAAGGACTAAACCAACGGTTTTCCAGTGGTTTAGTTTTGACCCATGACTCCCATGACCATGTGGGTGTCTCAACATAGGGGACCCCCTTTTTGGATGGTTCAACGAAAAGGAACAAACCAAACCAGGAGTCCCCAATTCTGAGAACCCCCTACAGCAAAGCGGGTTTTCCCCATTTTGAACCAAAGACTGGGACTCTGGTCCCGAGCTACCCTTCTTTCGGGAGCGTCTTTTCCGCGGACGTCTTGTCTGCGCCCCACAAGCCCAGCCTGCTTCACCTTGAACTCGGCATCAGCCTGGCAAAGGAGAATCAGCGGCCCACGGCCCAAGGCAAGGATGGCGCACTTTGCGGCATGGCGTTTTGGTTGCGGCAAGCTCCAAGCCAAAGCGAGCTGTTGTATGCTCTTGCCAGTGCCAAATCACCCCAAATCCAAGTCTGGATACCTGCAGCCTTCCAACTTAAAATTCAAAATGCGGCTGGTCAAAGGGAGCTTCTGTTCTCGGGGTTCCAATAAGTATTTTGTGTTCCACGGGAGTTTCCTCCAACTCTCTAACTCGCTGGTTCTGTGATTCTTGGCGTTGTTACCCTTTATTCAGCATGGTTACCCCATATTTGGCGTGGTTACCTCACCATCTGGATTTGAGGGCGCCTTCTCCTGCTTCAGCTTCAGCATGAGCTCCGGCGTGCGCTTCTTGAAGTCGGCCGTGGGATCACCGATCAGCACCTCACCCGACGCCCGAGGGAGACGGGCATGTGTTGGGACCTCTAGATTTGAGCGGGAAGCCTCCCCTTTGGAGGTGGGAGTTCTCTTTCATTTCTTCTCAAACCACCGCACAGAGGGGAAACCCCAAAAAACACATATACACACCCACACACCCAAACCAAGAGGTCCAAACATGGCCCCTCGCCCCACATCCCTCGACAGCATTTGCGCCAATCCGCCAATCCGCCAATCCGGCCTGGGCCGTCTTCTTGAAGTGCGGGAAGCGTGCTAGGAGCTCCTAGGGTCGGTTCCCAGGCTGTTGGTCTTTTGGCGGCCCTTTCAAGTCATCCAACCCAAAAAAACCACCTGCTTTAAAACAGACCGAAGTGAGTATTGAGAAGTTTCAGGACGGCGAGTGGTTTGGGCTTCGAAAACCGGCAACGGTCAAATGCACGGCGGGTCTGACACAGCATGTGAGTTGAAGGGCCTTGTTTGATTGGAGGATTCTCCTGTCTGCAAGGAAACGCAAAGCTCATGTCTCGCCGGCAAGAAAATGTTCCAACAAGAACCCCAAGTGGTTCAAGAAGTTGACGGAATCCGCCTTCCGAATGAGCTGCTGAAAACACATGTCTAAACAAACCCTTTAAATAGTCAACCTCCTTTTCACGCCTTGCTTGTTGCACTCACAGCTCTACTTTGGCGATCTGGTAATAACACAAGGAATCCCCCAACTCGTGCCGCCCCGCATCCATCCCCTTCACTCCTTTCTCTCCGAAAGAGTGAGGTTGGACTTCACCTCGACCACGAGAAAGTTCCTGGCTGACAAATCTTCGAGTGCTCAGCTCTGGAAAATTCATTGGCGCCACCGATTCGGCTGTTTGCTGGTCGGTGAGTCAGCCAAAGAGTGAGTCGGTGAGTCGGTAAGTCAGTCAGTCGCAGCAAGTCAGTGAGTCAGGGAGTCAATGAGTCAGTGAGTCAGTGGGTTCAGGCGGTCAGCGAATCGCTTATCGTGCGTCCAAATGATCAGTTAGTCAGAAACCCAATCAGGTAACTAGATAGTTGATGTCTGATCGACAAGCTGGCCAGTGTAGCTTACTTCTCACAGGTAGGGCCAACAATCCAGACAACTCTCGCAAGGAACTGTTGAACAATTAGTGAATCCGTTGCCTTTCTTGAGCCAAGCATCCTGTTCGCTGCGCAAATAGGAAGGCGCTGGTTCCGTGGTGGACCCCATGGGTGGTTTCCCTGTATCGGGGACCCTCAAAAACGATACCAAAAAAAACTTGACACGACAAATCCCAAGACGTAACACCGGGATTTGACCGCCCACTTCTCCACATTTGGCCTCCGCTGGACGGGGGCGATGCTCCTGCAGCACGTGAGAGCTCACCCCGAGTGTTCTGACTGGCGTGGGAACGGTCATAGTTCGCAAAACCGGAGGCGGTCAAGCCATGACTCATAAGGCTGTGGCTCAAAAAACCGGTACCAACATGGAAACCTGGTAAGTAGAAACATGGACCAAAACCTGCGGTTTGCCCCTCCTGTGTAATTTTGAGCCACACCCATAACTTGCAGCTAATAACTTGCGTCCTAAGTAACTTATAGCTTGTAATGCCCGTCCAGGAGTCTTACCAAGGAGTAGTGCCCTCTCGGCGCCAAGCATGTTGACCATGGCACCTGGAACTCTGTCGGACTGAAACCATCGAGCCCTTCGATCAGCCGCTTGCATGCGCTGCACGGGGCTCCTCAGCACTCGTCGCACTTGCATGGTGTCCAGCTCAGGTACACCCATGGACATGTCGGGCTTGTCATTGCAGGTCCTTCGATTGAAACTGGGAAGACTGACAACTGCACACAAGCCCGTCAGTCTTTCCGGCTGGCTTGGCTTTCGGAAAGAATTTGCTGGTCTGATATCAAAATCATCCAGGAAAGCCATTTGCAAGTTGAACAGTGGCTCGGACAAAAACTGTCTCCTGGCGTCATTGTATCGCCTTAAAAGCCGATGTTATGGGTTTGCCAGAAAAGAGGTTTTCAGAGCAGCTTGCATCTTCGACAAAGGAAAACGCAGCACTCCTCCATCGATAGCCTCTGCTCCTCTGGATGCCGCTCTTCTCGCACCAACTCGGCTCTTCGGCGTGGTTCAGCTCTCTTCCGGCGGGAAGAAAACAAGCGCTGAAAACAAGATCGGTTTCAAAGCGGTGCAGGATTTTGCTCCATGTTGGCAGGGTCGGCTTCAGCAAAGGGGAGGCCCCTCCTCGCGTCTTTTGCAAATGTTGCTTTGGCAAAAGCACCTTCGGCATTCCTCGACCAACTCAGGGTGACGCCGATATGGAGCGATTCACCCCTCTCTTCCGAGATGCTGTGGATGGACGAAATCCATTTCGCACCTCTTTGAAACCATGGGAAGCAGTGTTTGTTGGAATTTACAGGGGAATCGTATCATTCCAGGGTGTCTTAGGTGCAGGATTTTGTCCGTCCACAGTAGCCTGGCGAAAAGCTGCGTTCCCATGCCGACTCGCCGAAACTTCGCCGCCCACTTGCCGTCCCCGAGCCCATGCCGAGCTCCGGACTCCAGGATCATGCGGTCGCTAAGCTCCTGCGTCCGTGAAAAGAGGGCCAGTTGCATTGTTTGCTGCCAGGTTTGCCAGTTGCTGCCAGTGTTGCCAGTTGCTGCCAGTTTTTCCAGTTTTGCCAGTTGTTGCCAGTTTTTGCCGGCTGGCTGATAGAGTGCGGCGGATGTGTATTTTTCGTGGAAAACTCTTCCTGAGTGTCCGCCTCTTGACACTGCAACTAAGACATGTCAATGCCTTTGATCTCCCCTCTCGGAATAGCAAGAAGTTGGTGCAGCCAAGGTCCAAGCTTCCAAGTCTTAGAGTTTCGAGTGAGTAGCTCGCTTTGGACAAACTGAAACAAGCTCCTGAGTACTTGAAAGGAATGCTGCTGATAGGTGAGAGAGAGAGAGAGAGAAAAAAAAAAAGAATGAGAGAGACAGAGAGAGAGAGAGAGAGAGAGAGAGAGAGAGAGAGAGAGAGAGAGAGAGAGAGAGAATCACAGAGAGAGAGAGAGAGAGAGAGAGAGAGAGAGAGAGAGAGAGAGAGAGAGAGAGAGAGAGAGAGAGAGAGAGAGGAGAGAGAGAGAGAGGAGGGAGGGAGGGAGGGAGGGAGGGAGGGAGGGAGGGAGGGAGAGGGGAGGGAGGGAGGGAGGGAGGGAGGAAGGGAGGGAGGGAGGGAGGGAGGGAGAGGGGAGGGAGGGAGGGAGGGAGGGAGGGAGGGAGGGAGAAAGCAGGCAGCAAGGAAGAAAGGAAGGAACATTCCCAAGGAGGTTTGACATAAACAGCACCGCAGCATTTTCACTCCAGCGATGCTACACGAGTCTGATAGACTGACAACCCACCTTTTCCTGTGGGATTTGCATTGGTATCCACAGCATGAATTTCCTCATGCTGTGGCCCAGCCAATTCGCCGATTTCCTCGGCACATCGGGTTTACCCCCGATAAGCTCTGGATGCCCTGCATCAAGCAGGATACATCTCCCACCACAGAGCTTAACTGACTGACTGGGGGCCTGGTCCCCCAGGCATTCCCCAAGCGCGGCGCGCTCTTCAAAGATCACGGACGTCCCAACTAGGGGGGCCGGTGATCTAGGGCGGGATAGGGTGGGGTTAAAATTTAGCCAGTTTGGATCATGCTTGAGCCAAAAGGCCCCGCATGATCCAATACTCTCCTTGCAGAATGAAGCCTGTAAACCCAAGCCTTCCAACCTGATACAGGATTACATTCCCAAGGAGGTTTGACATAAACAGCACCGCAGCATTTTCACTCCAGCGATGCTACACGAGTCTGATAGACTGACAACCCACCTTTTCCTGTGGGATTTGCATTGGTATCCACAGCATGAATTTCCTCATGCTGTGGCCCAGCCAATTCGCCGATTTCCTCGGCACATCGGGTTTACCCCCGATAAGCTCTGGATGCCCTGCATCAAGCAGGATACATCTCCCAACGCACTTACTTTCACCACCTATTTCACAAACTCTCCCAATGCACTCACAGGAACTCAGCAAAGGTAATCACTGCTCGGTACGGAAGCCTCAGTAGAGCTGGAGGGAAAAGACTGAAATTCAACTTGAAGTGGTTGGCCCTGTACCATGGGTCACTGGGTCCCAGTCGGCTGATCGCGTCAGCCCAATTGGATTTGGATGGAATGTATTCGCAGTAGAGTGAGGCTCGCAACGCAAAGAGCAAACACTGGATATACGTCGCCATCTTGGCCAAGTCGGGGTTGTCACTCCTGCCCCTGATCAAACACATAAGACTGGCGATGTTATCGATGAACCACACTCCGCGTCTCCCGCGGAATTGGTCGGGTCTCGCCGTAAGGGCGTGCACCACCATGAATAGCTCCAACTGGGCTATTTTATGGTCTCCTGGTCCCCACATATCGTAGGTCTGCGCGGGGATGATGGCTACAAAAGCCTCCCGAATCTGCACGCCGCCGTCCTGGAAGACCAAGTGGTATCCGCCGGATCCTTGACGAGGTGCCTCCAAGGCCGCGTCCGAGGCGGCCACCACCCTCGGCACATCCATGGGGAGGACCATCAGCTCTCTCCTGGGGCGCATACTGATGACAGCCTCCAACACGTCAAAAGCCTCCAGCAGGCTGGCGCTGGCCTTGCTGGAGCCCCCGTACTGGTGCTCCTTCAACGCCTGGATTTCGCCCAAGCCAATGCGCCCGAAGAGGCCATGCTCCAGGAAGTTGACCATGCCGTAGAGTTTCGCAGCTTGACCCGGGGTGAACTTCCCGCTCCTCCTGGCGTCACGCATGAAGGTGAGCACCTTCTGTTCGAGTCGCTCTCGAACCCAAAACCGCGCGCGCCCATGTGTGTGGACCTCCGAGAGATCGAAATCAAGCCCCAAGAAGGTCCCGACATCCGCAGCTCCCTGGCGCTTCTCCTCAGCGAACGGGGTCCCCAGCAGGTCGTTGAGGGCGCCGAAACTCCACTGGGCTGATGGGCCGTGTACTGCGCGGTCTGTAATGTGACTGTCGTCGAAATACATGGACACCATGATTGCCAGAAAGCGCCTGCCCATAGCTTCCGCCATCCGGGAGTAGCGGTTGAAGGAGGTGACCGCCAACGGAAGGCCGAACAAGAGGGCGTGGTATACCTGGAAGGCCGGCTCCTGCCAATCCTGGTGGTACCAAACTACTACGCAGGCCAGGGCCTCCTGTCGTGACATGGGACAGTGGCGGTAGGCATTCGGCCAATCATCCCCAGCTCCTGTCCACTGCCCCTGTTGCGCGAACCGCTCCCAGGTGCACTCCTGAAGGCAGGCTGCCGCGGCTTGGACGTGGAGCGCTGGGCGGAGCGGCGTACACAACACAAGTTTGTTGGCATCTCTGGACGATGCAGACTGCCCGCCCCGTGCTGCGTCGTCTATCAGACGCTGCTTGCCAGACGCCTGTGTGATGACACAGCGAGGTATAAGCCGGTATGGGTCTCCTTTGGCATACCGCTTGAGCTGGCTCAGGTTCATGGGGGGGGTGCAAAACCCCTCCTTGTGGTCCTTTGTGGACTGCTCCAGAACGAAAGAGTCCGTGGAACCCGGTCGCACTCCTGCGATAGTAGCGGCGTTGTGCTCCTCCCAGCCAGCCAGTACCTCCGAGTGGGCGATCGCCTCGACGGGTTGGTGGGGGAAGACTCCGTAATGCGGGGCATAGCCCACTGCTGGAAGGCCTTTGATGAAGCCGTGAG